TGCCCATATTTGGAATTAAGTTACATACACTTCTCTTGAATATGATAAGACATAAAGTTATTACAACCCCAGCCCCAAATACCTTTAGCTGAACTTATGTTTTTCAATATATAACACTGTTTTTGTTACCTTTGTACCATTTTACCAATTTTTATGAGGCATATTATGAGATGAGATCATTTTTACCCTAAGATTTCATTGTGGGGAGAGTGCTGCATTTAACTTACTGGGGTTTCATATTCAGATACTTGTCACATTTCCTGTTTCATAATGGATATGTCACTTTTCTTTTGTAAGAAAGGATGCAATAAGTATCAGATATCAGAATGAAGTATACATCATATACCATTAAGCTAATCCTATGTTGGGGTCTTAAAGGGTGACGTATATCGTTTAGCAAATTGAACGCTCGTTTCTGGTGTTGCTCACTCAAAATTAGAACTTTTTATTGACAACAGGCAAGAGTATTAGAAATTATATTAATTTAACATGGAAATTGAAACTGAAACAAGTCCTCATAACAACAGTTGATTTTGGCAAGAAAAATGAGTTTGTATCAAGAATGTAAGGTATCCCCCTTTTTATAAGGAAACATCAAACATAATACTTGTAGTAAGTAGTACTTGTAATAAGTAGTATATCATACATATGTTAAAAAAATTTTTTTTATGTATATATTGTACATCAAAATATTTCAAAATACACATTTGTAAATTAATCACTGATACTACAGAAATCGACCAAACATATACATCTTGCAATTAGTTTAGCCTCCCCCCATCTATCTTCCAGACAAAATAAGAATAGAGGAAGTAGGGGGCAGACCTGATGCGAGACTAAAACATATTTACATAACCAGAACATGCATTTACGTAATTACCATACTTTCATTTGAATTATCATGCATTTTGAAAATCTCAATGAAACAAAAATGAAAATTTGATCTTCCAAAATATACTCTTAACAATAAAGTTTATCTCGACCTTCTAGAAAATATACATGTACATCCTTAAGTCAATAGGATACACATTTGGCAGAATTTCAAAATGAAAATATGGTATGTTGTTTCAACACTATAAAATCCACAATAGAGAAGGTAGACTATAAAATGCCACATGGTTTGCATCAGTTTAAACAGCATGCCTTACATTGTCACTGTGACATCATACTACAATATAAAATGTTAAAAATTCATCACTTAAAAATCAAATGCAATACATGTAGGGCTTATAATATCGAGCAAAGGAGACTGCGATCAAAACAGGGTTGTCATTCAAGGAGGATGAAACTGCTAGAGACGGATCGAACTAAAAATGAGATAATGAAAAAATTGTATACCTCATCAAAAACTCGAATGAAGAGCGAAAGTTTGTCATGTTAGATCATATGACAAATCCTCTGCTCTGAATTCATTTCAAATCCTCGGAATATCTGATCATAATACTTGTCAATCTTTTTTTGATGAGACAGGGACAGTAATGAACATAATAAAGCCAAGTCAACTTGTAACGTAAACTATAGTAACTCCTGGCCCGAACTCAGCTCTGGATTTGTCGTCCCTGTACTAAATCAGCCAATCAGACAATAGTTGCATAATGAGCAAAATATTATGAAAGGACAAAAAAAAGAAGAATAACAATAGCATGTTCAGACATGTAGATCACACTATTTATGGAACCCAAAAAACAGGATTTTCAAGTTTAAAAAAATCTAATAACAAATGTCCTCAAAAAAAAAAAAAAAATCAGGGATGACATCATCAATTCTAATAACCTACTACCTGGACTTTTGAAGTTAAGGGCTCTTTTTATAACAAATGAAAAGGTGTTCGAATATCATAAGCAAACCCCCAAAAGTCCAGATATTATTCTGTATAACACAATTTTAAGAGATTTGCATTGTAGATTTTTCAAAAGATTCACTGAAAATAAAAGGCATTTATAAAAACCTGTAATAAAAGTTTCATTATAATATGAATATATTATACAATATATTAAAATCGATGAAAACAATTGTATAAAAAAATTTAAAACATTATTAGTTTTTCAAAACAGCCTTATATACAGCTACAAGAATTTCCCCAATTTGCCTCATTGCTCATTTTTTCTTGGAGCTATCAGCTAGACTGTATATATCAAAATGTATATTAACCTCATACCCAAGCTAACCTAAAGCCATAGAAACAACACATCACATGATCAATCCAAAGAATTATGGGAGTTAACCTGCCTTGGACCCAAAGCAATCTAATCAAACAAAACATCACAACTCCACCCCCAATTTGCTAGAAACAATTGCTAGAAATCTCACAAAGGGGGTCCCAACATCCAGATTTCACATTAATAAACAAATTGGCTTGAGTATAAATGAGGTGCCTTTAAGGGAAATAACAATATGAACTGGGGATTTCAAAGAGGAATAGTAAAACTGGGATTTTGCTAAGGAAAGAAATAAAAAATTATCTGTGACCTCCAAAAATAGACACATTTTATATTTATCAGATATTATTAATAGAAGCAGAATAAAAATGGTCACTTGAAAAACAAATTCAGACCGAAAATTGATTGTTAACAAAGATAATTCTAGATGATATTTTATGGGTGAATGTATATCCATAAATCGCAATAATGTGCGATAATTAGGTGCTAGCGAGAAATATGTATTAAACTGTAGTGCATTACATCTCACCAATATCGCAATATAACAAGATCTATTAACGATATATCTTTATCAATATTAATCTGCAGACAGCGACTCCTCTTTTCAACCGTAAACCCTTGAAAAATGTCACAACATCCATGTTTCAAAATGCAAAATAATGTCGAAAAAAGTAGAAAAAACAAGAAATAAACTCAATGGGCATGGAGAGAGCATGCCAATTTGTGTAAAAAAGCGAGAAAATTTATAACTTCATTCAAATTTTAGAGAGAAATGAGACGGAATAAAAATGAGCAGACAGACTTATTGTCAGTATGTAATTGGTGTATCAGATCAGCATACGGTATCAGCACCTCATATAATCAGAGACAATCTTCCACAATCAAGAAGAGAAAATCCCCTAATGAATGAATGTTTTTTTTATCTGATGTAGATTCTTTCTAATTCTACTGTCATGACATAACATCTATGCTTCAAGTTTACCAATCCAGTTATTCATCTCTATTCTAGTTTATTCCTAGCAAATATCTTCACTTAACTTATTTTGCATCTAAAATATACGCAATGAGATTTTTCCAGTAGGTCCAGATGTATATTAAGAAAAACAGGATGCATCATTGACGTTATTGATATGTCAGATTATAGGTTGTTTTGGAGTTATATTGCTTTGTATTTAGCGAAGACAATGACTTCTAACTTCCAATAATGCTGAATAACAAAAACTGGAGATGGTGAAAAGATTTGGGGAAAGAGAAAATTTTGACCTATCATACAACTTTACAAATATGAGCAGGAAAAAGAAAAAATAGATTTTTTATCAGAACTTTTTATTTGCATTTTTTGATCAAGCAAGAGAAATGAAACGAAGCACTATTTCTTGATATTGAACAGAAAAAGACTATTTTAGGCCATTTTAAATCCTTACAATGGAATTTTCCAAGAAACATCTGTTTTTTAATCCTTTTCATTGTAATTATACATAATTGATTTCATTTGATTTCACAGAGCTTACGTCAACAAATAGAAAAGTCATGAATTATATTTGCGTTTAGATTAATTGACACATGTTTAAGTAAAAGAATCAAATAAAAGAGTTGTCATGACATTTACATAAAACAGGGTCTATTTTTACTCTGAACTTCCTCAATGAAAACATTTTCAATTTATTATAAGCAAAAAGTAATCCTTGCACTAACCACTTGTTCTTGAATTTGTAATTTTTGAAGCAGTTGATTTATATTACTTAACATAACCCATTTGTTTATGATTATTTTCATAGAAATCTCGAAAACAACACCCACATATAAGATATGAAGTCAACATGACAGGTCAAATATCAGTCATTTCTACAATAGTATCACTTATTTTTAAAAATTTTGAGCTTTTTGGAATAAGAAATAAGTTATCTGGCCAAAAGACATGAATTTCATATTCATAATCAAAGTGTTTATATATTTATAAATAAGTGAATGTAATAATGTAATTTCCATAATACCTGTAAAAAATACTTCGATATAAAAAATGATACGAGCCATTATGTAAAAGCACATGATTTATTTCATTAATTCAATGGAATTAATTAATTTTATGTGAAAGTAATGCACGTCGTGCACGACAGCCATTTACACTTTTATTTCCGCTCTAAAACTTTGTTTTATGACAGATGAAGAGTAATCATCTGGTTTATAAAGTAAATATGACCTACAATATATCCTTGTTATGTATATATGAAATCATAATACATAAATCGACGTTCATAATGCTTATCATTTTTTCTTGGTATAGTCTGACTATTAAATTGAAAAAATGTTGATTTTAGTTTACAAAGAGAACGTTTTCCAAGATTATCTTATATACTTTATAAAGTATATACTTTGTTAAAGTATGTTAATCCCCTTACCCCTCTTCTAACCACATCTCAAATCAAACCGAGGTCCCTCAATCAACTTAACATCAGAGATCAAACCTTAAAGCTTCCAAAATAACCTTTCGACCCCCTTATCAACCTGGAACCACTACCTTACATTTGACCACTCTCCTTGAACCATACTATTGTATTTCAAAAAAATCTCCATCTTCCAACAATTTAGAACAATTACCAGTCCATTATATTATACATCTCTTTCATCTCATTCTAATAGTTATGCGCAATGTAACATAATATACAAACAAAACTGCTGAGTAAATTTATAGTTCCCAAAAAACTTCCAAAACAATGTATATCACTGAATGACTAAATACAATTGACTGGCTGAATGATGGAAACCCCCACCCCTATGAGCAAATGACAGCAAATATTTTTTCAGGCGAACCAACTCTTCAAGTCTTTGTAAAGCATATACCTGATTAACTATAGTTTCTTCTGTGCGTCCAATTGCGATTAACCACTTCTCTCTTAAAATTGCAGGTTTCTTTGGGACACGGTAAAAATGGCGATTGTCTTCGGATCCACGGTAGCGAGAACGGAATTTGCAATTAGGAAATCCGCATGTTGTCGGCATAGTGCAACATCAGCTACCAAATATATGTTCTGGAATTACAAAAGTAAAGTATATTTATATCATATGTAATCTTAATAAACTGAGAATCTTGCCTTTGTAAGGTATATTCAATTAATGTCACAGTGTTTTAAAAGAAACAAAACTGCCAGATAAAATTGGGTGAATGAAGAAGAAACATTCACTTATCTAAAATGAAAAAATACAACATTAAATGGTGCCAGTATGCAATGTAGTCTTTCTCTCTATATATCTCTTACAAATGACGTTATAAGTTATAATTGTCTCATATTCTTCTTTTGAGGTGAATATATAGACTATTCATTGGTGCCTCATATTAGAGAAGGTAATAATAAGGTCGATGGCTCTTATCCTAAGTAATTATATAACATCATATACATCAAAATCAATGAATTACTTGTGAATATGTGAATAGCACAAAACTGGTGACTATTTGTTCAATTTTGCGAAGTCTTGCTTCAAGACCATAGACCCCCCGCTGATCTACTTCTCCAACACAACATGGTGTAAAATAGATGGTGGGGAAGGGTCCAGGGTCTTGAAGCAAGACTAAATTTTGCCTTTCTAATCTTTGGTCAAGAAAAACAAGAAAAAAGCCTAATTCATAATATCCATGTTACGTATATATTATTTTGTAAGGGCAATATTATTCATAGATCATACCTTATCCTATTCTGTTTCTAAATACCCGACACCAAGCAAGTTGACTAGAATTCGAATTACTTTCAACTATCTACTGGAATGACATAGTAATCTATATAAGATCATGTGACATAATATAAACCTATCAGCAGTGCAATCTATATGATGGAGGGACCCATGGACCTATACCTCCTCTGATATAATGAACAAAGCATTATTAGACTCCTATATAAGAATTGGTCAAATGACAAGATGAGATATCAAAATATAATATCATCACGTTTTTTTAACCTTTTATTTTGACGATTCCCTTCACAAAAAATAATGGTAAAAAATTAATTTAACCCATACTTGTAAATTATAAAACAGCATTTAATTACTAAATTACAAACCCGGCATTGTATCATTAAATTCTATTTGCTTATCTTCGTTAATTTTTGCAAGATTTCGAGCTGGTGAGCCATTGTTACAGCCTAGTCTAACACCAGCGCAAGGGCACACCAATGACAATGTAATATGCATAGAATAAATATCAAGCAGGATTGAGTGAAATCAGGTGAAAATTGTTCCAAGCATACAAATAGGCAATCTTGCTCTCTGGGGAGCTGCATTTTCTGAGGTAGCAATACACAGTGGATTAACGGCTGAGCTTGCTAATATTATGTTAAGATGGACACTTTTAAAGGCGTAATTACACCAAGAAAACATATTGTTTAGCGCTAGCTAGCAATGAACGCCTTTAGCTTTGATTATCTGTAACACCCTTCCAACGGATGTTTTTAGAACATGATTTCCGGATTCATTATTGTTAAAACCTACATTTTCTTCTCAGCTAATTCTATGAAATATTAAATTAGAGTATATTATGGTTACAATTAATTTTTCATAATTATTTATAGACTATTAGTCTTGTTGCTTGTTTTGGCAAATTGGAACATGGTAATCATATTTAAGAGTCATTACCCTGGAATTCTTCATCAAGCTTAACTTCCGTCTGCTTCACCAGTAATTCATTTTTTCATTCAATTTCTCTCAAAAATTTGAATAAAGTATCCCATTTTCTGATATTTCTATATAATTCAGGGTATTGTCTACATGCCTGTTTTGTTTATTCCTTGTTGAATTCTCTCATTTTTGTTCAATTTTACATTTGAAAACATGACCAATGTGGTATTTTTATTGTAGGCATATAGTTCTTGAGAAATCTATTGGTGCCTTTCAGCTATAATATGCCACATACACACATCACCATTTACTAGTTCAAAAAACAACACCATAGCCAATTGAAAATAAAGTAAAAAACAATGAATAAAGGTATAAAATAATAGATATCCATAATTTCCAGATCTAAAATATACAGAAATACTAAAAAAAATCAACTAGATAATTTGATGCATAAGAAAATTAGAGAATAATTTATGGTAAGAGTTAATTTTAAGAATGGGATGACCATTCAATATCACAGCCTTATGTTGTATTGCAAGGTAACATACAAGATTATGTGTATGAGGTGGGAAGACCATTAGAGGCTAAAGATCTGAACTTTTCACAAAAAACAACATATTCTAATCTTGAATCAGGTTGAAAATGAATTCAAGAGGGGATCAGTCTCTAACACTGACCCTAAGTCACGAACATGCACACAATAATTGTAAAAATGATAATAATGATATGTTTAAGCAATGGATTTCATTTACAAACTTTCCTTTTTTTATAAAAATGAAAGGCTTGAAAGAAATGTTGCCTTATAAGGCTGGTGAGATCTGGTGATCCAAATTCCTAATAAATTACACACATGGACGTTGCGCCTGTTACGCACACTTTGCCCGTGCGTAGCAAATGAATTAGAAAAAATTAAAAATTTGTAAAAATGCACGAATTTGATTGCACATTTATTGATGATTCTGTATTTGTATATTTAACCATTAAGTTTTATCAGAATAGAACTATTTCAAGTTGATAAAAATGCTCAGATGAGCAAACCCCCCGACCCCCCAAAGATGCACGGCATTCGGCCGTACAAGGAGACATTCCCGAGTTGGCGTACCATTACTAACTCAAAATATAGCCCTACGCCCATGAAACATTAAAAAAACAACACCAAAGAATCACATTCACAATCTATAGACAAGCAAATTACATGGGCAATGAGATAGTGATTTAATGGCAAGTGATTTACAAAGTAGGATATACATAAAAAGCTGAAAGGAAACGACCCATAATTAATTTTCAATAAGCAATTTTATGCACTTGTTTCAATTTCTATAATCCCCTAGTTCAGATATTTAAACAACCACTCCAAATGAATATAGCAAGGATGCAGTGTAGTCATAATGGCCTTCCCGGTAATCTGCATCAACCAGTAGATTTCACTGGCGGATCCAGAAGCTAACAAGGGGTTTACGAAAAAGACTGACCCCACCGACCACTGACTGGTTGGTGTTTTCCACTGGTAGCCTCAAAACGGGGTTTGATGAAAATGTGTAAAAGACCAACCATATCATGTATAAGACCGACCATATTTGTAGCCTTAAAATATTAATAATTCAATTTTAAGCAACATTTTTTACGGATTTTGTTCCTTTCAACATAAAGCAAGCAAACAAATTTGGCATGACTGTCTCCTCACGATTTAATTGTCCCGCCTTAGGTTCCTAACCCACCATTGACCAACCTATCGTTTCTACGGGAATCTATCCTAATTTTTTACTGAAATCTAATGTACAATTTCGAAATAAAAATGATTTGTTATTGTCATAGCCTACTGAATTCTGAATATGATGTAATGTTACGTGTATTCTCTTATCGGGATTATAAGTGACTAACCATTTCAGTACATCACAAGAAAGCTTTTTTGTCATATTGAATGTAGTTTTTAAAAGTTGGCGTTTAACAGCTGAGAAATCAAACAACGATAAGACGTGAACACTGACAATGTTTAGAATGTTTTTGTTATTGCGTATCATATCAATGAAATTAAAGCAATGTTACGTGCATTTTCTCATCATAATCCAAAGTGACTAACCAGAATGAAATTGGTCTTCTAACAACTGAGACATCACTGAAAAATATGACATTACATACAAAGACAATTCCGATGTTACGTTTTTCATCGTGATTTGAAATAATTAAATACATTTTTAAATCACGACCTTGTACATGTAGTCATTGGATTCCCAGTTTTAGTTTTACTGTACTTTCTTCTAATTTTACATCTTACATTTTTACATTACATTTTACATAAAAGACCGATAGCCGACCATATGTACCCAACTGTGGAAAGTGACTGATCGGTGATTGGCGGCCAATGTTTTCGTAAACCCACTAACAGGGGGGGGGGGGCAAATTTTGAGTCAGGAAAATAGTTTTGGCCCCTAAAACCAAAAAATAGGACCCACGGTCCTGTGCTCACACAGTATGGAACCTTCAGAGGAATGTATATCCTGACTTTAAAACAAAAATATTGATTTGGATTTGTAGTCTCGAACTTTGAGAAATAAACTTTGATAGCACAGTTGTGTGACCTAGTTTGATGACATTTGACCTTGAAAATTTTACTTATTCAGAGCTCAGTAAGGTCTTTTGTGATTAAGCTGACCAAAATTTAGATCCAAAAATCAATTTGAAAAATCAACTTATTTGACCTTTCAAAGGTAAAGGTCAAGTAAAGGTCAAATCCTAAAACTGTCAGATTTGAGCTCCTGGCAACTTGTAGATGATTTTCAAAAACAAAATTGGTCAAATTGAAGCAAGTTGAAAAATAACTTATTTTTACTGTTTTTAGACGTCAAATATCTCAAAAACTGTAAAAATTTGATGCTGACATATATTGAGCAATATGTAGGGAATGCTTAAATCTAGTAATGATGTAATTCATTGCAAGAAATGATCAAGTATAAGGCAAACTTTGAGAAACTTGTCAATCACAAAACCTGCCATTGACTTTATACATGAGAAAGTTTCCTGAAAATGACTAAGTCCTACTTTTTGTCAAATTTTATAGAGTAAACACCAAAAACTGTAATTCCAAGAGCCTTGAAATCTTCAGAAGACATAAGTTGCATATACAGCAACTACTACAAGTTATTTGAAAGTTCTACTTCAACAAAGTGTCTAGTATATAACAGAAAATTTGACTTTTTGACGGAAACCGGGTGAACTTGGGAAATGGCGATGATAGGTCAAATAGGCATTATGGATATGCATAAAATGAATGTGGATATGACTCAATCTGAATAGCAGTTTTAATTTGTGCGGCCAATGTTGACGGACGGACTAACGGACGGACGGACCAACGGACGGACGCCTGGTCGATCCCATAGGCTCACTGTGTGAGCCAAAAATACATTGTTTTGCACCCAAATTTAGAAGATTTAAGGAAAAGTGTTCTACTAACAGAGGTGTTCTGCTTCTAGGGTGTTCCACTTTACAGGTTTCACTCTACCCAAACACTGATAATATTCCCTTAAATCAACAGGTAGACTATATTTTCTCAGTATATTATGTTTTCAAAGGAATAAAAAGTCAAGGCAAAATGCTAAAATTAGGAATTTATCATGGTGCAAAAGGGAAATTCTAAAATCACAAAAACTACTAGTGTATAAATCTAACATGTTACAGTATTTTGTCTGAGAGTGAAAAGGTCTTTAATAGTACTAGAGTAAAGTACATCTTAAGAATTCAATTCCTGTATAAAAAACACTATTCCATACCTACTGAGGTTCTAGGTATATAATGTGCTGGAATAGTACTGTTTATAAAGTTTTTTTAAAAGTTTTTTAAAAATTATATTCAAGGTTTTAAAATTTCTATTATAAAAACAATTTTTTTAAAAATTCATTGTCATACTTTAACATTCAGACTACAGATGTAAAGTTGAGAAAAATCCGCAAATCCGCAAAAATCAACATGCTGCTTCCTGATGTAACCTGTGTGCTACTTCCTCTTTTAATAAGATTATTAAAATCCTTTGGCTCAATAATTGGAATGTTACCTTCCGATCAGGACAAACTATTTTGAAGTCAAATGGCTCTAGATATGCAATATATGGTTAATTTGAGTAGCCACGCATTCTGATTTATGTAAGAATGTTTAAGTCACTCTTAATGTTAAGATTGATAAAAACAATTGCTATTCACCCCATTTAACATTACGTGCCTGAAGTAAAAATCAATACAGTAGAATGTGTACATGTACTTAAGAAATAATGAAAACACATTTATATTGATAAAAAGAAAACATTATCCTTCTAATAACAGAAATTTTCAAACAAATAAATAAACAAATCCAGATTTACCTTTCACCAAAGAGGAAAATTCCCTCGTTTAAATACTCAATACTCAACTCTTCAATTAATGTTTTAACTCATTTCATATAAAATTCAATGCCACAGTTAACAAAAGAAAACAAAAATGAACTAAAACAAAAAAATAATAAAATGAATAAGTATGAGTTAATATTTTATTTCTATGTTAACCCAGATGATGTGGCATGTGTATATTGATGTAAAAATTAAAACCTCCATAAAGGGAACATAAAAAGACCCCCAGCAAAGTTGCATGCTGGATCACATGCCATTAGTTCAAATATACAAGCTTAAAAATCTATTTGAAAAAACATACACTATTGCTTGAACAACTAACTGTTTGAGTTTACAAAAACCACAGGCAAAAAATTAAACTAGGTCCTTCACCTTTAAATGATTTTCAAGTGGTGGAAAATTGCATGCAAAAACTATGCACTAAAACACCAATTCCTTAAAGACCCCCAGCAAAGCATGTATGTTCACAGTCAACCAATAATCAGTATACAAATGGTATAAACTCCCTATCAACCACCACTCAAGATTTAATACACTACATATAACCTAAATTCATACATAATGACGAGACACTAAGGTCAAATATCACTGTTAGCCTGTGCCACTAAATATTCATGATCTTAACTGAAAGGACCCCCTGCGAATCAATATTTGAGATACGTAAATATAATGTGCACATACAGTAACCTTCCCAGATTATTTCATGACAATTGGCTTATCTGTTAGTACCATGCTAATATATTTAAGCAACTCATATTGGTTCGACCATTTGCATTATGTCAATGATGGCATGTCTGAAGCAAATACTATTTCTAAATTATTATGTAAAATGTGCGAATAGCCATTTATATTCAAATAAAAAACATGTTCAATTTAGCAAAGGAAATTTCATGTCACCATGACCAGATTCCAAAACAATGGATATACACTAAAATAGTGTAGTTTAGTTGAAATATGCTACAGATATGTTGGTATTTCTTTCTAAATGTGATTCTCAATTAAGATAAGTCTTCACTTATTTCCTAAATCCGCCATGAAAACAAAGAGTGCTCTAGCAATATATCATTTCCTGAGCGAAATCAACTTTGCTGGGGGTCTACATTTGCATAAAAATGTCTGTGTATAAGGAATTTAGACTGACCTATATTCAGTTCATTTTTCTACCATTCAATTAGGCAAACACACTCCATAAACACTAAAATAATATTCATAATATATACTTTGTATTCAAACAATGACATAATTGTGTCATTTTTTAACAATTAACCAAAGAACACAAACACTTCTTATGTTTCAAAATGATGATCATCATCAAAATCAAAAATACATCTCATCCCCAAAATGTCTACCAAATTTTCCTTGTCGCAGTTTGATAAAGAAACACCATCTAGTCATCAACTTAACTAGTCTAAGAGTTGAAATTTAAAAAGAAAATTGACTTAAGATGATTATATGATAGTATAAATCGTTGATTACCCCATAAATAATAAATGAACTGTGAGAAGAGTGGACTTACCTTTTCAGTCCAAACAAAGGACACGCTCTTTTTGACACAACTTTTACGGACCTATTTTCCGATACACTTAATCAAAAACTATTTATATAAATGTGTTAAATCACTGTCAATTACACTGAATATGTGTTAGAACATCCAATAATTAGTTCTTCTTTTCTGAATGAATGAAAAATCGGCGTTAAATTTGTCACATTTGTACCGTGCTCGCTAGCACTTTTGCAAATGGTGCCAAATCTCGAGAAATCTCGGAGGGAAATTTGAAGTAAAAATACCATAAAATGCTTTAATTCATATATTTTTACATTTTAACAACAATAGAGCACTAAAATTATGTTATAATAATTTATTGGTCAGTTTATTCTTGTTTTTTTAGAAAAATATATCCCACAATTCACCACCAAAACAAAGATGGATGATATCAAGTCTTTGGAGCACGCCACTTTAAAGGTAAATATATCCATCTTCAAAGCTTAAACCATCGAGTTGTATGAATATTTCATAGGTTTACATAATAATGATAATTTCTGAGAAGTAGGAAGAAAATCTGAGGTCATTTTGTGTGCTAAAACCCAATATGAAAATTATCATAAAATTATTCTTTATTTTTTCCCCAAATTTTTTTAAAACTAAATCTAGACTAAGTTACAGCCCTGTCAACCCTCACGCATTAGGCGTGATTGTCACGCATTTGCTGGAAAAATAGAAATCACGCATCAATTTAGCGTGTATGATCAAATATCACGCAAATCATATTTTCAGAAATTGTTTTTTATCAAATGCCAATAGACCCTCTACGGTAAAAATCCGAATAGCGAAAAAAATTGAATGCATTCCGTTTGGTTCTTTCATGCGATTGCCGTTCATGTCACCCATGTCTGAAATATATGTTTATAACACGCATTCATTTCGAAAATATTCACACCCTGTATTAAAAGTCAAATAACTGCGTCCATAAGTTTTTACTCGAACCAAACAAGTAGAAATAGAAAGATGAAGATCTCAGCTTTAAAATAAGTGCAAAATCTGTCATGGGGAAGCACCATTTTGTATAAGGAACATTTTGAAAGGTGGTCACTTTTTTTGAAATTTTCCAATTTAGTGACTTCTGAATTATTCTCTGAGCTTATGAGGTCCTACTACAAAACATTCTGGTCCGCATCTGTAGTGTAGCTAATTCAGAAATATATGGGACAAATCGCACCTCATTCAAAACGTCTTATTCTCTACTCATGAACGTACTAATAGTTCTTAAGATTCCGGAAACACATCTGTAACAGTATTGTGCACACAGATTTCTCTATGATAGTGATTAGTGGATATTCAAAATTAATCCTATCACCCAGTTCATTTTTGAATACATTTTATATTTGGTACTTAAATTGCCAGTCTTTCTTGGAAAAATCAGGTGTGCATTTATAGGAGATTGTGCATCTATTAGAGAAAATACAGTATGTATTTTCTGTGTCTGTATTTTCTATGTAATATTGCACTTTAGTTCTTTGATTGGTTATTTTTTAAAGTTTGGTTGATGCACAATCAAATTGACTCCTACTGTAGCCATGTACATGTATACTCTACTGCCAATGGGTTTAGTATTCAGCAAAGATATTCTAAAGTTTCCATGGTAATAGACACCAATAGGGTTATTTTGCCAACTACCATGTACTGTATTTGACAGAACCCTGGAAAATTTGGTTGATGCACATACTAATTGGTTTGCAGCTGTATATGCCTCTGAATACCTCTCTATATGCAGGGTAGCCCATTGCCTATTTTAAATGTGAATGCATGAAAACACAAAATACTGACCTACTTTCACCGATCTACTTCTGAGATCAGCATGAAAAAAACAACAATATACAAGTAATGGTTACATCAATACTTGAGCTAAAACAATTCTATAAGTATAATATATATAAAACCATTTGAAAAGGGGCTAATTAGAAGATTTAAGAATAGATAGAAACTATTATGTTTTTTCTGATTGGAAAATCTAAAATGGTTACCTGGTGATGGAATATATAATACCTTGAAAAATACAGAATTCTGATGTTTAATTTTTTTGGACAGGGTCAGCATGATTACTTTCAAATTGGAGACATTTTGCTAAATAGGCCTAGCTTTGAAATCTTGTTTAAGTCTCATTTTTAATGACATTTTAGGAGATCTGTTTTTTAATCATTAAAAACTAATTTTATTTTGTATTTGATGGCATATTTTAATTCTGTGTGTAATTTTCTTTTATTAAAACAATTTTGATTTGTATTTTTTACACAATGTTAAAATACCTTTAGATGTTCATTTTCACAATTTTAAATCACAGTCCACACGTCAACAAGATCATTCAGTTACATGCCAATAGAGTACAGAGGCGTAGCGTAGGTATTTCGTGAAAGTACGCCACGAGTGAGCGAAGCGAACGAGTTCAAGGGGGGTTTGGGGGGGTTCTCCCTGAAGAAAATTTTAAAATGAGATTGCATTTGAAGCGTCCTGGGTCGGTTTGAAATACGAAATTCCAACTTAATCTGGACCAATTAAATGTAAATTATTAGTCATTTTTATCCAATATTTTATGATTACATGAACCCGTTTTAAAATAATAGACGAAATAGGTGCATCTTGGAAATAAAACTCGTTGGCGTCATTTTATTGTTTATAACTGTATACTCATTGTTTATAAGTATAAACTATGTTATAAGTTACTGTGAAACTGTCATATTAAACAAGTATCACGTTCATTATAATATAAGGTTCACACGCCTGTTTTTGGAGTTGGCGAATTTTTGCGGGGCAATTCATTATAAAAAATCATTTTTCTCTCAAATTTGAGAGTACGCAATGGTGTTTTTTGTGTATATGACGCTACGCCATTGCAGTAACACCTGTCTTGGTGAACATATCTCTCAAGTGAACACCTGTCTCTAGTAGACACGCCCTTCCTTCACACATACACTGCTTACTTCCGTATAAATTACCCTCTCTGTAGTGAACACCTACCATCACTGGACATTTTTTCTTGGAAAAAAATGTTCAGTATTCACGGGATCTACTGTATATCTAGATAAAAATCCAATTGTCCAATGGGGGAAAGGTACTGAAATTGATGGGTTCTCTTCCATTCTGATCTGAAAGTACTACATGTACTTTACTTTCTGAGTTCTGATGACTTCTAATGTCATTCCATCCCTACTAAAAATGAATTGCTCTGTGTTTTTAGGTACCATATGAAGTTTTAAACAAGAAATTCCGAGTTGCTCAGAAGAATATAGATCGCGAAGTGGCACACGTTCAAAGCTCAACAACAGATTTGGAGAAATGCCTCCAGAAAAAAGAATCAGTTCAAAATGTCGCCAAAGTACTCAGTGGGATGGTCGAGAAGTTGAAAGTGTTGAAAAGGAAGGTGAGTGTTCCATGGTTAAAGAGATCAGAAGTGATAAAGATGAGATAAGAGTAAAAAGTCCAAATATTGAATCCTTTCTACTTTTTTTATGGGTCTCGCAAAGATGAAAGAGCGGTTGGCCCCAGTGCTAATATCCCTGAAACTTAAGATCTCATTTTGAAGAGTAGACTCCATAATATGAAGCATTTCTGAATACAAGAGTTGAAGGTATGTTCATATTCCTTAAGGAAAATTGGGTTTTCAGATCTGATATTTATTGAAATACTTGGGTGTGTGACATACTGTCTTAGATGATTTGCCCATTGAGGCAGCCATTTTGAAAATTGTGTTTTCATACGTTTTATTTTACAATTCACATTGTTTGTTGAAAACTAATCAAGTAGATGGCCCATGGGGGGGTGTGTGTCTTTTTCATATAATCTATGATATATTGCATGATTAAATTTACTTAAATTGAATTTGTGATATTTTAAGTGTAAATACTGCACATGTGTCACAACGATATTAATTAATTTTTATTATCCCAACGAACGAAGTTCGGTAGGGATATAGTGAAGCCCTCCGTCCGTCCGTCCGTCCGTCCGTCAGTCCGTCAGTCAGTCAGTCTGTCCATCTGTCTGGAAGATAACTCAAATACTAGTTTACGGATTTTCTTCATATTTAGTGGAAAGATGTATATTGGTGAATAGATCACAATTATCGTATTATTTTTAAGATTTGTATCTCAGAAAATTCAAAGTGGCTGCTTTGCAGGAATTCGCAATTCTAAAATCTAATTTTTTTAATTTTAACCAAAGTGATGAGTATACATGTAATTGATTGGAATTCGGTAATTGATATTTTGTTCGTTGGGATTTGCTACTCCGCGGAGTTGCCGTTATCTAGTTATTTTGATTTTTTTATTATTGTGGGCATTTTGAGAGATAATGGCTGGAAGTCTTGTCGAGTGGTTCACGATTGTTTGATTGGTTTTGGTAAATCTTTGTCTTTTGCTGTTACGCAATTAAGATTAAGAATAGAATTATCACAGTGATTTTATTTGTTAAAAAGAACCAATTTGTCTAAGTTTTTATGTCATCACCACAAGTGGTGACCTATTGTTATATTTCCAACTTTTTTGTGGTTGGTGTTTAGCAGATGGTGTTTGGTGGTCGGTATTGTTGTTCTGTAACAAATGGTATGTGGTGACATTTTGCACGTTAATGCATTGTTTACGTTTTGTTCAAATGGCAGTCCCTTACTCTGATCCTGAAATACACCCAAATTAAAAATATCAAATTAAAAAAAATCAAAACAGCTTTTAACTTGTACCAAAAGACTTTGTAGCTTTTAACTTGTACCAAAAAACGTTGTTACTAACCTCTCTATACATATTATTACTCATGCATGGCGATTGATACCCTGATATTAGGTTGGAGTCTTGTTAGGTTGGAGCATCTTTTTTGTCAACCCTAATAAGTCAGTAACTAATGCCTCAGTCACATTTGATCCACTGCAACCAATGATGGCTGAAGCTTCCCAAATTGAGAGAAATATGCACCATAAAATATAGGGATAAGCAGTACGATATAAATTTTCTATATCAATTTTGTGAAGCTATGGCCACTGTACGACAGACCTCCGTAGAGCAAATGTAACTTCAAGCCTTAAAATAAGATTTATATTTTTGTTTTCGAAACACAAAATAACATAATGTATTTTCAAAAGGCTAGACAAAATCAATACATGAAGATGAATCGATTTCTCATTTTGCATTTTAATGTATTTTTTCTAGTTGCCCAGAAACCATAAACATGACTTTCTCTTACAAAACACATTTCTTTCCTAGCCTTATGCAATATGCATCTATCATATTAAAATATACCCAGATGGATCTCTTAGTATCTAATACATATTCTGCCCCTATAACATACACCTCTACATTATGTTTATCAAAAGATGGATCAATGTCTGCCCCTATATTTATACATATTTCATTTGTTTATCTGATATGTAATATTACCATGATTAATTTTTAAGTCTGTTAAGGCTGCAAATTTTAATTAAAAAAAAGGCTGCAAATTGCAGGCTGATATTATCTTTTTTAATTTTTGGGTATTTTCGAGACAAGGCCCTTTTCAGCATTTCAAAACAATAATAACATATTCATGGTAGAAAAACGTAGAGTATATCCAATAAAATACTCACGCGTTCCTACCCCGGGATTCCTACCCCCTCATAGTATTGGTTACCTATTGTATTCAAAGCCTAATCATCATTCTACTAATGTCTGATTTTTAAAAATTATTTACAGGCTGAAGAAAGCATCAAAGATGAAGTTGAGGCTGCCCAGGCTTGCAAACGTCGTCTGGAACATCTTAAAGAATTTGAGACTCTCTCGCCAAGTGCAGCTGTGCAGTGGCGGAAGAAACGCCTCGACAGAATGTTAGTAGAGAATTTCCTGAGGGCCGGGTATTACAATACAGCATTGAAGTTAGCTAAACATTCAGAGATCGAGGTATGTACTGGTTTTATACAGATACTCAATGCCAAATTTTTATATTGACGTATTGTTAGTCTCCAACTTTATGTGTTCAGCAGTTGGTGTTTGGCATCTGTAACAAATGGCAGGTGGTGACATTTTTTATGTTAAAGCCTTGTTCAAACATGCATCCCAAACTGATTAAATTATCCATTAATGACTAAAACATGTCAAATGGTATTTAATTGAACTATTTTAGCCCCTTGCATAGTATAAAACTTGTTAACGTTACTGTCATTAACATGTCTACATGTATTTATAATTCAGGACCTAACAAATATTGATCTGTTCCTCGTCTCCAAGGAAGTTGAGGAATCATTGGAACAACAGGAGACTGCTAAATGTTTATCTTGGTGCCATGACAACAGGTCCAAATTACGCAAAATGAAGGTAAAGAAATAAATTATTTGATTTTTTTTACGGCCACGGATTCAAAATATAGTTTTAGAATGTCCAAAATAGAGTCGCATTTTGTCACACTGTTTACAAGAACATTGATGTAAAAAAATAGCTGAATGTTTCAAAATATACTTTTTTACATCAGAAAATTAACACATTTCTCCCAAACAAACAACTTTTTCTGCCTGTCTGTAAAAAAGTGTTAAACATAATGTCCAGGTTAAATGTAATAAATAAATTGCCTCACTATCCTATATAAGCGAATGCATTCTGTTCGGTCTTTGCATGCTATTACCGTTTATGTCATGCATTTGGTCCGAAATATGTGTATATATCACACATTTGTTTTCGAAAATATTGACAGCCCTGCTTCATAGATTCTAATATACCATCTGATAAGGTTTTCCAAATTCTGGAAAATGTGGTGAATGTCCTAGAGCTACAGCCATTTTTTGAACTTCCCACGTTTTGTCCTACAATATATAAATAGTAGTAATGATGCATCATATCTGACGTGCATTAACACCTCAAGACGAATTAGAGTGATGCGTTTTGGAAGTGTTAATGCATGGTTTTAATTTTTTTTTCTTGATCTCAGTCTCCAAGGCTGCAGTTTGCACACGCAAACTATTTGCCAATTGAATTATATTCCCCTCAATCAAATAGTCTTTTTCTTTGGACTTACAAAATTATAGAGTTTGTATGCCTAATGGTGAAAAATGCTATTAGGGGAGGCATCAAAAGTTCGATGTCGGATAGAAAACTAAATAAATCTAGTTAGGGGGGAGGGGGTTCAAACCCATTTCAGTTTGCTATCCGACAAATTTCAACATTTCAATTTTTTGTTTGAATGGTTTAAAAATAAAGATTTTACCTGATGCTTTCTTCGTCAAGATCATTCCAATGGATTCTATAGTTGTTAAAAGCCGCAAATTACGATAGAAATTAACAAGAACTAGACCGTGTTTAGCAATAATTTTTCAAATTCTCAAACCGGAAGTCAGCGATCAACTTTCATGGTATTTAGTTTTTGGGGGAGGGGGGGGGGTCAGAGTCAAAACTAGATTTATTTAGTTTCCGATCCGACATCGAACTTTTGATGCCTCCCCTAAGAGTCGTAACACCTTATGACAATTTGGTTGCCATTTTGAAAAATGGAGCCCATTTATATGTGTCGTTTTATTAGTTAATTGTTATAACTTCAGGAAGTAATAGAGCAATAATATTGTAAATACATGTCAGGATGACATTATCTTTCGTCAATTTCTCAAGTATGGTAACCATTTTGAGAAATGATATCTGGCAGTCTTGTCCGCCACTTCACAACATATTTGATAGAATTTGATACATCTTGGCATTGCTTTTCTTTATGAGATAATTATTATGTGATGTTTTTGAATTTCAGAGTTCCCTAGAATTTAATTTGAGACAACAGGAGTTCATAGAGCTTATAAGGAACAACAAAAGATTAGAGGCTGTTAGGTAAGAAAATGACAAATCAAATTGAAATGGCTCAAACCTCTAACCCTGCTCCTAAAATGTCTTAAATTTATTTTAAAGTAATAAAGATATATGAATTGTTCATTGGTCGACCTTATAACAAGTCATCTTTTCTATACATGTATTTATTAAATCTAAAAATGACCCATTTGCTTTTTCTATGGGACACATTTATTTTATAGATTTTCAAACTTTTTTTTACCATTTTTTAACCATTTAAAGCATTCATGTTTTCAGAAAAAAAGTTGAATATGACATGCCACCCTGTTGCAAATCTATTTGGATCTAATACAAAGTATAAAAAATCTTAAAACTCATAATTTGACCTTTTTGTATTCCAGACATGCAAGAAAGTATTTTACTAATTTAGAAGAAGCACAGTTATTTGATGTCCAAAGAGTAATGGGACTTCTCGCCTTTTCCAGCAGTACTACAATCATACCATATAAGGTAAGATATACCATATAATGTTAGATATACCAAATAAGGTAAGATGATGACATCATACCATAAAATGTAAGACATACTTTAAAGGTGAGACATACCATATAAGCTAGGGCACAACATAAATTGTAAGACATAACATAAAAGATAAGACCTACTGTACAGATAAAATATACCATATAAGGTAAGACATACCATATACGGTAAGACATACCTTAAAAGGTAAGATGTGATATATACCATATGATATTAAAAATGCACCCTCACTGCTGCCTCTGTGATCGGTTTGGCTGATTTTTGCATGCATGTGTTAACTCATCCCTGGCCCATGGGATTATAGTTTCTTATATGTGTTATACCATTACTTTGATAAATTAAAAATTTTAATGCATTCCTATTCATATGGTCTAAAATTGCCGCTAATGTTTTTTATAAAACGTTGGCAATCAATTGCATGTCCATTATTATTAACTAAAGGAATAAATTTATGTATAAAAAAACAACAAAAAAACTGCTGCCTCTGTGAGTTTATTTTGTTGTATTTAATTTTTCTCTGCTTACACTGATCTCGCCAGGATTAAAACAAATGACCGCTAAAACCATTTGAGATGCCTAGAACAACCCATTTGCATTGATTTGGAAATCAGAAAAATCATGAAAAACTTCATAGTTTGATAATTTTATGGGAGACAACTGAATAGAAAAGAAATCTTTCAGTTTTACTGATCCACATAAATGAATGGATCACTAGTTTCAATAAATTGAATTTTGTTTATTAGACTGATACTGTATATTTGCTTGTCTTGGCGAATTCTTTTTTGTAATTTCAAAACATATATATGAAAATGTTTATTTTCAGGACCTACTAGATGTGAGTCGATGGCAGAGTTTGGTCCAACAGTTCAGATTTGAAAATTTTAAACTCCATCAACTGAACAGTCAATCAATATTCTCAGTAACTCTGCAGTCTGGCCTTTCAGCATTGAAAACACCGTATCCTTTGATATATACAAAAAGATAAAAACAGTGGAATATATCTCTTTAATGAAAAACAATTTGAGGCTGCTCCAGCTGTGTTAGGCAACATACTTGATCTTGTGTATATCTATATTAAGGAAACACACAATGAGACCATTCCAGGTCTGTTAGCTAAAGACTTCATTTTCTGTACACACCAGAATTGGAATGTCTTGAGTCTACCGATGACTTAGTAACAATTGCTCCTTCTTAAGAATGAATTACTCCATCACCTTTGTCAGTAACAGAGTTGAAGAAATTAGATTTTATACCATTATGTCACATAACTGCAGCTTTCTGTGATGTATTTTTCTTAACCTGTCCAGTCATTGTTACAAGAACAGTCCAGACTACAAGAAAGCTGATTGTCCTGTTTGTACAAAACATCTCAACCAGCTTGCAAGACCTCTTCCATCTGCACATTGTGCCCAATCAAGACTTGTGTGTTTTATCTCTGGGGAACCTCTCAATGAACATAATCCACCTATGATGCTCCCAAATGGTTATGTGTATGGCTATAATGTAAGTACTGTATAATAGACTATATTGAACCTCTCAATGAACATAATCCACCTATGATGCTCCCAAATGGTTATGTGTATGGCTATAATGTAAGTACCATATAATAAACCTAAATGTACATACGTAATAGAACGTGTTGTAGCAAGAACCTGGTGTATTAGATCTGAAGCTCAATCAGAAGACCTCAGTTTGATTTTAAACATGTTTGACCAAAATAAAGAAGAAGGATTTGTTTGATCCTTTTATTGCATCTTTTCAAAGTGCTTTATCGGTTTTTTGTTTATTAATGAAATTATATACCTGAAGCAAAAGCCTAAAATTCATTTCACGAGATATTGGTTTATTCTAGTCACATGTTTATGTGCTATATCGTCATTTTGTTTATTAATGAAATTATATACCTGAAGCAAAAGCCTAAAATTAATTTCATGAGATATTGGTTTATTCTAGTCACATGTTTTTGCCTTGTTTGTATTAATACATGTATGTGGAAGTAAATCATATATTCTCTTTCATTCCAGTCCCTGGTACAGATGGCAGGTGATAATGAAGGAACATTAGTATGTCCTAGGACTGAAGACATTTATTCATTTGATGAAGCAGAGAAAGTGTTTGTCATGTAGCAAGAAAGTATTTATATTTATGGAGAATTTTTTTTCTAATGGACACTTTTTATTGGATGGAAAAAGTTTTTGTTCTCAGTGTATCTTGCTTACATTAAAATGCAAGATCACTTTCTTGAGTGAGCACATCAAAACACATTTTGGAAACACATTCCCTCCCACATTTTCACTTTTAGCCAACCAAGTACAGATCACAAGTAAGAAAGTATTTACTTCGTATTGAGAGTGAGAGAATTTGGTCGGTTAGAATGGATATTTCAATTGATTCCATTGAAATGCGAAAACATTCTGGATAACCAATCGACTCTCGCATTTTTAAAACTTCTAAAATGGTTCACATTCAACATGTTTCAATGTACCTCCAACTGGATTAAAATAAAATTGTATCAAACACTTCCATTGAAATGAGAAAGTATTAAATTAAATAAGTTCTCACTTATATTGCAGTAACACTACAACATGTACTCATCCGAAGGTGAGAGAAACCGTGTTAGACAGAAAAAGTATTTGATACTTACATCATATATTATTATGTAAAGTGGACAAAAAAGAAAAAAGAATGTCAGTAGGAAAGACATGGGTGTGAAAAACACTTTTAAACACAGAAATCTCATAGCACAGCAGGACTGAATTTGACAGTTATCAACCTAAGCCTAAGTTAAGCCATAATGTCCTGGGGCAGAGGAGAAAAAGCCCTCAGCTATACCTGAACAATGATATTTAAAATGGTGCTGAAGCCACGGCCCAAGGAACTTCAGATTCTAGATATTCTGAGAAAATGTATGGCCAGTAGTCAAGAATGGTACCTGCATGTATTAATTTTGAGGGCTAACAGCCTTGTATGCAATCAATAGTGTGTAGTATGAAGTACAGGATATACAAGGTGGGCCAAAAATGTTACTGATTTTAAAGTGTAACAACTCATTCATTATTGGCATTTTTGGCCCACCCTGTATATATAAAACAAACCATGAGCTTGTATAATTGTAAATAAGTGGAATAAAGGGAAAAACTTAAATTGATGTATTTTATGTTCTTTGTTTTTTTGGCAAGAAGTTACTTGGTTTTGTAGAGTAGCCTCTTCGAAAAATTGTTCCAGATTTAGAATATTTTGGCTCTAGAAACGGCCAGAAAAAGTGCCCAGACTGAAGACTAATAATATAACCATTGTAGAAATCTTTGACTTCCAAGATGCTTATAAACTAACGTTTTTCTGAATAAAGATGGAGTGTATACAATGATTTGATTTATATCACTGATTTCAGTCCTGTTTAGACAATTAAGGAATAAAGACCGAGATTCTATGATTTATGGCGCAATAAATGACCGAAATTTTTATTCTATTCAATAGACCTATAGTGCGTGAAGAGATTGAGGTCTTCGGCAATGACCAGAATAAAATCTGAGGTAATTTATTTGCCATAAATCATAGAATGGAGGTCTTTATTACGATTCTAATATGATAAACAAATCAGAAAATCAATGATTTGCATTTATGAAAAGCATTCATACATGTTTGATTACAGACCAGTAAATCAATTGTTCTAGTTATTGTGATGTCATATTCGAAAGATGTAAGTGTGGGCCATGGGATGATTATAGGATATCCTATGATTTTGAGGAATATCATTTTTATCTTCTAGGTGACATTGATATCTGCACGAGAGAGCAAAGCGAAAGAGTGCATATATCAATATCACCGAGTAGATTAAAACGCTATTCTGAAAAAAAATCATAGGATGTTCTTATTATCCTACACTTAGAAGGAGTGTACTAAATGTATAATATCATTGCAAAATGAATTTCATGCCAAATAGAGTCAATTTGGGGGGGGGGAAATCAACAAGCGGAGTATATTGTCACAATATCCTCCGCATATTGGGTTTTCCGAGGTATATCGTCACGATATCCTCTGGATATTCATTTTGCCATTTAATATCAAATTTTTTTTATGTTATTGTACATTTAGTACAATAAGTGTAGGATAAGGAATGTTATCAGGTAATGAAGGGTCAATACCCATGGTGCTGTTTAAGATTGATTTTCAATAAGTTTTATGAAAGAAGTCGGATAACCTGGGATAAATGTAGCAAAATGATGATGAAATCACATAAAGGGATTTTATTTCAATGAGTGAATAATGATTGACCCATTAAGTTTAAAATTAGGAAAATTTAGGTGGACATTTTGCAAATGTCAACGTTAATAGTTCTACACCAATTTTTCCACTTTGAATAAATGATGAAAAATAGAAGTGGACAAGACATCACTCAGAACAAAACAAAACGTGATCATTTTTATATATACATATTTTATTAAAAACAATATCCAAAATAAGATATTTCATGACACTCTATGAATATATATTTTTCTATTAAATAACAATTGAAAAACATGAAAGCAGATCAATCATAATCTCTAATAATTTCATATTTGCACTCAATGGTGTTTCACCAGTTTCATTCTTATGGCAAGCTTTGAAAATCAGGGACCACCACATTATACTCAAATCACATTTTAAATTGTGTGCTGCATAAATATGATGTGATGTGACCGGATATAATACCTTATATTTTATAAGCAGGGTTCTAAACTAAGAAATTGATAACAAGGTTGCAGTTGAAACCTGTTGGGCTGGGAATCATTCCCTTGCCATGCAACCACTTTTTAAAATTCTTGCCAAAGTGATATTCATTGCCAATGGGGCAGCCATGAATTTTGAACACTGTTCATATGACACAATTTGAGAAATATCAAATGTAGAATATTAAAACTCATCCTACATGCTTAGTTCTTGACTTCTTGATCATACAAGCCGAAATTTCTTAAGGTAGTTCTGCACTTTCAAAAAAGGTTGAAATAAAAAATTCAAGAAACATTTAATACTCAATGAAAATATTTTTACTTTGAACAATATGATTATATGAATGACCACATTAAAATGTGTAAAATATTTCATCAATATTTGGTTATGATAATCGGGAATATTACAAAAATATTCTTATTACACAGATCTACCTTAACTTGTAATTTTTTAGATCTTTAAGAAATCTTCTTTTTTGCCAAAATGAAATACTGTACAACCGATGGCAATGAATGTAAACCCCTTACTGAAGCCATCAAAACATGACCTCCCTAATAGGAATATGATGCATTATCATGTATTGTAAATACATGTACTACAATGAAAAAAGTAGTGTAATGCATGGTAATACTGTAATTCATGGTATGAGTGTAATGCATGGTTATGGAATATTCATATTACATCCTAACAAATTTAATTGTGGGGTGGCATATCTAAAACCTGAATGAATGTCATATGTGAATCTGAATCATATTCAAGAAATACCCCAATGAGTTTACTTTTTGAATAGCAGGCCGTAGCCAGGGGGGGGGGGGTTTGCAGGGTTTGGGCGAATCCCCCTGGCCAAAAATTCTTTCAAAATCATGCAGTTTTTCACCATTTTGAGGACTTCTCAAGTGATTTTAGCCATATTTGGACCAAAATTGTTAAATGTGAACCCCCCACTGGAACGTTTTGAAAACTGAACCCCCCTTGGCAAATCCTGGCTACGGTCCTGAATAGCATGTAATGAAAAAAAGTATCTAACATTTTACATGAACTTTCTTTTTGTGTCCATATCTATCAGAACCACAATATTCCATAAAATGTATAAAGGAAATAAGATCATCACAGGTATAGAATTCAGCTTGGAATTGGATTTAGAAATGAATATTATATGTTTGAAAAGCTTTAAATAATATGAGCTTATATTTGTGAATGCATTTTATCAGATGGTTGTGGGGAGAAAAGAAATAAAGATATATAACATCTCAGTTAAGAATTGACTAAAAAGCAGATACTAATCCTGACAAATGTAGTCATTCATGGTAACAGTATAATGCATGGTAATAGTGAAATAGATGATAACTTCATGCCTATATTAGACATACTTAATTTTTACATTTCTGAGATTCTAACTTCCTTGGACCATCCATACTGGATATGGGTTCTGCCTATCTACTTTATCAAATGGTGGGTAACATTTAGGAGAGCCATGATAAGAAAATTTCCATGGGTTATGTTTCAAAAATGGCTCTTGCGACGATGCTAATACTTGTAGAGATGTATTATATGGTACAGCGGGTGGTTGATAGATGTCAGTAATGGTGGTGTCTAATTTTTTTGGCCCTGGTTCACCTTGGGGGTGAATTCTTGGAAAACGTCTATGCACTGGCTTTTTAGTATTCTGGTCACCCTGATAAGACACGGCATAATTAGAATCATATGAGTAATTCACTGTTGTTCTTCCATCATGTTTAAGATAGTCTTTGTTTGTAAAGTGGTGCCTGTCACTAGGTTTTGTTAAATTTTTTCCCAATGTTCTTGTATCTTGGCCCTGGAAAAACCCAAAATTGTCATTAAAATTGAGCATGGGTAAATTTTTTTTTTGTAATTTTGAATATTCATTTAAAGGGCCAACAGCTTAAATTTCCTAAAAATAATCCTAAAATGTTTTTGCTTCATAATTATATATAACTTGTACATTGTACAATCAATAGACTTGGATTGAACCTTCTTTTCTGAAAATATCTAAAAGTCCTTACATGACAAGTTCCAAACTGAAAAAAACTCGCACTTTTTTCAATTTCTACATGACATGAACAATTTATTTCAATGTTCAAAAAGTGAGATTATGTCCCAAGTCCATTAATTGTATAAGTTACATATCATTATGAATTTAAGATATTTTCGGATCATTTAAGATGAGAATAACATTTAAGATGAGAATAACATTTAATGGCCCTTTAAATATATTCTGTAAGAATGTATATATTTGTAAGAATCTTCATTCAAATATTTATAATCAGTTCCATATGTAAAATTGTTTACGCTAATGCTTATAGAATGATGTTTCAAAATGAAGAGTACATTCAGAAGATACTAAACTAATTTTCTACATTTATATTAGTAAGCTTTTCATTGGCATCCTACAACAATAGAACTTTCTAATACAATCTATACTCTATTACTAATAATAAACTAAGTTGTTCTTACATTCCCAAAGTACACTCCATGGTCCTGGAAAGAGTTTCGGTTGTCATGACTAGAAAATGTGTTCTTTAGTTTGAAATTTTTCTGAAACCAAATTAAGTTATCATAAGCGAGTAGTTAAAAGCAAGCATGTTAATGCACAGGGTGACCCAAAAGAATTAACCTATGAATAGAAATAATAAGTAACATTTTTGGGTCACTCTGTATGCCGGTATCATAACCTTGAACATTTGTAGAATAATGTTTATCATGCTAATATTTGATAACCTGAGTTTAAAAACTCATTAGAAAATGGTTATTAAGCCTAAACTACAAAATGTTGACACATTTTATATATATTATTTCTAATCTAAATATTCTACAAATGTTAAGTATATGTTTTTACATAGAATATAATACTACCAATCATGATATACCCTAGTGGCTGTCTTACTGAGATTAATCAATCTGCTATGTAAGAAAGAGAGTATCAGAATGCTTCCACTAAACCATTTAAAATTAGGCTTACAACCAATAATTCAAATAGAAATACAAGAATTGAATGGGCATAAAATCAATTAGGAACCAATTTTCTTGTATCATTTCTAATTATTTCCTCCCCATTGTGTTCTGAGTTCTTGAAGTGGAGATAATGAGACTAACGAATAATACAAGATTGAAACCAGAATTAGAGATAATCAGTAAAGGGTGATAAATAACTCTTTTCTCCATCCTAGAATTTGCCCATTTTAATATCAAAGGAAATCTTAGACCCTAGGATGGGTTTCTTCCGATTTGGTTCCATTATATATTTTATGATGAAATTGTTGGTTGTTCATTGATTAATGAATAGTAAGCATGCTATACATTACTTTGTCACTATTATAGCTAGGTTTAGATCAATTTAATCCTCTAAGCTGAGATCAATATACCACTAAGGAACAGCCACTATTTACAAAGTTAGGATGATACTAGAAATAAGATACTTTAGAAAATTCTAAATGGATTTTATTTACCACTATTCCATTAGTTCTAACAAGATTGGTCTAAAAATTTCTATAGATACCATTCACCAATGTTCAGATAATATTACAATCTATGATTAAGCTACAAAGGGTTGTTACTATTTTTCTATGAAAATCACTAAGATTAAATATTTCTACACTGTTCAGGCCTATACAAGAATTTTCAGTTTAAAAGGCTGCCCTGTGTTGTGTGATATCGTGGACTTTCAAGAGATGTCAGATATATTTATCTTCCATAGGCCAGAAGAAATTTTACAAAAAATCCCAATAAGCCAGAATTTATTATCTTCACATGCTTTGGGCTTACTTACCTGATCTTTTTCACAATATGGTGCTGGAGGAGGTAATGGTTTAGTCTTAGATGACTCTTTGAAGGTAGAGTGTAACATTCCACCTGTACTTGTATCTACACGTCTGTCCAATGTACTCCACACATCATTGCCCCTATGGCGAAACTAAAAATAAATCAGAAGATAAATGAAACATTATGTTCAGTTATTATTCTCATTTTCTAATCTGTCTAACCATCAGGATTTAATAATTTTAGCAGAAACAAACTTTACGAATGACCAGAGATTCTCCATCAGCCATGGGTGCCTACTAAATATTGTTACTAGAATTTAAATATAATATGTACTTACCCAAACTCCATCAGACTGGGTTGGTGGTGCATTTAATCTTCCTTTGGGCATTTTTATAAAATCTGCCTAAATAAAATGAAGGCTTGGGTAATTTTTCTACTTTCAAAACTTTTATAAACTTTTTACAACTTCAATTAAAGTTCCATATTGTGATATCACTCCTTATTTGAGCAGTTATATGCCAAATAGTTGTCAGTCGTATGTCTGAAGTAAGTTTCAGCTCAATAATTCCAATGTGAAAGCTTATAATCCCCTTGATATTAACCAAATCGATTAGAAGTCATCTATAAACAAAGTTTATCTAGCAGATCGTTGTCATAGTTGGCATGCCAACATTGCCTCGCTTTGAATAAATGATTTGAGCGACATCTTTATTTAGATTTCAAAATCTCCCGCAAAAACAACCCTCAAAAGTTTGTTATTTACAAGGGGTGTTAGTATGTGATTTGAATAGTTATCTTACACTTTTTTCCATTTGATATTTATTTGATAGCTTTCGAACTTATCACTGTATTGAAATGTATTAGAATAAGACATATTGGAGTTATTTTGAGCCGTCATGTTGTGCCTATTTGATCCAAATGTGACTAGAATAAATCCTGCCAGCCCTTTTAAAAATCACAACTTACACATTGAACTCGTCCGAATTAAAAGGAGAAGACATGGATGACAGGAAAATGTGCTGAATTTCAACAAAAGTTTATTTCAATTTGTAAGTATTTTTACACCGTATATTCTCTAGTAAAGTACATATTTTAGATCACAAATATATTCTGATAACATATTGACAGTGTGTGGACTAAGAGTTCATATTAAAACAGAAAACGTTGAGTAAAGAAGAGTATGTTGAAAATGAATTTCAATTTCTTCAAAAATTAAAAATTACTTGAGACTTATGATTATGATAAGCTTACTGGATAGGTGTATTATGAAAAATGCATATGCTCTGTGTTCCTCACTAATATACACACAGTCAAATATATGAGGGTTATAAATCGGAGGTTTTGGATACAGGGTGAGTATCTGGGGTATATCCTGTGGGAAATACAATATTGATTTCTGGGGGGTTAGCCCGGGGGTTAAAAGCTCTTTTATCTAATGGTTTTATTCTTATTGGTTGTTGGGGAGGGGATGCGTTTGCACCGATCACACCCTTGCAAGACTTCAATACACTACTAGTTATGGGGATGATTTGAAAAATCAACCCCACATTTAGGGGTACTTCACCCCTTATTGTAACTTATCTCAGTGAGTCACAGTCCAAACGCACTTAAAAACTATTTTTGGAACCCCATAACCCCCCCCCCCCAGGCTACAGGCCTGATATTCCAGTTGTAGGAAAGCACTGAAGATAAATCTGAATAACCTGGGCAAAGACTTTTATGACAACTCTGTAGATTCAAAAGAAAAGATTAGAATGTATTCTCATTTATCAATATCTCTCTTATCTAAAGCTTGTGTATTCTAAGGGATAGTATAGTCTAGCTACGAGCCTCTGTGACCCCCCCCCCTCTCCACGGAACACCTTCTCACACTTGTTGCAAGGGCTTGTATCTAGACTAGGGATAGTTTAGAGACTGTGGATCCCACAATAAGCAGAATAATTTTGGGCATTTACATATTCATGAAAATTATGGAACTAAATGTACATTCAGTGCTAAAAGCCAAGAAGTGAAACATTCAATACAAGTTATGCTGAACAGAGCCACATAGGTTTTCAAATACAATTCCAAATTTGAATTAGATAAACCCTTCTACAGCATTATACACTGCTTATTATGTGTTTGAAAATATTTAAGAAGTTCAAAACCACTTATCTAGCATCTTTTCTTGCTATTATGATAATCAAAATCATATTTTCAAGGTCCTAGAATTGAAGATATGTCTAATTATGCATAATTGCCCTAATCAAACGGTTTGAAGTATGAGCCAATTATGTTTGAAGTATGTAATGGTCATGTTCTAAGTATTTAGGAAAGATTAAGAGATAAAATGAAAGATGTTATTCTTCTCACAAGCTGGTCCATATTATTGCATTAAATCTCTACACCATCCACCATATCTACTTTACTTCTGATCACCCCAGAGGTGGGGGGGGGGGTCACAAAGGTTTGAAGCAAGATTTCAAAATCATAATGGTAGAATAAATAAGACACATAAATATATATTTCATGAATTGCCGACACTTTTAGTAAGTGTATATTTCCAATAAAAGGCATCTTGATCCTATAAGATATTACATAATGTATATGACTAAAGGTTTACAGTATGAATAAAAGCTAAGTTCAAACCCCCCTCCCTCTCATATATTGCAAGACAGGCGGATTAACATTTACCTGATAGGCTTATTATCTTCACACTGATGGTAATTTTCTTAATTAGTCTATTATATTGTCCAAATCTAATTTTGTTTTGATCATTTCAACAAGATTAAAAAACAACAAACATATGATTGATACAGAAGCTTATTAAATATCAATTAATTTTCTCTTATTCAACAGGTGTCTCCTCCATATGTGAGAAGTTGCACTAGTTTGAGACAAGATGAATGCAGACTTATTCCTTTGTGATGATGTCAAAGAGTTGTTTCACAACAAGTTTGTGGTCATCATGGGAGATTCAAGTAAGTGGTCTTATGCAAGTAGGTGGTCTTATGCATTCCATGTACATGTGTCTTACCCTTCATTGGGGGAGGGGGAGGGCAGGGATCATTCATGTGAAACTTTCAGGGAGGCTCAGAATTTTCTAAATTCTCCAAAAGCTAAAATCAAGTATGCACTTTTTTCCAAACATGCCTTTGTTAGCTGACATATAGGCCAGCGTTTATGATTTTTTGGAGATATTTGAAATTGTAATCCTGTACATGACTCTAATCTGCAGGGTAGTACTCATATATCTGTCTGCACTTGTTTCTTCATTATAAGAATGGCCGGAGGGTTGATCCATAGCACATGTCAACTCACCAATGAAATTCTAGACATTTTCTACATCCTCCATTAACATTGTAAGATGATCCTGGAATCTAGATATCAATCATGTCACATCATAGGAACAAAAAATCCAGAAGAGTTTGTTTGGGAGTAGCATGTGTGACACAAAAAAAATCACATCCAAAATTGAAATAATTTCTTTAATATAAGCACTCGGCTTCATTTTTTGATGGGCACAGAAACAACATAAATGTTTAATGAACTTGCAAAATTGAAATGATCCATTTTTCGAAAAGTGACTTTTGACTTCAGATTGTCCAGTGTAACTTTGATGGCATAAGTTCTACCATTGATTCTAGTTTATGTACCTAATAAAATAAAGTTCATAGCATAGATAATAAAGAAATTATTCCAGCTTTGACTTGCCCAGTTTATTTGTCACCCTGTATAAAAATTACAGGCAAGCAATTTGTAGATTTAGGCTTAGTTCCCACAAGTTACATATAGAACTTGGTCGTCATTTAAAGCCAAAGCCAAAACCTGTAGATGAACGTTTATGTAATATTTGTGGTATTTTAGAAGATGAACAACACTTCATCATGATTTGTAAGAAAAACACTACAGAAAGAAAAATTTTGTTTGACACCCTTACACGATTTAATTTTGTAGGCAGTCCTGACATTATTTTTAAAAAACTAATGTCTCACAAAAATTCTTATGTAATTTTACATTTAGCAAAGTTCATCTATCATTCACTCAAAAAATTGGATTAATGTGTCAACGATGCATCACACTGATATTTAAATTTCTGTCAAGTTATATTTGTATTTTACAATTATCTTGTATTCTGTATTTTACATTTGATGATGTAATTAGAATTGTATTTGACAACAACTTTATTTTTGTATTCAATAGTTAGTTTAGTCTTAGGTCAGTTTTGTAGATTGTAGTTTTTAGTGACTAATATGTCATTGTAATGACATCAGAGAGTCAATAAAAGATATATATATATATAGGGGTGAACATCTCCCCATATGGAACTCACAGAAAGAACCCTGATGACCTTAGGGAATTTTAATGTCCATCCCTGTTAGCAGACAAATCTATATGGGTGTATAATTATGAATTACTGCCTACCAAACAAACTCAATGCTCCAGTCGCAACACATCAACCAGGGAATGTTTGTTATTGTTCCCAGCTAAGAATTTTAGGGAAATATTTTGATCTTTTATAACACCTTACATCTCTCTCTTCAGCACACTTACATTATGATGTCACATGATCTTTCCTATATGCCATTCCCAGCAGAAAGAGAAATTATTGGTTAATTACTCAGGTGCAAGTAGGTAATTACCAGTTTCGCCACCAGGTGGCAAATTCGGGGGGATATCATGGCAGGGTATTACAAAGTTCCCTTTAACTTGAATATTCATCAGATTTAGTGGGTCACTTTTCAAATTACCTTAATGTATCTGATATTTTTACAAATTGAAATATGTCCAGTAAAAGAAAATATTATCTGCCCAACACTAGAAAAGATATTTCACTTTTTGTCATTTTACTACAGGGGATCTATGGGGAATCCCCCCCCCCCTACCTAGAAGTCACATTTTGAAAGAAAATTAAATTTTCAAAGTTGATAATCTCTCTTCAAAACCACATTTCTAGATGTGATTTTACACGTAGATTCCAAATATGACATCAGTTTGACAAATAGGCAAAGGCCGATAGGAATATTTTTTAAATAAAGATGGCATGGTAATCGATCTGTGTATATTTATAAATATTCTCTTCAGGTAATCAACGGGAGCCGAAGTGGTACTTTTAAAATCCACATTTCGCCCCTAAATGCCGATCATTCTTGTGAAACAGCCCTACTGTTTGATAAAAGACATATCCATATACATACTAAGTGTGTAGTGTCGATCAAACACTAACTGAAATAGGCATAATATGCCTAAGAACAGCAAAATTATGGTTTGCGAAATTGGCCATGGCAGATTTCCGGAAGTAGTAATTATTCACTTCTCTCTTCGATTAGACGTTTATTCTCAAACATCTACAAATGATCTGAAATGATTTTTTCGTATTTTTAGATAGTTTTTAGAATGGTATGCTATTTCTAAGGCTTCGCTAAAAATCGGTAAGTACCAATGGTATGCTTTGCGCATGCCCAAAATCAATGAACACTTGATTCCTGCCATGGCCAATTTCGCAAAGCGGGACAGTGCCGTTTAATGACATGTCAGGCCGTCAGTATGTCATTACATATCGATTTTATGTGCTAGGTAGTTCAATCCATATGTTTTCTTTATATCTAGTTATATTTTTCACATTGGGAACAGCGTTAGTCGACATTAATTGGTATTCAAAAACTACATCAACAACTCGTTGAGCACCTGAGAGAAAAATATAATACTGGGTTCTGTTGGTGTTGCCATCTTTATATCGGCCCAGAACCTATGGTTTGACAGTTTCACTTTGAATGTTGAATTTTTAATGACATAAATCAAGATTATTTCTACTCGCATCTAGTCTATTTGAAACATAGGATCTATGCTATGGGCTGATAAAAAGGACTATACTCAGCATGCTAAAGCATTAGATCAATTACAGATAAAACAACTCAAATACAATATTTGTAGATAAAATTTATGCCATGATACTCATAACAGTAAATTGGAGGGGGGGGGGTCCAGGGACAATCAGAAGACTAAGCATAGTACATGTGTGTATATAAAAGTATTCATTATTATGAACTTGCTACACCAGTAACTTTTTTTAATAATGACATGGAAAAAATGAAATATAAGTTAAAATCTTACTAAAATATCAATTTTCTATTTTTCAGTCCAGAGGGGCATCTACAAAGATCTGATAGGGATGTTACAAAGCAACAAGTATTTGACTGAATCTCATCTAAAGCAAAAGGTAATATGAGTTGGAAGATGAGAGGGGTAATAGAAGCGAGTGTTGACAGATTTAAACCCATAAGAGTAAGGGCTGTAAGGGAAAGGGCAAAAACAATAGAGCAAAAACAATAGAGGCGCTAGGCCTTTATAGTCTTGCTCCAAAACCCTGGACTATCTACTCTAACTGACAGGTATTAGAGTAGATAATCCAGGGTCTTAAAGCAAGACAAAGGCTTTGTTACATTGGTTTGAAATAAGGTAAGGTTTTAGTACATGTAATTGATTTGCATAATCATTTCAGGACTTACTGTTCTATTTAACTGTCTCGCAATGTGCGTATTTGTCACGCATTTGCTGAAGAAATTCAAAAGTCATGCCTGTTTTTTTGCGTGACAGAAAGTGTCAAGCAAATACACATTTTTTCTAATCAATGTCAAGCAAAAATGTTTCAGTTCACGCTGAAAAAATGAACGCTGAAAAAAACGAACACCGAAATAATCGGACATAGTTTGTTAGGAAGTTTCACGCGAATTGCTAATATGTCACACATTTGTTTTGTTTTATCACGCCCCTATTCTTTATTTCAGGGGGAGCATTCCGTATTAAGGGACAAGTTGATAGAAGGAGGTCGCCTTGGTCAGATGCACAATGGAAAGTCATACAGAGAAGTCAGGCAGTATCAGACAGATTTCCATTTGGTCAGGTAAATACCATGATCAGAGGAACTCCAAGGCTTTCACCAGGAAATATTTAGGGTGTGGTGCTAACATCTTCAGAATAGTTCAATCGGGATAAATAATATTTATGTTATATTTTATCCTTTTTGGCTCACACAGTGAGCCTATGGGATTGACCAGGCGTCCGTCCGTCCGTTGGTCCGTCCGTCCGTCCGTTGGTCCGTCCGTCCGTTGGTCCGTCCGTCCGTTGGTCCGTCTGTCAACATAGGCCGCACAAATTAAAACTGCTATTCGGATTGAGTCATATCCACATTCATTTTATGCATATCCATAATGCCTATTTGACCTATCATCGCCATTTGCCAAGTTCGCCCGGTTTCCGAGAAATTGCGAATTTTGACGTCAAAAAGTCAAATTTCCTGTAAATACTAGACACTTTGTTGAAGTAGAACTTTCAAATAACTTTTAGTAGTTGGTGTATATGCAACTTATGTCCTCTGAAGATTTCAAAGCTCTTGGAATTACGGTTTTTGATGTTTACTCTTTAAAATTTGAAAAAAAGTAGGACTTAGTCATTTTCAGGAAACTTTCTCATGTATAAAGTCAATGGCAGGTTTTGTGATTGACAAGATTCTTAAAGTTTGCCTTATACTTGATCATTTCCTGCAATAAATTACATCATTAATAGATTTAAGCATTCCCTACATATTTCTCAACATATGTCAGCATCAAATTTTTACCATTTTTGAGATATTTGACGTCAAAAAACAGTAAAAGAAGTTGCCAGGAGTTCAAATCTGACATTAGTTTTAGGATTTGACCTTTACTTGACCTTCAGTGACCTTCGAAAGGTCAAAAAAGTTGATTTTTCAAATTGATTTTTGGATGTAAATTTTGGTCAGCTTAATCACAAAAGACCTTACTGAGCTCTGAATAAGTAAAATTTTCAAGGTCAAAGGTCATCAAACTAGGTCACACAACTATGCTATCTTAGTTTCTCAAAGTTCGAAAGTTTGTTTGAAAGTCAGGATATAAATTCCTCTGAAGGTTCCAAACTGTGTGAGCATAGGACCGTGGGTCCTTCATTACATGTTATTGTTGTATATTCAGTCAAGTTTAGACTGTGGAAACAGTCATGATTTGCCAATAGGGTGTGGAGGGAGCTAAATAGAGTGTGGTGCTGCGCCACAGTCTAAAAGCCTGGCACGAGCCCTGGACTCATTGACCATGGTGTCATGTTGTAATATGAAAAATAAAATAGAAACCGTGAAATAAGAAACTGAGAGGTCAACTGGTATAAGTATAAATGTAGTCAAAATTGAATTGAAATGAAAGAAAATTGATCATATATTCAAATTTTTGAGAGAAATAGCATGGAATTAACATTAGCTGTTGCATTATGATACTATTATAGTATTTGGAGCCATGAATTGTGTTTAATATAGTATATAAAACACAATGGGTCAAAATTATGCAATATACAAAGTTCCTTCAAATAAGCTTAGCATATTAGTTATTCTTATTCAAGTTTAAATACATAAAATCTGTTAACATGTCATCCAAGTAGATTAATTATATTCATTTTATTAGTTTGTTTTGATTTATTTGTGCTTTTAATGGCCTTTTATATTTGTTTTAGGAAATAGACCACATAAACATGTGAATAAAACCACTTCTTCAGAAAGATGGCAGCACCAACATGTTAATAAATATCACACTGTTCAAAAGATAGCAGCACTTAAATTAGCAGTACATTTTGATCGCTTTGATTGGTTATTGGTTTAAGTGGCATTGAGTACTCAGCTCATATGTTTAACTGATAAGTTTGAATGCTAACACATCTCCTCCTGCTAACACATTTCCTTCTGCCATTTGGCTTCATATTATTTAGATATTTTACTGGGGAATTCAAGCAAAATATTATAACTTAGAGAGAAATGTGGTGATAAAATTGAAAATGTTAATTTCATGAAAAACAAAGTGAATCTATGTTTGATGCTAGCTTTAAAAGTGCTATGTCCTGACTAAAAAACCATCACATTTGAATTTTCTTTTAGCTTAGTACGCCATCTGGAAGTGTCATGTGTATCGCTTCTCGGCCTTTTGGCTAAGATCAAAGTGTAGTATCTGTTCTTATCAGCTTAATATCTGATACGATGTCCATTGGACATCTTCGATATTAAACTGATTTTTGTACCTGGGCGAAGTGTAAGGGGCTTGCTCCACCTTTGCCATGGGTTGGCCCGGTATTGCAGTACCTCCGGGATCGGCCCACTCCCCTTGGGGAGAACAAACAATAAAGTTAATTTCCCTCCTCCCTTAAGATCCTTGGATATTCAGCCTGTTATTTGATACAAACTGAGAAGATTGATTTTCAGTTGGAATTTAAGCAGCAGGGCTGATATTATAACCTGCTCAATGTCAACAAGTGCAATCTACTTCAGAACCAAGGGGTTCACTCTAAATAATTTGGTATCTTCGGCTCATGAGAGGAAAAAACCATAGAGAATTGTTCAAGAAAGTACCTTTTTTACAAAAAATGGCATTAAATTGGTTAAATCAGTTGCCGAGGCCTGGGACAAACCACTGTAAAAGTTGATTTTCAGTCAATTTCACAATATTTCAGGAAATTTAGTCCCAGCAAACTTCAGAAAATTTGACATGGACATATCTATGATGTTTAGAGATATGCAATTACCTTTTAAAAGTCTGAGAGGAATTAAACATGGAAACCTTCAATCTTGAGAGTAGATTGACCTGGTAAACGCCCAAAAGGTGGCCTTTGGTATGGCACATAGGTATTAAGAGGTATATTTAAGTGAAACCCCCAGACCTCAGGAGTAGCTTGTTGTATTAAAGTAGCTGTTACTTTCAACATACTGGTCCACTGGAAGATTTGAAGAACAGGAAACAATTGTATTTTTCGATAATAGCATTGGCGCACCAGACCACCTTTTGAACATTTTTTCCAGGTCAAGATTGAAGGTTTTCATGTTTATTCCTCTCAGACTTAAATAAAAGCCTATTTTATTCCTCTCAACTTCATAGATATGTCCATGTAGAATTTTCTTAAGTTTGCTGGGACTAAATTTCTCGAAATATAGTTTTCAAATCAAATCAAATCAAAACTTAATAGGATTTTTGTTAGGTGAAATAATATGAAAACAATTTATTTGCTGTTGAAGTGTCATTTCTTATGTTTTTGTCTTTAGATAGTTCAACACTTAGCAGTGGTTATGTATTGTTAAATGGCCTCCACTTTTGACCAGCATTCAATCAGGCGATTAGTGCTCAGGGCGTGTTGTTATACAACAGTTGTTATATTTTTGGAATCATTTGCAAGAACTAACAAGGTGGTGACATTTTGTTATGTTACGTCAGGAAGTACAAACATAAATCCCCTGTTATGCCTTGTTGGGAGGGAATGTCGGAAATGTTGGCCATGTTCACAAACATACAAGCACTTTGTATGATTTAGAAATATTTAAGTGAATCTAGCTCTAAATAATTCACCACAACAAAATCATTGCAACATCATAAACCTATTTTATGGATGGACTATGATACAAACTGTCCTTGAAATATTGAAGCTTTGAAAAATGTACATGTGCAGCTGTGCAACTAATATGTTGCGGTGACCTTTAAAAAATTGATAAAAATTAAAATTGGTGTAAGGAATATTTAGATTATGTTTGTAGAATGTAGATTTCCCTGCCAATTTTTATTTGTAATTTTCTTAGTTACTTTGTTTATCTAACATGTTAGATTGGTCTTTACATTTATTTAACATGTGAGACTGGTCTGCACATGTGGTTATCTGAATGCTTAACAGTTAAGTAGCTTAGGTTGAGGCAATCAGTCCTTAACAGTCAATTTGTTATCTTTATATATCACACTACTATACCTTGCATTAGGTGTTCATGAGCAACCCATTTGGCTTATTAGTAATGATTATGTATTTGTTTTTATTTGTCTGTTCCTTATGAATGGTTTATCAGTTGAAAATTAGATGCTAGTAAGGCACTTTCAAAAATATATTAAACAATTCAATTAGACAAACAAAGTATCTTATGCATTTCTAGGTGTTAGGTATAGTAGTGTGTATATGCTAAATGTGTAATTATTTTGCTGCATAGTTTTCATTATATTTTGTTCACAAATTCAAGAAAAATATTATAATTTAGAGAAAAATGTGGCGATATATTTCAAAATGTTCATTCGATAATGAATAGTGAAATATTTTATTTGAAGCTAGAAATGAAGTGCAATGTCCTGACTAAAAAACCATCACATTTGAATTTTCTTTTAGGTCAGTTCGCCGTCTGGAAGTGTTATGGGTATCGCTTCTCGGCCTTTTGGCTAAGATCAAAGTGTAGTATCTGTTCTTATCAGCTTAATATCTGATACGATGTCCATTGGACATCTTCGATATTAAACTGATTTTTGTACCTGGGCGAAGTGTAAGGGGCTTGCTCCACCTTTGCCATGGGTTGGCCTGGTATTGCAGTACCTCCAGGATCGGCCCACTCCCCTAGGGGAGAACAAACAATAAAGTTAATTATCTTCCCAAGTTTTGCCAAGGGGGTTATAAAATTCTAGGGGGGTGACACATGAGAAATGCTCAGAATGGTGAAAAACTGCATGATTTTGACCCACTGGCTACGAGTCTGCACACCTTGAACCTACGGAATAACTTACTGTGTAATACTATATCTTTGCAAGTAGGCCGGTAAACCAAGTGGAAGATCATTCTCAGTTTTTATCAAATATCAGGCTGAAGATTTGGAGTCTAATGGAAGAAGGGTATAAAAGTGGAGACTATCCTGGATGATCTCATTTATTTTATTTTTTTACAATTTTACTTTCAGATTTTATTACCTAACACGTTGCTATGGCCCATACATGGAAACTATATTAGATGACCTCATTGAAGAGCCTAAACCAGACTTGGTCATTATGAACTCCTGTTTGTGGGATGTTACCAGGTATTTACCAATAAGATTTGTATATTGCATTTATAATAATTGTTGTACATGTCAGTGATCTCCCTAGCATTAGGCAAGTGATCGCAATCACCCACCTGAAAATGCACCCACTTGAAAATGAGAAAAAACATGAAAAATGGGCATATTTTGACTAATGGCCTAACTCCTGAAAATAAGAATTTTACACCAACTTGAGAAAAAACCCTATGGAGAACACTGTATATGTTATTGTAAATACCTGAATGCATGGACTGTCTTAAGTACACTGTCATTATTAAGTATTAATGTATGCTTCAACCCATCATACTGATGTTGAAGAATATTATGAGGAGGTGTAGAAACAACAATAAGTGTCATGATTTCAACCTTGATAATTAAGATAATTCATTCGTGCATTATGAGTCTGTCGTCTTTGGCATCAAGGATTTAAAATTATCTATTTTCTAGTGTAACTCTATTTATTGTTTAATTCAATGAAAGTATAAGTCACCATTTATGAATTTCCAGGTACGGTATTACCAGATCTGTACCTGAATACAAGACTAACCTAGAGCGACTTTTCACCCGATTTGATGAAGTCCTGGATGACCAATGCCTCCTTATATGGAATACTGCACTTCCTGTCGGGGAAAAAGCATATGGGGGAGTACTCATCGAGGAGGTTAAGTTTATGAATGAGACTCTACGATTGGATATCATGGAGGCGAATTTTTTCGCAAAACAAGTTGTGGTGGAACATGGATATGACGTCCTCGATCTTCATTATTATTTCCGTCGCCAACTTCATCGTCGCGTAAAGGATGATGTGCATTGGGACATGACTGCTCATCGACGCATGTCCAACCTGCTACTGACTCATGTGGCCGAAGCATGGGGTAGAAATATTCCAAGACGGTTATCCAAAGATCGCAAGACGTCAACAGGTAAGATGAATGAGGATGAGGAAGTTAGCTCTACAACCCAGAATTCTGAGTTTGGTGAAGCCCCGATAGCTGATATTGATGGATGTGTAAATTCCCATAAGCATCCACTGGAAAGTTTACAAAAGTTAAGTGCGAATATAGGATTTGTGCCAATTCAAAAATCTGAAGATTCAGATAATCGATCAAGAGCATCCCTGTTAAGAAGATCTGAATCCCCTGCTTTGATCTCCAAGAGGGAGAGATCTGAATCTCCAGCTGAAAGATCGAAGAGAAAAAGATCTGAATCACCTGCTGTTAGACCTGCATCCCGAGGATCATCTGGAAGATCTAATTCACCAGCACACAAAGCTCCTTCACCGATAATCCCACCGCCGCCACCATTAATGAAACCTGAGGTCAAGTCATGGGCATATAAGCGAGGATATAAAATCTCAACAAAATCACCTCAGCCTTATGGTGGCAATACTTACAGCCCTGGCCACAGTAACACACATAACTACAACAGTGGCCCCATGTTTAACCAAACTCCCAATGCACCAGGGTTCCCCAATAACCATGCAACTCACTCCAACTCTGGTTACAACTTCAACCAATCAAACTCTTTCAGAAATAACTTTTCACCAACAGTGAATTCTAACTACCAATGGAACGATTATGCTCAGAATGATTCCAACTACGCTCCCCAGAGATATGTGACCTTGGGACACCCTCAACATCCACCCATAAATAGGCAACGTCAAGTTACTATGCGGCTTATTGGTCAGGCGAACCCATATTGAACAAATTCCATTCATATGTCAAAACTGCACAAAGTTATGTATGCTCAAAAGGTGCTAGTCTAACCTGTAGAAGGTGTTATATTTTGATCTGTTATGCTGAAATAGTCCATACCCATAATCGAAAAGTATATATCCGTCAAAGCTGCTCAATCGAAGTCATGTTTGTGCAAAAGCTGCAAGTCAAACCAGTAGAATAATGTCATTTTGAACAAGTTTGTATATATTAGTCCAAACGGAAAAATGGACAATCAAAAAACTTCACAATTTAAAGTCGAACTGTGGAATGGTGCCATTTTAAAAATGTATGTCTTAAGTCTAAGCATATGATTAAAAAACTATATCTCACATCTTGACTTGAGAAACTGTAAAATTGTGCTACTTTAAAAATATATTTGTGTATAAGTTTAAGTATGCGGATAGTCAAAACTAAAATGGTGCTACTTTAAAAATCTGTTTTATAGACGTCTAAACGAGTAATCAGAAAAGTACTACATACATATGGCATCATTCATTAAATCATTTGCACTTGAGCCAAAATATAATGGTGCCATTTTTAATATTTTTTATGTGTGCAATGTCCATGTATGAAAACCTGAGTGTTTTCAAAAACTAATTCATTGTATTTGAGGTCAAAATGTTGACATTCGTGGTGGTGTTTTGAACATCTATGTATATGTCTGTAGAAGTCCACAAACATATAATCTAGAAATATTTTTCATTTTCATATACGTTATCCTGTAGTCAAGATCTGTTATATTCTAAGTCAAAACATTTAAAATGGTGCTAGTTGCATTAGTATTTTTATTGTTTTTTTATGATTCTCAGTATTACGCATTTACTCAGTATTATCTCATAGTATATTGCTCAGGTAGTTAGTTGGGTGCACAGACCCTCAAATTGTGAAACTTAGACCTCAGTCACATATGCTCTTTGGCGGCCTTCACAAAATTGATATAGAAAATCTATGTCATACTCCTGATTACTATATTTTATGCTGCATATTTCTCCGATTTTGGGAAGCTACAGCCACTGTATGGCTGCTGTAGATCAAATGTGACTGAAGCATTAGTAAAAGGTGTTTGTACATACACATATTTAAATGTACAGTTTAGTCCAGGAAAATTGAAGTATTTAGACTTTTCTTAGGGTCTGCGTGGTAGACTGTTGGTTTTTCATTTATATGCACAATAGGTCAGTGAATGCTTAGTCCTGCATTAGTCCCCACTCCTATTACCTATTTCCAAGCCCAAAAGGGGGTTCCTTCGTGGGAATAGAAATCTTGACTTTATTTGACCAGCTATAATTGCTACCAGGGTACAAAAATTCCTCAGTATGTTGCTCCAGGGTAGGGAATTTGACAGCAAACCTTATGCAAACCTCAGTCTGGGAAAAGACTAACTGAAGGTATGAGAAATGAAAACACTTATTTTATTTCAACATACAATTTGATAGTCATATGAACTGCACTAAGTCATTTACAGTTATTTAACATGACATTTTACATGACTATTAAATAACTTATTTGATAGTCATGTAAAATGGAGTCTGTGAACATCTTTTATTTTCTAGTAAGAACATCTAGTTCAGTGTTTCATTCTGATGTGAGTTGGTGCTTTTTTATTGTATTATATTACATTAGTATTTAGTTCAACTGTACATATTAAAACATGATGGCAAGATTTGTCAATTTAAGTCAGGGATTTTTGTAAACATCAGTATTCCAACAAATATTTTTTTACTGTTCATTTTGTACTTGTAGTTTAAAATTAGAAATAGAGCAATTTAAGAAGAAATGTTTTGTTCTGTTCATGTATTTGAAGAAATAGAATTATGTTATGTTATGGGTTCTGTTTGGGTGAGGGTCTTGGGTTGGTATATCGGAAAGTTCATTTTCATGACAGGGGCATAGCCAGGAGCTATGAATATGCGAGGTAAATTTAAAAACGTGAGGCAAGGAGTCTTGGGGATATATGATATTTGAGATATTATCGATGTCCAAACAGTAGGGAATTTAGGGATGTAACAATATCCCAGAAGTGTCTTCATCCCTAGGGACTTTGGTCTCGGAAGGGTAAAGGACAATCCCTTCTTCCTTATCCAAGACACTGTAATATTGTCGACTGAACACTTGATGCAGTTTATCACTGGATGCTGTCGCTTATGCAATCACTCGATGCAACAAAAAAACACTCATCTTAACTTTTTATGCAAAATTGTATCGCCCGTGACATCCTTACTAGAAGGGCTCAATTATATTCCCATATCAACTTTGTTGGTTCCAATAAAAATACCAGTTTAATTTATTCATAAAAAACAACACATCTACATTTTAGATATCATTATTGTATACATTTATTTACATTAATAAAATCTTCAAACAATATCATAGTTTTTGCAACATTAACATGCAAGTGGATAAACCATCAAAGGGCAATGCATAGACTTCTGTCATATTGAATCCTTCTACTCAAATTCAAAATAGTTCTATGCAATAGTTCTACACATCTATGCAACAAATAAAATCAAACAGATATAAACCAAAGGAAAGAAAAGTTTTCTTTCACGGTATACATGTATTTCTAAGATGAGAAGAACACAATACATGCAGAACAGAGAAGTATCGCTTATATCTCAATAGCAATTAGTTATCATTGATTGTAATTGTTTAAATTAGAAATAAATTGATAACATGAAAAAAACCTCAACTGTAAGGTCACATATTTCAAAAAGAACTCGTCCAAATTTTTAAAATTCTCTGTAGCTGGTTCCCTTTGGTTTTAAAATTATGATTATGTTACAAAATAATATCACATACAAGCACATATATATATTTCAAAGTCTAGAATATCACACTACCCTACCTCGATAGCGCATGCGCGAATTTCTTGGCTTTCAACCACGTCGCTTTTGAGTATTTCGACTGCTTAGTCAAAAGGTTAATACGTTTGGTGCTCGTAGTGAGTCAATATTGCTATTCGCTGAACTTCAGTGGTGCAATAGTGAAGTCCATGTTCCAAGTTAAAAGATAGTTGAAGAAAGAATGTAAATAATATCGTTTTAAATTTTAAAATATTTGATATGTCATAGTACACGGTACACAGTTGCAAAAGTTGATCAATACAGGGTACAAGGAATGTAAATTGCTCAATAGTACAGGGAGCGAGAAAGTAAGCTGATTATACAGACATACTATGTCCCGATCTCATGTACATTTACGTTGCAAACAATGAAAATAATGCTAAAAAGGCCGCCTGTTGATGCTTTGAGGTGTCATCAATTGTTATTTAATCCAAATAAAGTAAACATTATTTTGTAGATTTATATAACCCCTTGAATGGTCTTACTTCACTACCGTTCTCAAAAACCGATCATTTAAAATATTTTGTTCAAAATACCATCATGCCACGACTTGAGAGCATTTTGTTCTTCACGATTTGCTGTTGCGCTGATATGACATCGTATTTCTCTATTATTGTAAAAAAACGAATACCAGATCGATGTAGTCTTAGATGACGTGTTGAATGTCAGATGTTTTTGGATGGTATCTGCTCCAGTGATTTTGCATTTAATCATGAAACGCTCATCACAAGACACCTCGAAACAAACATTATCCTGTTTGTGACAAGAGGAAAAATGTTTCACAATATGTTATGCCTTACAGCAAAGTAAAGATACATTTCTGGGACGACGTTTTTTGCATCTTAAGATTTAAAAAAAACAATTAATTCACAAAAATACAGTTGAATAACATCTTGGAAAATGTATCCACATATAACACGATGACACGCAGTTAAATAACAGTTAACTGGGTTTTTTGTTACATATCAATGTAACATTTTCGAAGGGAAACTTACATGCTCCCTGTACGTTGATAGATTTACTGAAATGTATCGTGTATTGCATTGAGTTTTGCTTCACTGCGCCCACTATTATCTATCTTTGCCTATAGTGGTTTTTTGCCAACAATATTCTACAAACTGCTCGATGAATCAATTCTATGTCTGGTAGAATACTAGAAATAAATGTAAAATGTATTTTACGTTCAGAAATATGAAATTAAACCCACGTCCTCCATTTGCAACTTAGCTGTACCCTGTTTCCCTTTTAAACGTGGTCACGTGGTAGGGTAGTGTGAATATATATATTTTTAAATACATATTCAATAGTTGCAATTTTATAGTAAAATTGTACAGGGTGTCCATATATTGAAGATACATCTTTTAAACTAGAACTGATGTGTTTTTATGAACACCCTGTAGTAACAAAAATGTGATCTAGTCTAGTGTTGTGTATCATCTGAGACATGTAGTGAGTGTTTTACACAGAAATATCCATTAAACTGGATTTGAGTATCATCTAAGTACTGGTGTACATGACATAGTACAGTTGCTAAGTACATTTCATGTAGTACAGATGCACAGGAGTACAGGTGCTGTAGTACAGATGGACATGAGCTGTAGTACAGTTGTGCAAGAGTACATGTGTTGCTGATATGTTGTCATCTCCAACATACTCAAATACTGGATGAGTGCTTATATACAATTGTATTGGACGGGATTGGTGACTGTTAGTCAGCTGAAATAACAAAATGTAAACATGTACGTGTATATCAATTGTGCGTTTTTGCATTTAAAAGAACGACAAATGCTGCCACCAGTCAAGGTGATAATGCGACTTTAAAGATGGCTGCCAACAATAATTCAGCAAAAGAATCTAATAGTTTCTAACAATTGCAGTATGTCACTTGCTCAATAACCCTTCTGCCCATATATATAATAAAAAATAATTATCATACACCCTTGTATATTAAAACATATTGAATTTCTGGTTTATTTAATAAAATTAGAGTTAATATCACCTGAGTTGCAATGGTCCTAAAGACTATATCCATTTTTGGTGACCATCATTTCAATCAACTAGCATTAAAACAATAACCCATATTAATTTCTCAATTGATGTGATCGATCTTATCTTGGCTGGCTCAAACTTATAATATGATTCATTGTTCATACTGATAATTTAAATTGACAGATTCTTACATTTTCACTTGAAGGCAGGTCGTGTTGACCTGTTAGTCATATTGGACCTAGCTGTCTGATTGGACATTGATGACGCACCCCCTGTCCTTGATCTGGAACTTAATCGACCTAAAAATAAATAAAAAGGAACATGTATTGACTAGACATAAAAACTTGCTTAAACAACTCTGTCAACTTACTGTATATCAATATCGTGGAAGTTTGACTATCACGATCTCTGTCGTTTGAAGTTTTCTTCCCAAAGCTAAATATCTGGTTATGTATCTTAAATAACGAAAATCCAGCAAAACTATAAAAACTTAAATCTTACAAAGATAAACAAGGCATTAACATGCAAAATATCACCACCTGCCACTTGTTTTAGATGCCGACACCAACTACCGATTGCTGAAGACCAACCGCCACCTCAAAAAGGTTGTGGTGGTGACATAAAAATCTAGATCTTTCAAACATTTTGAAATAATCAAACATATTTATATTTTCTGGAGCTAGGTTGTGTACATGTTCTTATATCAGTCAGTGGTAATCCACTCAAGTGTCCCCTGGTATGTGAACTGTAAGTGTCGCAAATAATGATGTACACAGATGAGCCCAGATGCGTAGCATGCTAACACGACAAACAAGTGTCTCTGTTACGACCTGGTGTCTTTCGTTCAGATTCAATCTCCTGCGCACTCCCCTCGAAAAAAACAACACCTTCAATATTCTAAAACATGATTCGACCACTCGACACTATGCATATTATGAAATTCATCTTGAAAAATGTAGAAATTAGCTGAAAAGCTTACGAGTTGACAATTCGCTGTCAGGAGCCATTTATTTATTTTGTTGTGCTAATTAAATATGTGAGCATGCGCAGATATAATGTAGAAATGAGGGAGTGGATACAACGAAAATAAGAAATATTTTTGCAAAAAAATGTGACGCACAACTGTCGTATTTCAAAGCGACGCTAGAGTGGATTACCGCTGACTGTATATAGTACTCACTTCCTACACTTTTATCTTCTAATACGTTGTCAAGTTGTAGCAGTAGTTCATCTATATCATCATTGTCAAACTCTTTTTGCGTGGCAGGGAGAACTTGTTTGGTTTTCTGGTTGGAGATACTGAAAGGGACTGTCCCTGTGATAAGACCCTTGGGGAATGATTTCCATGCCATTTTTAGACCTAGAAAAAAACATATTGGTGTTACAGTTCTAAATTGCTTAATAACAGGTGGTATGTATATCCATTCGTTCATCTCTGTGTCTGTCTCTTCCTAAAATAAATAATAAATAAAAAACTTGACCATTGTAATGAAATTGAATATGCATGGTTCCTGACAAGAAACCCAACCATATTTTAAGGCCAGAAAGGTCAATGTCTAGACCGTCTATGAAGATTAAGGTTATGTATTATGATCATATAAGCTCATGAGAAATAAGAATGATTGGTACCTAGGAACCATGCACATACAAACTCACAATCCATAGAACACACTTTGATCGGAAATTGATTTTCTAAAACATGGTATAAGATGACAAAATGTCAGAACTCAGTTGCAAATACAAAAGTGTAACATCAGAAATCAGTTACAAAAACAGAGGCTGTTATGATACACTTATATTTCTTGGTTGATATAGTTGGTTGGTTAAGGTGTTGCCACAGTTGAGCAGCCACATTATCTGTATCCCATTGTCTCCTAAATGAGAAACCTTTCAGCCCGAAATGTAGAATTGAATGGGGTTGAATTTTACTGGGGTTGAGTTGACTTGGGGTTGAGTTTTACGGGGTTGAGTTGACTTTGGGTTGAGATTTACAGGGTTGAGTTGACTTGGGGTTGAGTTTTACTGGGGTTGAGTTGACTTGGGGTTGAGTTTTACTGGGATGAGTTAACTTGGGGTTGAGATGACCTGTCACCACTCTATGCCACCCTAAACTACACAATACTCATATACAGAACTTACCTCCTGATAACATGAACAGATTAGTGTAGCCTCTCTCTACCAGTGTTGTAGCAGCTTTAGATGCCCTTCTCTCATCATCATCATAGATCACAATTATTTTACCTTCTTGGTTTCTCTGAGTAGAGTCAAGGAAAGTTGAATATTGAATTGTTGAAAAATTATGGATCCCAATGTTTGCCCCAGTCACAAAGTTGCTTGAATAAACACAGTAGCATGACAGGCACTGAGTAAGGAAAGTTGAATATTGAATATTGAAAAATTATGTATACCAATGATTTCCCAAGTTACACAGTTGCTTGAATAATCATAAAAGCATGACATGCACTGAGCAAGGAAAGTTGAATATTGAATTGTTAAAATGTTTGCCCCGGTCACACAGATGGTTGAAATATCACAGTACCGCAAGTGAGCCAAGGATCCCAGTCAAGATATATATACAGTGAACCCTCGGGTTTATTTATAAGATAGCTCAGGTATAAGCTTGACAAAATCTGGCTTGTACAATGTATGTTGTATTTTTTTTCTATTAAGGATACATACTGCAGCATTCCCTTCAGTTCACCGTTACAAGTACGTGACAGCATGGCCATTGGGTAACACAAAGCTGGAAACACAAGAACAATATTTACTCATGCATTACAAGTACGTGACAGCATGGCCATTGGGTAACACAAAGCTGAAAACACAAGAACAATATTTACTAATGCATTACAAGTACGTGACAGCATGGCCATTGGGTAACATAAAGCTGAAAACACAAGAACAATATTAACTCATGCATTACAAGTACGTGACAGCATGGCCATTGGGTAACATAAAGCTGGAAACACAAGAACAATATTTACTCATGCATTACAAGTACGTGACAGCATGGCCATTGGGTAACACAAAGCTGGAAACACAAGAACAATATTTACTCATGCATTACAAGTACGTGACAGCATGGCCATTGGGTAACACAAAACTGGAAACACAAGAACAATATTAACTCATGCATTACAAGTACGTGACAGCATGGCCATTGGGTAACATAAAGCTGAAAACACAAGAACAATATTAACTCATGCATTACAAGTACGTGACAGCATGGCCATTGGGTAACATAAAGCTGGAAACACAAGAACAATATTTACTCATGCATTACAAGTACGTGACAGCATGGCCATTGGGTAACACAAAGCTGGAAACACAAGAACAATATTTACTCATGCATTACAAGTACATAAGAGTATGACCATTGGATAACATAAAGCTGGAAACACAAGAACAATATTTACTCATGCATTACAAGTACATGACAGCATGGCCATTGGGTAACATAAAGCTGGAAACACAAGAACATGGCCATTGGGTAACACAAAGCTGGAAACACAAGAACAATATTTACTCATGCATTACAAGTACGTGACAGCATGGCCATTGGGTAACACAAAACTGGAAACACAAGAACAATATTAACTCATGCATTACAAGTACGTGACAGCATGGCCATTGGGTAACACAAAGCTGGAAACACAAGAACAATATTTACTCATGCATTACAAGTACATAAGAGTATGACCATTGGATAACATAAAGCTGGAAACACAAGAACAATATTTACTCATGCATTACAAGTACATGACAGCATGGCCATTGGGTAACATAAAGCTGAAAACACAAGAACAATATTTACTCATGCATTACAAGTACATGACAGCATGGCCATTGGGTAACATAAAGCTGGAAACACAAGAACAATATTTACTCATGCATTACAAGTACATGACAGCATGGCCATTGGGTAACATAAAGCTGGAAACACAAGAACAATATTTACTCATGCATTACAAGTACCTGACAGCATGGCCATTGGGTAACACAAAAACAATATTTGCTCGTGAGAATGAGGCATTAACATAGCAGTTTCTATATGAACAGCCATTTGTAGAATTAAACAATCTTGCAATATTTTAAATTTCACAAAGATTACCCCTTTCAGCTATAGCGTTATTATGGTTACCATTATAACTTCAGAAATATTCCTTACCAGCATTTTAATCTTTTATAACTTATGAGGAAATGAATGTCCCCGTTACTGTAAATATTATGGAAAATGAATGGTAAACTTTTAAATAAGATCATTTTTATCAGAACTTCAGGATCATCCCTAGTAAAACACAATACCAGGCTATTTCACACTATTTGTTTAGCAGGATACAATCTATGCATCTGGTGACAATATCACAATACATGTACATATAGTGCAAATGTATGTAAATGTGTTTATCATGGAGTTTCAAGAGAGAGAGTGAGAGCCATCAAGTCATTGCAATTGTCACTGAAACATGTTAATTTGTTAAAAAAATCAGACAAAATAGCAAACTTTTCTCAAAATGGTCATCACATTAAATGCAATGTCATCAATGTTTCTATATATCAAATTTTGTTCTATGGAATGTATTGTCATTGTCAATGGCACTAAACATGAGTTTATTAGACATTTCAACTTTATTTTGGGATCTGTAATTGAATCAAATAAAGATACAGGTAGTGAGGTGGTGGAAAATACATCATAAATACAGCGTAAGGCAAGGCTCTATTTTGAATCCCTTAATATCTATTAGAATGAAGTAACATAAGTATATTAGTGAAAGTATTTATGTATATGTTATTTAACTGGTAATATGTTAAAGCAAAATATTAAGCAATTATGAAAAATTTTGATTAAACAGTTTTGAAGAACTTTTCTTCTAGATCACTTCTGTATTTGAAGCATTGGTTCCGGTCATCTAGGAATTCCAACAGGTCAACAGTCTTTTTCTCTTGACTGGCCCTGAACCTGTGTATCGCTTCACATAAGGCACATTTGAAGAAAGTCTGGCCAGCAGCCTGAATTGACATAGTTTTACGCCAAGCGTGATATTTAGAATATAATGTAGGGTTTGAATGAACTTTCATAAGGTACCGTCCTAAGAGTTCAGGGGTCGCAAATTCATCTGCATGGATAAATGAACCCGGGGGAAGATGTGCACTGAAGTTCGTCATTCTGCCTCTAACGACAGGTATCATCTTATGTAATAACGCATTAGTCCAGACTTTTTCTGTGATATAATCTTTGCAATCAGAATTTTCAAATGCTATGTAAAACATGTAGCTATCGCTTAAATACTTCATACAGCCGTCTCTATCTTTTTTAGTATCTCTACTACATATTGAATGGTTACCACATCTTCCGTAGATGTCCACGGAGACATATCTTTGTAAATCTTTAACGTAAGACATTCGCATTGATTGCGCATCACAGTGGCTCACCAGCCAAGTTGCGATGCGTGGTTTTCTTTTTAATTCATGCATTTGACCTGGCTGGGATGTCATGTAACCATAGGGCCAGGGTATATCGGAATCTAGCTTGTAGGTCATGGTACGGTTAATGGCAAATCTCGTTTTCGCAAAATTCATTTTCTGAAAGTAACCCCTAAGAACGGCCTCACGTGTAACGAACACCCATATTTGGGAAGGAGCATGGTAAGCTGGGATATCTCCTGAAACAAATTCCTCGCTCTGTCCCCAAAATATTACAGCAGCTGCGTCATTTATACGCGTCTTATCTACTGTCATTTCACAACGACTCTCCGAGCAATTCCCAAAGACGTATCCAACATGGCGATAGGTATGCGTGCACCATAAGGTCCACACCAAAATAAGACAAGTTGTCGAATTACTGTTTTTAGAATAATCCCGTTGAAACTCTTGCCTTTTATTGTGAAAAAGTTGCGTCAACTGCACATCAGGAAATGTCGTGTACATTACCATTAACGATGTTAGCACTAAGGACAGACTTCCCAAGATGTACAATGATTTAATTCCAATCATTCTTTTAACATACTGTACCATACAATAAAATAAACTTCTACTATATATACGTTTAGGGCAATATAACTGCGACCATGGCATTTTTTTGTTAATTGCATCTATGAACATTGTGTGTTCTGGTAAAACGCTATTTTGAATGTTAAAGGTATTGATTATGTACATCAATTAATGTTTCAAAGGTTAAATCATGATGAGACATTAACTTTTATTTTCTGAATTTGATTTGTATCACTCGGTCCCAGACAGAAAGTTTAATTGAGATTTTAGATCTTTCTGATCTGAGAGGCAATAAGAAGTTTGATAATGAAATAAATTTTTTGTTTTGCTTTGACATTGAATAAAAACAAAAAATAATGATTTAATAATGAAAGTTTTTTTAACCTCTTGAATCCCAGGCTCTAAAAGATGACAGAGATCACTTCTACACATTTTAAAACAATTTTTTTGTGTAAATTGGATAAAAATTGTTCAAATAAGACCAATTTTAGTAAAAAGAATTGTGATAGATTTTCTCGTCACTCTGGGTTTCAAGGTAATTTCTGGGGTGATGAGAAATCTTCTCACTCCAGGTAGTCAAGAGGTTAAAATCAACATTTAAACCTTCACACACAAAATAAGTGAGTAAAATGATTTTTTCACAATAACCAACTTCAAAACAAACTCTTACTTCACAACACATGCTATCAAGACTAAGTCAGGTATCAGCTCTATAATCTAACATTATGCTGACATTTCAGACGTTACATATTTCAATTAACATTTAACTGTAATGTAACATATGGTCAGATAAGACTGCATAATCTAAGTTATAGAATCTTGACCCAAGAAAATAATTTTCAAAAGTTAAGTGCAGCAAAACCTGTAGAAGTCAAACACCCTTAAAAGTGTTCTACTTTAAGGAGGTGTTCTACTTAAAGAGCATAATCTGATAATACAAGTAATAGAATATACTCAAGAAAATAGTTTTCAACAGTTAAGTATAGCAAAGTCAAACACCCTTAAAAGTGTTCTACTTTAAGGAGGTCTTCTACTTAGATAGCATAATCTGATAATACAAGTAATAGAATCTACTCAAGAAAATACATTGTAGTTTTCAAAAGTTAAGTTTGGCAAAGTCAAACACCCTTAAAAGTGTTCTACTTTAAGGAGGTCTTCTACTTAGATAGCATAATCTGATAATACAAGTAATAAAATCTACTCAAGAAAATAGTTTTCAATAGTTAAGTATAGCAAAGTCAAACACCCTTAAAAGTGTTCTACTTTAAGGAGGTGTTCTACTTAAAGAGCATAATCTGATAATACAAGTAATAGAATCTACTCAAGAAAATAGTGTTCAATAGTTAAGTATAGCAAAGTCAAACACCCTCAAAAGTGTTCTACTTTAAGGAGGTGTTCTACTTAAAGAGCATAATCTGATAATACAAGTAATAGAATCTACTCAAGAAAATAGTTTTTTCAAAAGCTAAGTAAAGCAAAGTCAAACACCCTTAAAAGTGTTCTACTTTAAAGGTTGACGCATATCGTTTAGCAAATCGAACGCGCTCTGTTGGTGTTGGTCACCGTTTAGTATAAAAGGAACGATCCCGGATTTCTACTTAAGGGGAGAGAGCATGTAACATGTGCATGGATCGTTAGATATTAGAAGCGGGGCATGCAAGAAGTGCAGTGAGTATATTTTGTAATTGTATCGATTTCCAGTGATATAAGTTGTGCAGTTGTTGAAATGTTTAGGCAATATTGTGAATTGAATGCGTTTTGATTAGAAAATTAATACGTTTTGAAGGCTCTAATATGATGTAAACAAATACACTAGTAGGCCAAGCAATTTTGTTTGGTTAGTTTCAAAACGTTTGAATTTTTCTTTCAACCTTGATATCATTGTACTTGGTATGAAATATTGATAACCTGGAACATCAATGGCTGCTAATATCGAGGATTTAATAAATTCTATAAAATAAATGAAATATATGTTTAGTACATCATGGATCATGATATACTTGTATGTATATTTTCAGTCGGATGCTCAACTAAAGCATGCCTCAAACAACCACGAGATTGCCATACCAGCTACACATTGTAGTAACAGTGATTGCAGAATCAACAATAGTAAGTAACACATTTGTTTGATATAACATTTACTGACCAATAATTGCATTACTTGAGTGTTGTTTAGGATAAACGATTGTTTGTTTGTAAAAATGCCATGTTGAAAGTAAGATAGGCTACATTATATTTTATTGTCATTTATTTGAGTCTAATTCTTAGTTATAACTTTGCAAGCCCTGTCAATGTTGTGTCCACTGTTTGTTCTATTATCTTCTGTTCGTCCTATACAAATAATCAGAATAGTACATTTTTGTACTTTAATTTGGACAGCCACACAGCCTAATTCTTCTTTTTTATTTTTCAGAATGGACACAAATGGACCACCCCCGAAGAAAAGGAAACAGTTCAGAAAAAACATAGACTGCTATTTCGCATCTAAAGTCGAGCTGGACAATTTCAACGCACGCATTGCGAGTTTTAAATCTGCAACTGGTATCTCTTCCATGCAGGACATCATTACAACTTTACTAGACCATGCCGAACCTTCAGTGTGCGATTCAGAAGGTACTAGTACGCCAATAAATTTTCAACCGTTCTATACCGTTGGGAAAGACATTTCGAAATCAGAAAAACCCGTTCTAACATGTTCGACTGCTTTACAGAAATTGATCGATACTGTATTTTACATGATTGATTCCAAAAAGATAAAATCACCTCCACAAATTACTCTGGAATCAACATATATTCATGTGGGGATTTATTCTCTGGATTCCAAACACCAGACGTTGAAATGGAAGTCCTCGCCATATCTATATGACAATCCTACAGGTACTGCAAACCCCAGATTCCTTCTGAACGTCAAAGCTGCACAAAGTTTCTTATCCAGTGGTTTACTTTTAGATCAGTACAACCGTTTTGCTGAATCACTCGACATCGGACAGCTTCCAAGAAGTCTCATTGATGTATGTAAACCTGTCATGTCTGAGGCAGCAAGCCAAATGCGATTCCTGTCTATATCGGAGTGTCTTCAAGTAGCCTCAAATGACAGTCCTGATGGTCTTACAATAGAAACAGATGCAACGTACAGCGCCTGCAGAAATGCCACCCACTCAAACACGTTTGCAATCGACCATAGCACCCATCAGATTGTGGCCTCTGAGGTTATATCCCGATCAATTTGTGTAACCGCGCAGCAACACGAAGCGGTTGCCACAAAGAAAATTTATGAACATTTTAAAAGTAACGATGTGAAAATAAAGTGCAACATTCATGATCATAATCAACAGATCAGTAAAATCATAAAAGACGAAAATGTCAACGAACAATTAGATTTATGGCACGTGATTAAAAGTGTAATGAAAAAATTTAGTAAAATCAGCAAAGGTACAAAGACCAATATTGGGAAAACCTGGCATCCACAACTATTTGACAAAGCTGACGGAGTAAAAAATCATTTCATTTATTCTATTATGAACTGTGGTGGAGACGAAAATAATCTTACTGACAGTCTCGATGCCATCCCGCTACATTATCAGGGTAACCACGACAATTGCCGCTTGAGCTCACCTTGTAACAAAAACAGAAGCTATCAGCCCTCAAGAGTTATCATCACAAACCCGGATGCCATTCGTCTCCTCATTGATTTTGTAACAGATTCAATAGTTTACAAAAAGCCACACCTTGTTTTATCCGGCCTTTCAACATTTTATATTGAGGCTGCGAATGGAGCACTCTGCTCATTTGCTCCAAAGAAACAATCATTCGGTGAAGTGGCGTACAGATTTAGGACAGATCTATTTATCCTTGACTGGAACGAAAATGTTAATAGGAAACAACACCGGGTACCAACGCCCAAAGACGATGGGACCCCACGCGAAGGACTAGGAAAAATTAAAAAATCTTGAAAAAGCTACAAATATTTGAAACAATTGTGGCTGCAATTTTTATTATTATACTGAAACACACAATGCTTGTCTATTTTACAGTACATATATTATTTTGTTACATGTACCAATACATATTTTAATCAAACTCTTCGTTTTGTGATCTTTATCTGCAAAATATGATAATATCTTGTATTGAATTGATTCGACGATATGAGGTACCTATTTAAAATCCATCACGATGTAATATAGATTTGACAGGCCTACCTTGTTAATCGATCTATTTCTTATAATCCCAAAATTAATTACGTATTGTGTTTCCACAAAAATCAATCAATTCATAAATCCACTAAAGGAAGCGTTAAAGTCTGGTAGTAAATGTTCTCTGTCAATCACATTTAAACTATCCTCACAAATGTTATATGCAATTACTAATTAATGCAGCCCCAAGTTACAAATAATATATGTACAGCTTCATCAAATGTCCAAAATTCTAGACCCCAAACGCGTATTAATGCGAAACGTACTTTTTGTAAATAAACAAAATATTAAAAAACCTTGGCCTTGTTGATTATCAAACACCCCTAATTTTCTAATGATCAACTAGTCCATTTAACCGCCATTTTGTTTTTGTACGGGAAAGTCTACGTCACCCTTTAAGGAGGTGTTCTACTTAAAGAGCATAATCTGATAATACAAGCAATAGAATCTACTCAAGAAAATATTTTTCAATAGTTAAGTATAGCAAAGTCAAACACCCTTAAAAGTCTTCTACTTTAAGCAGGTGTTCTACTTAAAGAGCATAATCTGATAATACAAGTAATACACTTGTAGAATCTTCTCAAGAAAATATTTTTCAACAGTTAAGTATAGCAAAGTCAAACACCCTTAAAGTGATCTACTTTAAGGAGGTGTTCTACTTAAAGAGCATAATCTGATAATACAAGTAATAGAATCCAGACTCAAGAAAATAGCAAAGTCAAACACCCTCAAAAGTGTTCTACTTTAAAAGTGTTCTACTTTAAGGAGGTGTTCTACTTATAGAGATTTGATTAACATTAAAGAGACACACTAAAATTAGCAACGTTGACAAAAGTGTATACATTTTCGGATTAAAAGGGTTTATTTGTATTGAAGGTGTGTATGTATTGAACATTTCGTGCAATACAAAATAATTCTAGATTTTCCTAAATGCTTGTGACTTGACTGTCTCGTTGCTTCCATAATCTTAATTGACCTGTTGGTTTGTTGGCAGAATTGTCTCCTCATTGTTTAGCATGGGTTTTGACTGTCCTCTCACACCTATCTGAACTTTGGTTGAGCCTATTTATAGTCCCACAGTACGGACACCTGCACACTCTATATAGTTTCGCACACACTTTAAATAGCGAGATCAATAGTGCAAAAATAGTTCATTCATGGAACGAAGCGTGAAACTTTCCACATACCATCAGAATACCATTCCCTTTGATTTAAGAGCCAGAGCCATTTTTGTGGTCCACTAGAATGATCAAAAAATAGTAAGTACCCCCTCCCACCAAATCCCATGGGGGTGGGGAGATATAGGAATATTTTTTTCATAAAAAAAATTCTTTGAATATGGTCATACTACAGTTTTAGAGTGCTATTTTTATGGTAAAGAAATTTTGCAAACATAACAAGATGATTTATCATCGATTTTCATCATTGTTAAAGACTAATCATGGGCGACGCCCACTTTTCATACCTTGAACATTTAGGTTATTAAATCTCTATCATGGGTTGAACAAATGAATGTAATTCAGTTTTCTGGATGACACCAGATACCTTTTTGATGTTAGGTGCTATAATTAATCTTTGCATTTGACTTCTTAAAGGCTTACATCATATCACAACCCTGTTTAGAAGAAGAAAGCAAGCAACAAATGTCCCAGATCTACAACATGTATCCACTATTCTATGTACATGTATGAGTCTCTATACTCTCCTAAAGAGAACCTATGCTACAGACACAACTGTCCAGAATTTAGATGATGATGTGCTAAAACAGTTTGATGAATGGTGTGCTGACCAAGTGCCTAAACAGTTTGATGAATGCCATGCTGACCAACAGAATGTACCAGTCTTCAAGCTTTGGTTTCTGCTTATTCAAATTGAAATACTGTGCCTTGACTATGTGAGGGCTATAGGACAGGAGAATTTTCCTCTTTATTTCCAGATGGTTTCTCTTTGATTTTCAAAGTTGTTAAAGACTAGTTATGGGCGACGCCCACTTTTCATATGCTGAACATTTAGGCTATTAAACCTCTTTCATGGGTTGAACTAGAACCAGAAGGGCCGCCACAGTCACAGCCTGCAGTCTATAAATTCTCAAGAGAGCCTATACTACATATACAGCTGTCCAGAATCTAGATAATGAAGTGATAAACAGTTTGATAAATGGTGTGCTGACCAACAGATTGTACCAGTCTTTAAGTTTTGGTTTCAGATTATTTGAATCCAAATACTGTACCTTAACTAAGTGTAGGCTATTAGAGAGGGAAATTTCCCTCTTTGAGTCAATTAGCAAGCTTGTCACCTGGTTTTTCGTTTTTTGACTTTGTCAATATGCTTGCTGAGTACCAGTTCAGTATATCATCAGAACTCAAAGTTCAAAAATGGATAGCTTTTGGAAAAAAAAATTAGAAATATCTCACTTCCCATGAAATTGCAGCTGCCCTTGATACAACATGATAGAACTATGTTCTCCCCTTATTTCATGCTCCCACAGGTTCAGACACTACACCAGCAAAGGCTGGAAAAATGATTTGGGTGCCAGTGGAGAAAACATTGCCCCAAGCTTCAGATGCAAGCCAAACGCTAGTAAAATGCAGGATTGTAATGGACATGACACCTAGCTCAGTGATAATAATAATAGAGTGTTGAAGTGCTTAAATGCACAAAATAGGATATTTGAACTGCAGTTAAGATACCTAATAAGGTAACTTGTATCAATTAGTCAAAGTGCTCTCATTAAAAGCCAAAATAATATATCATTAATTATGAATTATATATTATTATATCTTTATATCTAAAAGGGATGTGGCCTTTCAATTGACTTACTTAAAGAAATTATCATCTTAACATAAATAACTGACTTAATCTTATCAATTTTATTCAGCCTTATTAGGTAATTTTTCTATTCACAATAGAAGACTCATTAACTTGTATATTAACATGTTGATAAAGTGACCGTCGCCCTTGGTCAGGCTTTAACAATGATTATAACATACCTATGATGATGTATAGTGCAAAGTGTACTCAAGACAGCGGGCCAATATAAGTTTTGAAAAGCCCGCGCCCGCTAACTTTCTGATTGGTCAAGGCGCTGACGTCATAACCAATCAATCGAAGATAAAACTGCGCGAGCAATTTTTCTAAACTCATTTCAATCATTTTCAAACCATTTGTTTGTCAATTCTATAAGAAAACGGTACTCTCTGACCAGTCCACATCATCATAGGTATGTTATAAATCGTTTATGTCACTATCGTGGCGCATATGTCCTCGGTTCTCAGAGATCAATGTCCCTCCCAAGGTCGGGCCATATATCACTGAGACCTCGGGCATATATGCCACGATAGTGACATAACCTCTAAATATCCATGAGAAATATGGATGCAATCTTGAAAATTGTTTTTATACACTGAAAATAACATACTAAAAATGAATATAGATCATATTAAAAAAAATCAACAAAAAATACTTCCCTCCCCTCCCCCCAGGATTTGATTGGAGGGGGCATTTGCAATTTTTCAGATATCACCAGGACACCCTTTGATTTAAGAGCCAGAGCCATTTTTGTGGTTCACTAGAATGACAAAAAAGCACTTGCATCTTTTTGTTGAGCACTTTTGTTTGCAGCTGCATTTTACTAGCATTTGGCATGCATCTGGGGCTTGGGCAATGTTTTCCACACTGGCACCCAAATTATTTTCCCAGCCTTTGTGGTTATGGATTCCCAACTCAATTGTGAGGGTGAAGTGAGGACTGACATAGGTATAATTGTCTGGAACCAACTTATGCAACTTATGGTGGGATGTTCTCAATTTGAGTTGTTTTCTTTGTGAACATTTCTTGTCTTGCAGCATTTACAGTTATTTCATTGTTGTCTCTATTGTATAAAATCTCAACAAAATGTTCAATGATTGGAATCCAGATATAGTGTCTGAACCTGTTGGGGCATGAAATAAGGGGAGACACATAGTCCTACCATGTCAAAGGGCAGCTGCAATTTCATGGGAAGTGAGATATCTCTAATTTTTTACTTTTCCAAAAGCTATCCATTTTTGAACTTTGAGTTCTGATGATATACTGAACTGGTACTCAGCAAACATATTGACAAGGTCAAAAAACAAAAAACCAGGAGATAAGATTGCTCATTGACTAGAGATAAAGAGGGAAATTTCCCTCTCTGATAGCCCACACTTAGTTAAGGCACAGTATTTCAATTCAAATAATCGGAAACCAAAACTTAAAGACTCGTACATTCTGTTGGTCAGCACACCATTTATCAAACTGTTTATCACTTCATTATCTAGATTCTGGACAGCTGTATATGTAGTATAGGCTCTCTTGAGAATTTAGAGACTGCAGGCTGTGACTGTGGCGGCCCTTCTGGTACCGGTTCAAACCATGAAAGAGGTTTAATAGCCTAAATGTTCACTGGTACTGGTACATTCTGTTGGTCAGCACACCATTCATCAAACTGTTTAGGCACCGGGTCAGCACACCATTCATCAAACTGTTTAAGCACATCATCATCTAAATTCTGGAAAGTTGTATCTGTAGCATAGGTTCTCTTCAGGAGAGTATAGAGACTCAACATACATGTACATAGAATAGTGGATACATGTTGTAGATCTGGGACGTTTGTTGCTTGCTTTCTTCTTCTAAACAGGGTTGTGATATGGTGTAAGCCTTTAAAAAGTCAAATGCTACGATTAATTATAGCACCTAGCATCAAAAAGGTATCTGGTGTTATCCAGAAAACTGAATTGCATTCATTTGTTCAACCCATGATAGAGATTTAATAACCTAAATGTTCAAGGTACGAAAAGTGGGCGTCGCCCATGATTAGTCTTTAACGATGATGGAAATCAATGATAAATCATCTTGTTTTGTTTGCAAAATTTCTTTACCATGAAAATAGCACACTAAAACTGTAGAAATTTTATGAAAAAAATATTCCTATATCTCCCCACCCCCATGGGCTTTGGTGGGAGGGGGTTCTTACTATTTTTTTGACCATTCTAGTGGACCACAAAAATGCTTCTGGCTCTTAAATCAAAGGGAATGGTATTCTGATGATATGTGGAAGGTTTCATGCTTCGTTCCATGAATGAACTGTTTGCCTGTTTTCTTGCACTATTGATCTCGCTAAAAAAGGTGTTTCAGTTTTATTCTACCATGGTACATATTCAATGAGGTCATGAGAAAGCATTGTGCATGCAACAGACATTTGAAATATCAGCGTGATGCAGACACGCAAATAGAACAGACATATCGTTTTACCATTATTTTCACATTGTTATTACTCATTTTTTGAAGGTTTTGAAATAAGTATGCCATCTTCCTCAATTTTTCACGTTCAGTGTAAGTCAAAATAGCAGACAAGAAAAGATTTAAAGGATTTTCTGACGAAGAAAAGTTAAAATTAATTGAAAATGTACACACAAATAAAACAAAAAATCAGCATAACATTCGATTAAAGTTTTTGTTGATTGGGCGGAGGAAACTGGGCTTCGTGGAATATGACTTGTGAAAGATGCACAGGTATTCACCTCAATAGAGTGAAATATTCTATTCAATATTAACTAAACAGTGTAGAGTTACTTACATGATATGATATGACATTGATCAAATTCATCTCTATCTCTGCAGTCCAGTAAGAGATATGGACATGTGTCCGTGTCTTCTGAGGGTCTCCCAGCTGTCACTGGTTTATTACTTTCTATGTCAATTTCTCCAACTCCACTTATAACACTATAAAAGACAAAACAGACATTCATGTTTCAAAACAGACAGTTGGATTTCAAAATGGACATTTGTGTTTCAAAACAAACATTTGTGTTTCAAAACAGACATTTGTGTTTCAAAACAGACTTTTGTGTTTCAAAACAGACTTTTGTGTTCCAAAACAGACATTTGTGTTTCAAGACAGACTTTTGTGTTTAAAAACAGACATGTTTATTTGTGTCTATAATTGCATGTAAACATATCTCAGATGGTTCCCTTTTCACTTCATGAAAAGAAATGGTGGGTCATCTAAAAGCTAACAAAGCATAAACATGCAAAATATCACCAACTGCCAACCACCAACAGCTGAACACAGTCCACAAAAAAGTTTGAGACTTGTGGTGGTGACTGTGTCACTGTATTATTGCAAGCCATATGGGATTACATGTATTTGATTATCAAAGAAGAACTTCATACAGAATTAAACCTCACAAATGAATCAGACCTTAAAAATGCAATCTTGACAATCCGAGATCTCAAATTTGATGACTGTCATCATATTTGACAAAATCTGAAAAGTGTACTTTTGACTGAAGAAGGAGCAAGAAGGTGAACCCATGCAAAGCAGATGACTCTTTGAGACCTACCTTTGCATTGTAGACCTAGATGTCATCGTATCAGGGGCAGGTGCTCCGTAGTCACCCTCGGTCAAAGCTAGTGAAGGCACAGGGCTGGATGCATCAAGATGTTTAAGTTCAGAATCACCCACAGTATCTGGTCTACCTGTATATGGAGTTCCTAAAAGATTAAAACACAAGGCATTAACATGAAAAAATGTCACTACATTGAAAATGGTTAAAATATGATTACAACACTGTTGCCATGGTAACAGATATTGGTGGAAATGTGTTGCAACTGTGTCGCCATATATAGGTTGAACAAATGGGAGGTATAGTTTCTTAGATGTTTCAAAAGAACTTACACAGATTTTCATGGATGCAATTACTCAGATGCCAGTAGGTGGTTACCAGTTTCAAAACGAAGTTGCTCATTTGGGTCAGATAGCATGACGGGGAGAGTAGAAAGTTCACTTTAATTTAAATATCAGTTTATTGGTTCAATTCTCATATCACACTTATGTATCTAATAGTTATGAAAATCAAAATATGTCCAGTAAAAGCTGTCCAATATACGGGGAATCTACCCGAGCTAGAATTCACATTTTCCCCAAAAATTATATTTTTATAGTTGATAAACACTTTTCAAAACCAGATTTCTAGGTGTACTTTTACATTTAGATTTCAAATATGACATCACTTTACTGACTTTTGAATATTTAATGATGTAAATCAAGATTATTTCTACTCGCATCTAGTCTATTTTTTAACATGTTTTAACCACATACTGGAATGTACTTTGTATGTCTGGAGAAGATTATCTAATGCGTACTAAAAGTACAGTAGGTTGTAATAACCTAAAAACAAGATTTAAAACAATTAATCTCGTAATAATTAAATTTCATTTTTAGCGTGTCAAATCCTGATTAATTCAGGAAGGCAGCATGGAATCAAACAAAAAGGTAACACTGTGCATATACACGTAATCAAGGTATTATCACTCATGATTTGCCAATAATGGGTTGAAAATGGTCACACTTAGGTCTCAAGCACATTTGCTCTATGGCGAGTATACAGCAGTTGTAGCTTCACAAGATCGATATAGAAAATCTACAGCGTACTGCTTATCCCTATATTTTGAGACATATTTCTTTTAAATTTGGGAAGCTACAGCTGCTGTCAAGTCGCCACGGATCAAACATTTTATCTGCTTATTTCATTTACAAACCAAGGAATTCATTTGGTTATATTCGCCAAAATAGCATGTTTTGATGAACTTTCCCACTGTTTCCATGTTAAAATCATATATGTAATATGTAATAAATTTTCCTGAAGTTTTTTTAAATTAGTTTGCCTGTTTTCAGAAATTCTATTCAAAGCAATGGCAAACTGATCTATAATCTCATTCTAATGTGCCTACCTTAATTACTCCAAGAAGACTATAGTACTATATTATATCATTGATAGGTCATTCTACCATTCCTATCTTTAAATAGATCATTTAAGTACAAAAATCTCAAAGGCTACAAGATTAACTTGTGTTCACTTTAATTAAAGGCTATTGCTTGGATAATGCCTATTAGAAAATACATCTAAAAAGATATTGTCAAAAAGACAATCTGTTTTTTTTGTATTTGACCAGCATTAGACACATTGCTGCATATTGTTTAGCTACAATATTCAAACCTTTATCAGTATAATCTGGGACAGAAAATATCTATTGTATATGAAGTTTATTGGTAAATATATGTATAGTATATCTTATGATTTTGAGTGATATCATTTTTATCCACAAGCTGATATCAATAGCTCGACGAGTGAGCATAGCAAATGAGTGCAGATAATAATATCAACGAGTTGATTAAAATGATATCACAAAAATTATAGGATGTTCTATTTGACCCATAATTCAAATATAAAACTAGGCCCAAACCAAACATTTCAAAATAACATACACTGATTCAATCATCATGTGACGTCATTTAATCATCACATAACAATACACGTCACATTGGCGGGATTCTCCAAATCCGTGGAAAATGTGATATCTGTGGAATATTCTCTGTATTCCACAGATATCGTCAATCAGTATTTGAGTTGTGGCCCAGACACACAAACAAACAGACAGATGGCTTTTCTATTTCCCTACCAGACTTCATTCTGTTGGATGATAAAGGATTTTGATTCATTGACTTGAAAGAACATGCAAAAATCATGAACTGACTAATAACACCCTTTAACAAAGAACAAGGTGCCACAGAATTATAACTGTGTAGTGATAATACTGAACTACTAAACACCAAAAGTGATCACGATGGATGCAAGGTTTATATTGCTAGTGGTGGTGTTATGTATCTACCATGCGGGAAGAGTGAGAGCATCATGTGATTGCAAGCTAAGTGCAAGTACTACACCAGTAGCACCAGAGATCATCAAATCAAGGCTGGATGCACAAGAGGCCATTATCAACAGGTATCTTTTGATATTTATAGATCATTTATAAAATTATAGATATCTAAGTACATATACAAGTGTCAAAGTTTCGAATCACTTGTAAATTTATATTGTATGAAAACTAGAATTGAATAATATTAATTGAATTGAATTGAATTGAAAGGACCTAAAGTTGTAATGAAACCAAGCAAGAACAAGAAAAAGCAAAATGAGAATAATGAGTAGACAGTCTAGCATCTAACCGCTTAGATTGGGACCAAAATGGTCCCGTCTGTAAAAAAGACAAATTCTTTTCAAGTCTAGTTATATAATGATCCATTCATGAAATTAACTATGTGTACCTCCCCCATCTCAAAAGAATCACTCAAGTTCAACATTAGGTTATAGCTGTCTCAGGCTGATGCACATGATGACTTATCAGGTGTAACTACATGTATATTTATTTGATTCCCTTGAGCAACCAGTTGAAAAATCTACATACTAGCTGGTATCTACATACTTATTTGCAACACATTTCAAATTGAAATCTTATCATTACTTAAACAATATGCACAATATGAATTCAGATTAGCTATTTTATTTTGTTTATTTTTACCAAGGGGTATGGATGAACTAATTTGATATCTAAATAAAATCTGTACTAAATATTATTTTTAAAAAAGGCATAAATATATCCCTTAAATTAGAATTGACAAATTGTGTATTGTTTATATAGTAATTTGGCACAAAATAAGAAAATCCAAGATTATGGAGAGAGTGATGAATTAGAGATTCTTCAGCTTGGACTTGGGGGGGGGGGGGGGCTAGACTCAAATAACAGGATCAGTAATGTGAATGTTAGCAATTATATTAGGCAAGAATAATGATCTGAATATTACTTAAGATGAAGGAGAGAGTTCTATATTATATTTACAAGAAACTGTGTTCAACATGTTTGTATCTCAAGTTATCAAAATGTAAAATTGGAGACATATCAGCTTTTTAAAACATAAGAATTTCGTTATGAAATGATACATCTTAGTTAAAACAGAGACAAATAAAAATGTTTTATATGTCTCTGGTTAAAATTGTTTTCTGAACAAAACAGTTATCAGTTATCGGAAGAATACAAATTATTGTATGAATTTTGTGAGGAATTATGAATCCACTTATAAAGTTTGTAGATGAATATTACTATTCTTCTAACTTGAACTTAATGTCTTGATTTTAGAATTCACATTCATATTATGTTGTATGTTTCTAAAGGATTGGTATCGATATGGAGAACTTTTTGAACACATGTTTCTTAAACCAGTCATAGGAAAATCTAAAAATTTAAAACATCGTCAATTTAATGGTCATCTTTTGAATGGTAACAATATAATTTGAAAAATACATACATACTTTCATCTATATTGTTTTAGAATACACATCAAACAATTGTTTTGTTCTTGGTATCATGTTTCCAGAGTGAAATGAAACATCTTTCCGAACCTCACTGGAACAAAACGACATGAACATAACATGTTTAGGTCTCTCAATATTGTAATTGTCCAAAGAAAATTTGGGTTGATTTTAGAAAAGTATCTTGTTAATGAAATATAAGTTTTATCTTGATTTTTATCTATTTTGAGGGGATTTTGTTTAATTTTTTGAATACTTTTTTTAAAATCAACCCAAAATTCCTTATTTTATTTCATTCTCAAGAATTGGTAGAAAGGAGCAAAAACAATTGCACAAAAAAAATGTTAACAAAAACAGTTTTATAAAATATTTCTAAATAATTTATGCATTAAATTGTTGTCAATCAGTCAACATTACATACAATACCTTGTTTTTTACAGAATGTTTTTAATGATTGGTTTAAGAGAAAAACATTGTTGAATATTCAGTTCTCTATATCGATACCACTCCTTTAAGTATTGTATCAGGCTTCAACCTGCACTTAAATAAAACCTCAATTCTCCCAATGAATATTTTCTGTTCACTGACATAAACCATCCAATGCTCATGTGTATGTGAGTTAAATATACATTACATACTGTATAAATTGTCTAAACTAAAATCAGTGATCCAAGTTAGTGAACAGCTCTGTATCTATATAATATCTTGCCTATTATATTCAATTTCTAAAGAAATGAGTCAATTAGTAGACACCCCAAGTGGAAATTTAGTGCTGCCTCCTATAAACCAGTATTGAACTATCTGATGCCCATCAGTTAGATGCTAGACTGTAGAGTAGAATTGAGTAGAATAAGAAGAATTGAAATTTCATTTTAATATTATAGTTTTAAAACATTATTTTCATAATTTCAGATGGAGGACGAAAAGAACATTGTAGGTGTATTTCAAACTAATATAACCAAAAACGACAATGCCAAGAAGTAGCAAATCCAATGAAATGTATTGTCAAGTGAATGGCATGTACATAAGGCAGTCATTTTCAAAAGAAATGATGTTTTAGTTCAATTAATGAAAATTGATGCAATATTGGACAAAAGTATTCTTTAACGAACTTCCATATATTATAGAATCGAAGAGAAGTACCAAAAGATACAACAAGACAATCAGGTAAAACTTGAGCGATTGAAGAATTCCAAAAGAGATGCGGAAAGTGGAACCGATATTGTATATACAGAAGGTATGAGTCATAAGCCTTACAAAATGTTGCTTGCTACACAGCCCAAGACAATTATTACATATAGCATGAAATAAAGCTAAACAATCATAAGATGTACAAGTAGTTTCAAAATGTAACCATTAAAAAAAAAATCTAAAAGACTGTCACTGTTTTATTTCATTATTTTCTAACAGGCTCATCCTAGCCTGAAAAAAGGCCATATCAGTATTTTTCAGATGATCCTTCACGTATAAATATCCAAAACCATGCCCCAATCACATTTGATCTACTGCAATCATATGGCGGCAGTAGCTTCTCAAAATCAAGAGAAATATGCAGTGTAAAATACAGGGATATTTTCTATATATTGGTTTTGTGAAGCTACGGCTGTCATAGAGCAAATGTGACCAAGGCTTTAGTCATCAATTTTTCCAGCAAATCAATGTGCCAAGAAGGGCATGTTACGCTGCATAGAATCAGGAGAATGTATCCATCAACTATGGGTGAGAAACCTTTCACAACTTCTAGACTCTTAAGAAACTACTATATATACCTGTAAACAAAACCTACTTTATCTTGCTCATCTCAACTCCCAGTTTTTTTTATTTTAAGTACATTATCAGTACTCGACTCTGTTACAGGGCTGCGATGGGGTAGTGGACTGCTTAGATGGGTCTGACGAGGCTAACACAACATGTAGTGAGTTCATCTTATAACAAATTTCTACAAGGCATTAATACCATGACAAAATGTCACCACATTGTTGTTCACAATATTATGAATCTTTTTTGACCTTGAATGGGCCATCAAAAGTCAAATCTCGAATCTAAAGTCAGATTTGAACTTTTGAGAACTTGAAGATGATTTTAAAAAAAAATGGTCAATTTGAAGCAAGTTGAAAAAATACCTTTTTTGACCTTGAGAAGGTCATTGAAGGTCAATTCTCTTTTTGACCTTGAGAAGGTCATTGAAGGTTAAATCTTAAATCTATAGTCAGATTTGAGAACTTGCAGATGATTTTGAAAAACAATTGGTCAATTTGAAGCAAATTAAAAAATACATTTTTGTATAGTCAGATTTGAACTTTTGAGAACTTGTAGATAATTTTGAAATATAAATTTGGTCAATTTGAAGCAAGTTGAAAAATACCTTTTTGACCTTTGAGCCTTTTTTGACCTAGAGAAGGTCATTGAAGGTCAAATCTTTTTGGTGGTGGTATAAAAATTAAAAAGTGATCAGACTGGAATAAAACTCTTTTTGTAATGCATGCGTTAATAATAATACTGGTAGTGTTGTGCAAAATTATTTTATCCGTTTTCCAGTACTTAAACACATTTGATTCACTTATCTCTACAAAATACTTGAATTAATTCATTCCTAAATGTAACTTTCAGTAAACCCTTACAAGATTGGTGACAAGTTCAAAGTGATTCTCCCTTGGAAACAGAAATGTATCACAGAAGCTTTTTCATTCGTTAAAATATTTCAAACAGTGACGGGAGTGAAGAGCGCAGAATATTTTCCACAGATTGTTTTAGGGACTGCCAGAGGGACATATACATTTAGAGATAACAAGGGAAGGTGAATATACTTTTTATTTCAGTAATAAATCATTAGACAAATGAGACATTTCCGAGATGAAGGCTTAAAAAGTATTTTTCTGTTAAAGGCTACAACTACAAAACAAGGCATTAACATGCAAAATGTCACCATGTGTCATTTGTTACATACACTGACCACCAAACACCAATGCCAAACACCAATCATCAACTGCCAAACACAATCCATAAAAAGGTTGGAGACTATAAAAATATGCCACAATTTGTGGTACTGACATAAAAATATGCAAACATCTCTGGATTGACGAAAGACGAAATGGCTTTGCTTCAGATGATCTAATTCAAATTACATTTTTGGAAACTTACTCAACAAGGGATTACACTAACCATATGGAAATACATTGATCTCCGTTGAGTTAGGTTCATCAATGGTGAATATTATAGGTTAGAATCCTCATCCCTTTGAGTCAATTTCAGAGATGTTGTTTGAGTATTTCTCAGTAGTTACGTATACAATCAGTAGTTGAATACTTGACAAAATATTTGGAATCAAGATTTTATTTGGTTTAGTTGAAATCAAATGTTTATGTATGACGAACAAATTTTGTCTCCCATCTTGGATGATACTCAAACTCCAGTTAGTATCATCCTGCTGTGGACAAGTACAAATGTTTTTCAGGAATGTTGAAGGCATCGTAAAAACAAATTTTTCCTACAATTTGGCATCAAGAGAGGCAATTTGGAGAAATACTGCTGACAGATTTAAAATAACAGGATATGCTTTTGTGCCATATTACCTTGGTTCAACTACCATAACTGGTGAATATTACTTCGGACATGATTTAAAGAAGGTTTGCTCAAATGCAGCTTGGTATCCAAATGTTTGATTCTCACTGAACATGTTTGTTTCGAGAATTCAAAGACCAAAAAATAAATGAAAATTAAGAAATAATTTGATTTATGAACTGAATGAAGAATAAAAGCATTGAAAAGGAGTTTGAAATTGGTGCTGTAAAGCTTAAGCTTATTTTGCTTATAATGGCATATAAAATTGGACAGGTCCTTTAAGTTTTATCTATCCTTCATAGTACAGTACCCAGTGCTGACCTTTAGTTAATTAAGCTTACAATTTACGTAAGTATGTTAAGAATTTACCAATTAAATGACTTATTTCAACCTTATTTTAAGGAATAAGCTAATTAAACTTGCCTAATTAGCTTAATTAGGTGGATTTGATTAATTAGCTAATTCGATTATATTTCTTCATTCATTGCTTTTGCGGCACCTTTGCAGACTCCTTTCGCCAAAATAATTATATTTGAATGAAGCAGAATAAAGAATAAAATGTTATTAAAAAATAGCCTTTCAAAAAAAGACTGAACAAAATTAAGGATGAATGACATTTATCAATTACAAGTGTTAATAAACAGCTATTGGAGCATGTTGAAATATGAGCTTGAAAAATGTCAAAATTTGATTACATCTCAAAACTGGTGCAAAATTGCAATAAATTGTCAAATGCTAATATGTGCTGAACCTTTAGAGGAATGTGTATATCCTGACTTTCAACCCAAATTATTGATTTATAGTCTTGAATGTTGAGAAACTTAGATTGTATTGTTGCCAATGCAACTTTTGGCTATTAGCAACCGGTTTAACCAATTAATTTTCATAAATTAACCTGTCAATTAGCAAATTAGCGAATCAGCTACCGGGATACATGGCAGCTACTGTTCATATTTCAGTGAGTTTGCCATCAAATTACAATCAACCTGTAGCTGCTAGCTGAAAGTTGCATTCGTGAATACAAGCTTAGTCACAATAGGTTTTTTCAAATTAAGGTGACCTAAATTAGAATAAAAAAAGTCAATTTTAAAATCAACTTTTTTTATCAATGTAGTAGATATGCGTGAAGGTCAATGAAGGTCAACTGAAGATCAAATCTGAAATTTAAGGTCAAATATGAACTCCAGAAAACTTGAAGATGATGTTAAAAAAAACTTGTTAAAGTTGAGAAAAGTTTTTTTAGTTTTTGAGCTCTTATATCTCAAAACTAAAGTACATGTACATTCAATCTAATAAATTCTGATACAGCAAAAGAGAGAACTGACCCTACTCATTATGAAATATTTTTTATGAGAATACTGTATTGATTCAGCTGTTGTTTCATTGCAATGTTATACTGAGGAAAACATTAATTCTATTATACACAGAATACCCAAGAACATGATGACATATCAGTCATAGTTTATATTGCAGAATAAAGAACAAAAGACAAAAATTCTGTAAGGTAACTGTATTATCAAATGTTATCCATGTGCAGAGATTTCTATGACTCAAATGAATTTTTATAAAAAAACAACATACAGTGAGAAATATTGCACTTTGAAGAGCAAAAGGCACTTATCAAAGTGCGATAAAAAGACATCTTCGTTCACAAAGCTCCCGTCGGAATGCAAAGAAGACCGGGCGTGCGAAGATGATAAAAAGATGTATGATAGAGACAGTATTTCTCAAAATGATCAGCATGTCATTTTATTCACGATCATCATGGCATTTTATTTATGAGTTAATCTGAAAACAATATTGTGGATTGAAGGATGAACAGTTCATGCATACAAAAGACTAATTTACAGTTGCATGCGTTTCTGCTATTCACATGATACAAAACAAGCATATTAAAGGTAATCTATCTGGTTTAGTACTATAAAAGGCATTTTATATACTCAAACGTCCATGGAAGTTTTCATCGATAAAATGATGGATTACATACAAGTAGGATGGCAATTCAAGCATCTTACACTTCCAACATGTGTATCTAACCCTTTATTCTATTTATGATGTCATTTCAGGCTCATACATTTTTCTTTTTGAGATGCTTTGAAAGCTGGATTGCGATGGAATTTTTTAAAGAACTTTGAAGATTACTATTATGGTCTTATACTGTAGTTCTTGATTCAATGTGGTATTTTTTGCCCAGACAGCATACCCTTTGCACTCGTTCAACTTTGCTTCTTAAAAGAGAGGTTCATCTAACTTGTTTCTAACTGGACTCTGTGCGCAGGATACACTTGTGCAGATTTTTATTTTCTGGTTCCTTCAGGAGAAGGGTACAATCTCCTTCAGGAAAGGGCTATGATTGGTCTTTTTCTGGAGGAAACCTGATAAAGTACTCACCTGATATCATTGTTTCATCCCTAGCTGTCTCAAGATCTTGTCTTTCGATATCAGCTACTTGGATCACCTAAAATAAAAGTTATTTCTTTTTTATTTGCATATATGGATCTCTGACAGTATATTATTCTATAAAGGCCTATGCATAATATATGAATTGATATGTGTTTATTGGTCTCCCATTGTCACTATTGATAAATCAGAAAAAAACTAATAAAAATATAATGTGTTTCGAAAAGTAAGGTCAATGTTTTCAATTCTTCCCAAATTGTCATTTAATCAATTATATTGACAGATTGACTCTCACTCTACTGAATATATAGAGGCTATTTAATGGGAGGGATGGAATATGAATTTTATTTCGAGGGCAAATATGATATTGGCTGAGGAAAATATTGTATTAACCGAAGGTGACAGTCCGAGTGTCAATATATTTTCTGATGCCAATATCATATTTTCTCAAGGAAACATTCATATTCTATCATGACCATCAATAACCTATTTATTCAATAATATTGTTTCTGGAACTTATTCATTTTCAAATTTGATTTGTCACCACCCAATGATGGTGACATAAAGTGGTACACTGACATTTTCAACTTCTATCAACAAGTGTTAAAATGGAACAAGAAGTGTAAAAATCAAGACAAGAAAATTCCCGGGAATACTTCTGGCACAGGATCTGATAGAGGATTTTGGCTGGTGTAGGATCTGATACAGGATTTTTTAAATATCAATTCTATTCCCTGTTTATTTCCCAGGGAAAACATGTTATTATGGAATAATTACTGATGTTTACTGCACGGATATTTTCACATTGAGTAGAAGTCACTAGCATTTGAATCTTCATTTATGTAAACAAAACACAATCAAATTTTTCTCTAGCCCCAATCATCTTGATAAACCATGACATTTCATTTCTTCTCAGCCCTGAGATGTTTCATGTGAAACAGAAAGATGCTATGAGTATCAGAATGAGCCCCAATAGTTATTGATCGATACATTGACTTTTTTTCTCCCAAATCTGGGTATTTGAATAATATAACAATTTACAATTTGAGTCACAGATGAAATCTATCAGCTTAACTTCTACTTACCAGTTGAACAAATGTGGAGACTTTCATTCGTTTAAAGAGCTCATCTTTCCTATATCTGTAATCTGAAATAAGAAATAAAATAAAAAATGTGAACGAACTCAGATGAAGAGGGAGGGGGTTATTTATCATTATATAGATAAAGAATAGAGTTGCCATGGTTTATCTTTATAATACATGATTTAATGGGATAATGATATCAATGTAGAAAGCTTGGACAAACCAAATCAATATAGATATCATTACGATTACAATGTACAAGAATGCGAGACAAGGTTTTCAATTTGTGATTATTGATGTAGGTATTGCCATATAGTATGAGTTCATAATATAAACCATGCTGTCAAAGAAAATAATACCATATATTTCAATACCATGAACCTATAGCAGAGTGCCCAAGATCCTAAATGAGACAAGGATGTGTTGCGTGTTGTGTTTAAGTAGTTTCAGGTGGTTTGAACAACTGATTTGTTTCAGTATCAAACACAGGGCTCATGCAGAGGGTTTCCTAGTCTGTCTTTCATGTAATGGGAATTTTTTATAAAATCTTCTTAACCTTCCTTGGGGGTGACCAAAGTATAACTTAAGACCCATCATTTGCCACACATACTACTAGAATTGTTTTCATGGCCTGACTTCGTCGCTAACATGCTAAATATAAGAGTTAGCTGACGTTTGGGAGTCTGGCTTACCTTCTAAAGATTAGAACCTGAATCTTAATGAAACCATATCATCTTTGTTCCGTCAACCATGGCGCATTTGCCACAACATCCAAGAGGTAAATCATGGACCGTGAAAATGAATGATTTCCTTGTAAGTTCCGGAAGTTTCAATACGAAAAATTACCGAACATATGTGAAAACCGAATATTTGTTCGTTATTTTCACGATTTACAGGTTTGTTTGTTCTTCAATGTTTTGGTCTAAATTATAAAGCATCACCAACAGGTCTTACTCTATTAATCGACTTATACAGCAGACGGCTCATATTTGTACGTAGCATTTCGTTCAGACCAATAGTGGGAGTGTAGATCACGCAGTTTCGTTCGTTGCGTACTTCACTTGAAATCTAGAACAGGCTATTCGTCCACAAACGACCGCAAAACATTGCTTAATATTCTTTTAATTTTCACAACAGACATGCTTGGTTGACACGTCAACAAAGTAAAGTTCAAGGGTCAATGCGTTATTTCGTGATAACTACAACGCCTTCCCGGAAGTCAACATTGATGAAAAATGAAAAAGTTGGAAAAGCATTTACACTAATTTCTATCAAATACTGTGTTTATGCATCATCATTGACGCAACAAAGGTGATATGGTTTCATTAAGATTCGGGTTCTAACCGTTAGGTAAGTCAGACTCCCAAACGTCAGCTAACTCTTATACGAGGGGTGATCCAAAAGTCTTGGACGCCCAAGCATGTTAGCGACGAAGTCAGGCCATGAAAACAATTCTACCAGTTATATTCACCACAAAAGGCCAAACATTGCAGATACATAGCCATGAGGCATTCAAGGGGTACCTCTGGCCAAATAATTCTTTCAAAATCATGGAGTTTTCACCATTTTGAGCACTTTTCAAGTTATAAGCCAATATTTGGATAAAAGTTGTCAAAAATGAACTCACTTTGAATTAAAAAACCCTTGGCAAAAGCTAGCTATGGGTCTGCATTGTCAGTGATTTTTATCAAAATTATCTTTTCAGACATAGCATATTTTCACTAAATTATTTAGTGAAAAATGCTGGTGCTAATTCAGTGCCACATAGACTAATTTCTTAGACTAATTGTCTTCTTACCTCTAAATTAGCAGCAAATATTTTCACAATACTGCAGTTTATGGGATGATAAATAATCAATTGCTATGTTGTTTCATATATTTGCTTTCAAGTAAATGGTTTTAATTTGGCTTATCCTCTAAAATGTTTCAGCATGATTAGAATTTTTAGAATTACCAATTATAAATGAAATGGGATATTATCTTCAATATATATATATATGGATTGGATATTTGCCCATTATTGTAGAATACATAGTTTAAAATACTTCGATTAAATGCTGAAACATTTCCTCATTTTTAAAAACAGTGTAATACATATCCAGAATTAAATAGAGTCAACAGTTGTTAATGACAAGATTTCATCAGTAATGATTACTTCTGGGACATATTTTTCAAATTCTTATCAATACTTTCTATTTCTCTAAAGTGTTTGGAGGCTGAGGAAGATGGGTAGATGGCGGTAGGAGGGAGGGGGGGGGGGGGTAATATGAAGTTGATGCAAAACCATTACAAAGAAGGAAAAAGATACAATTTGTTTTTTTACCTTCTAAGCATTTTGCGAGGATTTCCTCTTTTGTTAATAATTCCTTCCCACTCCTTTGAAATCGATCACTTTTTCTTGGAGATAAAACTTTTGTATTTACATTAAATGGGTAACTACGAGGCATATTGAAAAATGCTTATATGATCTTTATAATCCCCGATTTCTTAATCCATATATTGTACATGCCGTATTGTTTAAGCTACATCTCGATCTTGTCTTTTGTAACGTAAACTCATCCAGACATTTTTGTGAATATTAATCCAGTGTGAGATCCTATGCAATATTTTTATGTTAATGTATAAACGTTTTGTTTACAAATCTACCTGTGTGATTTTTTAATATATCTTATAATTTGCAGTTTATATCAGAGAAATTAATTACAATAGAATAGACTCCATAATCTATTTTCCCGTGTCTAATCCACTTTTACTGTTGTCGAAGTATGTGAGATCGATTGATAAAACACTAGTGTTGGAATATCGGATCCTTATCAAAACAAATAAATTGTGTTGAATCACGAAAAATTAAATGCCTGGCTGAGTGTTAATCTCAGTTTCTATAACACTCTAGTTGATATGTCTCACGCTTCTTCCGTTCCGCTATAAAATACTACACTGTATGTACATGGTAACAAGCTATTGATCAGAGATTGCTACACGACCTTACAATCTAAAGTACAATCAATTTCAAACAACAATAAATCAACAACAAACATAAATATTCTATTCTCAGATATCTATCTATTGAAATCGTATCCAATTCAATTTCTTTTTCGTTAATTAGTTAATTTTGGCGTATATGAAATTAAATAATATCAGAATCGGAATTTCTCAAAATACAAGGGATTTTTAAACATTTTATATACAATCTTATAAGGTGTGAAAAGGTAAAGTATCCCATAAATATTATATCACTCAAATTTTTAATGCAAAATAGAGTGAAATTAGCAAGGAATACAACAAACAGGAATGGAGTTAAAACTTTGAAATTGTTGAGAAATACTTGTAATAGAAAACCAGTTAATAAATTCAAATTTAGAGTGAAAAAACAAGGAATCAGAATAAATATCATGAAACTTTATGGGTAGGAAAAACACATTCGTCAAAATTAGTAAATATAACTTTTACTATATTTCTAAGACATTGTCAAAAATGTGTCTTGTTTAAATACAAACTATAGGTTCAACTTCAGGAGTTCTTTTGACCAGATTCAAATAGCTTTTGTAGCTTTGTTCAATTACCATCTCAGAGAGTCAATGACATTAACAATTCCTTCAACTCTTCTTACAATTCTTATAACAAACTATCACAATCTAAATATTTGACGAGTTGAGTTCACAGTAGTACATATTGTAATCAATACATATTGATATTGTAATCGATAACTTACTGCCCTGACATCTTTAGATAAACTTTACAAGTAATTTTACCTTATTTTTGTTAATGGACAAATATACTTCAATAATTGTAGATAATATTTGTTTCAAAATTTTTTGGTCCGCTACATTATCTATTGGCTAATATATAATATCCGGGTACTGCATCATTGTAGAAAGAAAATCTGGTAAACGTTCAAATGAAAGTAAAGACAGGTATTGCATTTAGAATTGCATCAGAAACATTTAGTTTATTAGCTGATTTTAGAGCTCTGTTGTTAGGTTGGCTCAGTATGGTGGATACTTCGTAGTCTAATGGTATGATAATTCTTTGAAGGGGAAAAGTTGTGGGTTCAAATCCCACCGATACTTTCTACTTGCGCAACCCAGCCTTTTTGTTTTAAGTTATTTTTATAGAGTCATATTTTGTCTTTTTTCTATTGTTATTCTGAATTTTACTTTTTATTAGATTCTTATGAATGTATGTTTAACAGTCTAGGTTCAAATCTAAGGCAGGGCATATTAATTTCTTGATTTATGTTTTTATTTTACATACCAGTGGCTTCAGAAGACTCTTTGTACTTTTTATCATAATTCTAATATCACTAGAATCATTATTTGAACATATTAAAAAAGTCCATCTCAAACTTTCTTGACATAGACAGTGTGAAAATGAGAATTTTGCACCTACTTGAGAAAAAATCCTGTGGAGAACACTGGGTGTTATGTTACATCGTAGGTGGAGATTTTGCCAAAAGAAATTTCCAAAAGGAGACAATACTTATTTTACATACTCTCATAAGAGAGTAAAATGTGACTCTAAAAATCAGCATTTCATTCAGAAAAACTACATATTTTCCTGCACATGAAGAATGGAATGGTCTGCCTCATGATTTAAAAAAATTCTTAGATGCAAACTCTGTTTGCAAGGTCAACATGCTTTTACATGATAACACAAACTAAGTAATGAAGATAACAGATTTCTTCTGAAAGCTACTTTAAAATTCTTAAAAGCAACCAAGATTGACTAACATGTATATTCTCACACCACACTGGGAATTTACACAATGTTGTCTGGGTTCTTATCAGCCTTGATTGTGTTTTTTCCTTTTGTTTATTTATGGATAGTTAATAATCACTAGCGGACCAAGGGGGGGGGGGCCCTTTTGTGGGCCCAGAACAAAATTTCAGGGCCCCAAAAATTTTGTAGGGGCTCAAGATGGGCATAATTAAGCCTTTATAGGCCTTTTCTGTACTTAAAAGTACATGTAGTTGGCTTCTGGCCCCAGTTCTGACATTTTAAAAATCACCCATCCTGTACCACAATGTTATTGGCATGTACCACCATGCTTAGGGCCTGTATCACAATGTTTTAGGCCTATACTTCCTACAATATTATAGGCCTGTACAGCATACCTCCATACATAAGGCCTGTATCACAATGTTGTTGCCCTGTTCCACCATGCATAGGGCCTGTACCAAAATATAATATGCCTGTACCTCCATATATAGGACCACAATGTTGTTATTTGCCTGTACCACCATGCATAGGGCATGTACCACAATGCTATAGGCCTGTAACTCCATGCATAGGGCCTGTACCATAATGTTACAGGGCTGTACCTCCATACATAGGGCTGTACTACAATACAAAGGGCTGTAATTGTTTGAGCTATGGTTTTACAAGCTAGGTTTGGTTCATGCTCGTAAATCCCAGGTCCTAACTTCTAGCTATCAAAGAACATATATTTAGAAAAATTAAACCATCTTACTTTTTTTGATGTCCTCTATTTTCCTCATGTATTTGGTAACACTTGCTCCTAAAAAGCAACAGTAAAATTGTTAAATAAAAATAATTTACAATAATTTCATTTATGGCAAAGTGAGAGTCAGTTTTAGGTTGAGGTTAGTAGGCCAGAATAAACCACAAAACCAATCCTCGGTACTCTGAATGAAGCACTGGGGATCTCAGGAAGAATGTGACATCAGACAAGATCTTGAAAACACTCTATTTTCAAAACATTGATGTAAGTACACATACTATATTTATTCTTTTCCCTCATCCCCTTCCCCTTCTTACACCTCCTATTTAGGGGCTTATTTCACCCAAAAATGTGTTTGGGGAGACATTAGAATCTAGGTAATCCATATAATTGACACTTGGGAGGGAGAGGGGGGGGGGGGTGGTTACCATTTTGAAGTTAAGGATTCAAGATGGCTATCAGAACTGCCATAAGCCAACATTGCATGAGAAGATACATATAAAATCAAACATAAGTTATATACATGTAATTATGGTTTAATTCAGGAATCTCTTAAAAATCATTATGAACTCATGAACTATAATCTACTAATCTCTGTTTCCATATGTTCTCATAAGTGATATCTGACTTTAATTCTAATGTAAGCTGCCATTTTGAATGAAAGTTGGTCAATATTTTCATACCTGTATCCACTGTTGCTTGGACATTTTCATACTTTGGATTCCTAGGAATTTTCTTTTGCAAAATCTGAAAAAGAAAATGAGATTGTTTGATAATATAAATAGATATTTGACATAAGATTACCAAGATTATTATTTTATACAGTGAACTCTCCAAGATTTTTTCTCAGATGGGTGCAAAATTCGCATTTTCACAATTCACACCAAAATTGGTTAAAATGCCAATTTTTCTTGATTTTTCTAATTTTAAAGTGGGTGCAAATAGATTTTCAGGTGGGTGCAAAGTCTGCAAACCTATTTTCAAAATATCAGGTGGTGCTACGCCCACTTGATTTAATGCTCGGGAGATCACTGTTATGTAATAAATATTCCAATGGTAAACTCCAGAATTCTGCAGTTCAAAAGAGGTAGACCTGCATGATGAGCATTTTTATGTAACATTTATGATTATATTTACCAACAATTTGAAATATATTAGAGTGTATATTTGCAAAGTATCATGTAGATTTGACCTCAACTTTGAGATAGGGTAGCCAGGGGGGGGGGGGGGGGTTCGATGGGCCCCCCTGGCCAAAAAATCTTTCAAAATCATGCAGTTTTTCACCATTCTGAGCACTTTTTAAGTGATTTTGGCCATTTTTGGACCAAAATTGTCACAAGTAAGTGGAATTTGTGACCATAATGACAAATAGGAACTTAGAAATTTGAAGTGATATTCACATGTTAATGCAGACTCTTCAAATTTTGATGTGATTTTGGAGCCCGATTACGCTGCAAGGAGGATTTGATCCCAGAATGCAACATAGCACGTGCCAGAAACCTGTCACGAGTAAATAAGGTTACTGATGTTGCATTCTGGGAGTCAATCCTCCTTGGATCACAAACATGGCGATCCATGAAAACATTCGTTCGATTTGGTAGGAATTTATCCATCATTTGCAGGTATGAAGCTTTTGATTCATTTATTGTGCTACTTAGAGTGAACGGGAATTATTTTTCTACCCCTTTGGGAGAGTGAGACATGAAACTTTATCGAAGTGTCTGGAGTACCTTAAAATTTAAGGCTCTTTAGCCAAAATGCTAAAGAGCCTTAAAATTTATGGCTATTTAGCTATGAACATAGTGTTTTGGCTAGAGAGCCTTTGTGTTAATAATCCGTGTTTATATTGTTTTTTATTGAAGTTTTCGTCATCTAAACAATAAAATAACACTCTCGAAAGTTTTTCAACCCAGAATTCCACTTAAAAATTTCACACATGTATATCAGTATACAGTTGCAAAAAAATTAGCCCCACCATGGAATAACACTCTGGTATAGTGGTTAGGGTGCCCGCTTTCCACTTCTGCGGCGTGGGTTCGATTCCCGTTGGAGCACTTTTATGTACACAATTTTTTCTAGAATTCTTGGGCTTGCTCCATCACTCAATCATCAATGTTTAATGAAATTAATCACTTGTATCGGCTTTGCTATAGTCACGAGAATACAGGGAATCCCATTTTAAGATGGCAAAAAGTATGATGAAGACAAAAGGGGATGAAAAAGGATCTTGTTTCTTCTAGATCAGCACATCTTGACGCATGTTTATCGTGAATGCAGGGACATCACAGAATACACTTCCAAATCTATTGCCCATTAGATTTCAATGCTGATTTTAGAATTTTTCATGTGACGAGATATTTTTGCATCTTTCCTGAGACTAACATAAAATATGTTAGTCTCAGATCTTCCTCAGAATTTAAGCACATGAGACAGCACAAAGAAAATTTACAGTACAAGAGGTGAACTGTCGAGGAAACAGCGGCTTATGCAACACAACAACAACATTTTTATCCTAGCCTCCAATCCATCAATAAATGTCTATACATCAAAATCTTTACTAAACGGACGTTGCGATTTATAGTGGATAAAATGGTAAAAATAACATTTTTCTGGCTATATACGTGATTGCCTGGTCTTACACCTTCTCTGGTGAACCAGATACATATATTTTCGATATATGCATGAACAACAAACAAACAAACATTTACTTTTCAAAGTCGATGTTTGAACCTTCAAAAGCCAAATTTAGACTGGGGATTGAAAAGGTTCTTTTATTTCTCTCGGTAGACCGGAAGTAAATTTATGAGTCGAGCAAAAAGTGATAATGTTTTTTTATGAAGTGGGGAAGTCAAAACACTACTAATAGAAGTCATAGTAAGCATAAGAAGATCATTTAAAACCATTCAAATCGACGGCAAAGTTAGTTGAAATGACTGAAATCTTTATATGTCATCTTCTTCATCTTCGCGGACCTCAGAGAAGTCACTTCCGGTTTAATAATCAGTGATTTTATCGATCAAAAAAAATTTCTTTTTGAATTTGTCAGATATCTGCTAATATGGTATGTATATTTGTGCTGATTGTTAAATTACAAAATAGGTTGGGTATAGAATATGTCAAAGTCGTTTGATCTTGTCCCAGAAGCAATATTTCGTCATTTCTGTCGCCTGGAATTCCTTTAAGGCTCTCTAGCAGAATTGGCTATCAAAATGCAAAGAGCCTTAAAATTTAAGGCTCTTTAGCCCAAATGCTAAAGAACCTTAAAATTTAAGGCTCTTTAGCATTTTGGCTAGAGAGCCTTAAATTTTAAGGCTCTCCAGGCGCGGCCAAACTTTATAGAATTTAGCTCATTGTGACAACTTTTGATGGTTGAGGTTTATTATGTCTCCAACTTTAGTGACAATGTTTTAAAACTACAAGATTTCAATACACAAGTAGCTGTGGTGGTGATTTGAAAAATCAACCCTACATTTATGGGGGTAATGCATGATTGAGTAGATCTAGATCTAATGAAAATTCAAATTGAGTTGACTGAGTGAAAAAAATCAATCAAAATCAACGAGCAAGAACAGACTTCATGGTGATCAAATAGTTCATACATTGCTATAAACTGCATCTCCAGTTTTTGGGGAATATAGCAGAATAAACGAACTTTAATACTTATTCGTAATGATACTCACATCAGCATTTCTTGAAGAAGATTTTGCACTCATTTTAAAAATGTTGTTATGTGAAACACTGAAACTACGAACGTTGATACATTTCAATATTACAATTCGTTCGGTAATTTATATTCTGTCAATGTGACGTTAGAATCTTTTCAGATTAATTATCTTATCAAACAAAATATAGAGCCAACATATTCAAAATGATAGATCTCATACTAATTTCTATCTTCTGCGTAAACCTCAATGAAAGTAACTTGTTTGTTCAAGTAATCAGTCTTAAATGAGAATTTGTTCATATTAAGAGTGTAAACTCGCTATAGCCAACATTTATGTTCTTGTATAGAAAACGGAAAAATGGCAGGTGGAAAAATAAAATCTGGATCAAAAACCAAGAAAAACAAGGGCAAGAGGTGGAAAAAAGGCCAAAGTAGTAGCAGTAATCCGGAAATAAAGAAGCACAGACAAGCTGCACGTAACAGATTTCACAATCAGAATGCTGGTAAGACGATATTCTACAATTTTAATAATTTTCGGAAAATATAAAACTCACGTGTGGGCGATAATAGAGAAGGAGAACGGCAACATGTTTATATTTCATTCCATTAAACACTGTTTGCTTATAATAATATGGTATATTAGTTTTTCAAATCACCCCCACAACTAAAATTATGACTATTCTTAATTCGACATCTTTGATCGTGAAAATTTACTTAAACTCTGTTAAGGTACAGCTGGAAAGTAACATTTTGGTAAAAAATTGCTATACCTGCACATGTTATTTTCTGGTACAAAATAAAGTATGAAGGCATGTATCAATTTCCTTGCTTTTTTCAGGAAAGTATCATTACATTGTCTTCTTTTAGAATATCTGGTAGGCGTTCAAAGGGAACTCCAGGGAATTCTGATATTTCACACTTCCTGTTTTTCCAAATTTTCTTTCAAAGTTTCCAGACAACACAGGAGCTACCATTGACCTGTTTCCAGGTTTACTAAAAGTAGACAGTGTAATGATACTTTCCTGAAAAAAGCAAGGAAATACACACATGCCTTCATAATTAATTATGTACCAGAAAATAACATGTGCAGGTATAGCAATTTTTTACCAAAATGTTACTTTCCAGCTGAACCTTAAGGCATATTGCCTTATGTATTGTACTGCCCATGCGTGCATACTTAATGCGTGACGTCACATCGACAGAGATCAGCGATCAAGTTTGACTAAAAAATTAAAAGATCCACACTTAACAGCACAAAAATGGTATCAATGATCGCCTATTTCATATCAAATAAGTGTAGGATGTAAGGTTTAACATTTTTCATGTTATTAGAATTTACAGAAGCAGAGCTTGTAAAGAAACCAAGTTTTAAATTCCGATTTTGACTGTTGACAAAAATAAAGAAAAGAGAGAAAGAGGTGACTTGTTAGAAACAATGACATGAAATTGTGAATAAAAAAGATATTATTGTGGGTTTTATTTTTTGAGAGTTCATCAAATACACTCATGTGTATTAATTTAAATATGTATTGTAATACCTCTCAGTTCTACCAAGGATTATAAAAACTGATCGAAATGGCTTCGTTTTTAAAGTATAAAAAACACTACCCTACCCGGAAGTAGTATAACATGTATATTGAAACCATGTGTAAACTGTAAATCACGTGAATTGGCTGATGCAATCAGGATGTGACTAGTACAAAGTAACTATGATGCAATCAGGATATGACTTGTGCAAAATAATTGGCTTCACCTAGAATTCGCGATCTTTGCTCTTTAGCATAACATGAAGACATGTTTTGTGTTTAAGTAGCTAGATTCAAATACAAACTAAATGAATAAAACATAAACCAACCATCATTTATTCCAATCATGGCGAATTTTCAAGGAAATACGTGTAACTGAATGTAAATCAACAGCGGAGCTCTTCAATTATGAGGTGAGAAAAATATAAAAATAAAAACAAAAATAAATCTCACAGAATAGAGCTATTTATACGATTCTAAGTACATTTTAAGTGCTCCATACATTAATGTAAGTATAAAAACCATTAACCTCAACTGGGAAGCACTTTCCAACTATTTTTACGGCTTGAATTGTAAGAAAATGGCACTTATCTCAAAAAATGGAAATTTGAAAGAAGCTCAATTTATTGTGAAGATGAAGTTTATATATATCTGTATATGGGGGTGCGAATATATAGTCATAGTATGGGCTAATTCGCTTAAAAATGGCGATATATACCTCAGAACTTGTATTTTGTGATTTTTTCAATATTTTAAAATTAATTACCGTAGTTTCACCATAACGTATCATAACTTCCGGAAGAGGCGAGCTGGTAAGTATATTTCAGTTCTTTTGACAGTTCAATTTTACATGTCTTTAGTATTGTGCACATGCTCTATGTGGACAAAATTCAGCTTATAGTGTTACACCATTTAGTGTCTTCTACCTTTTAGGAGCTATGTAAGGTACCCTTTGCATTCGTTTGACTTCACTTCTTAAAAGAGAGCTTCGTCTTCACTCTTTCAAACTAGAATAAACCTGTGAACTCACCGCGCCAATCAGTGTTCGTCGGCCAAATTTGACCGACGTTCTTTATATGGTCATTCCTTCTGACGTCATCGTTGAGCCCGGAATTGATCGCGTAGGTCAATAGGTCAAAAGTGATTTACCCAAACTGTCGCCAGTACCCGTCGTGGGGCGGGGCTACTAAACTGTAATATGGTCTCTGCTAGGCAGAGTGTAGTTTAACTAGACTCTGCACGCAGGGTATATGTAAGGGTCCCATTCATGAGATAACTCTTTTATTTCTTACTAAACTTCTTGCCTTTTATCATGCTTAACAGAGTGTAGGTCCAAAGCCTTCTCTATATTCCAGCCTTGAGTGACTGTTTACAGCCGCCCTGATATTCAATATTTGTAAATCATGGTGACAAACGCACAGTTGTTTTGGCATAGTTATATGAAACATACCTTTATGCATACATTTGCAGAATATCAGCTCATATACCCGTCCTAAACGATTGTTAGAATCAAAACACAAATTCTCGTATGGTTAAAATAACGAAATAATGAAATGTTACCGTGTGTCTACTTAGCAGTTTGTTCTATATGTCATCCCTTCTGCTAGGTTACATCGTGGAACGCAGCCAAACATGACAATGAAGGCAACAACATGTCGATATTGATCTTAGTACAATTTTTGGAAATTTAGATCGTCCATTTTGCAGAAGAGGGTACGCCGAGATAGCAATGTCAAACATTGTAGGGAGGGCTGCTAAAGTCACTGGGTATTCCAAATCAGTTTTTTCAACGAAACTGCTAAATTATAATTTTAGTCTGCTTATTGATCTATGGATTCATAAAGACCTGAAATGATGCATTCAAATAAGACCGCCTCCTAAATGAAGCACTGCACATAAAGTGGTGAAAAACAACGAACTAAAGTTGAAAGATCACAACGTTCGCTACTTTGTTCAATTCTGGAAGTCTCCAAGGGGCTGCAAATGGGAAATTTTTAAGATTTAGATTTTATAACCTCAGAACACTGCCTTCAGTGTCGTGTTTAGCTGAGTTCCACATTGTAACCTAGCAGGAGGGATGACATAGAACAAACTGCTAAGTAGACACACGGTAACATTTCATTATTTCATTATTTTAACCTTATGAACTTATCCCGAGAATTTGTCTTTTGATTTTATATATATTTTAATTTAGCTAAGTGGAATTTCATTTCAAAATGACCTCCATTTTTCTGCTGAGTGAGCTGTATTAATGGTAGTCATATAAATCTGACCCTCGTATGATGTTATTTGTTGTTATTTTTTCTGATTTGGATATTAATTTTTTCTTATTTTCTTGCATACGAGGGTCATACACACTCCGCGCATCTATCCAGTACTCTCAACCCCTAAAAATTTTCTCGCGGGACAGATTTTTTAGACCAAGTGCCCAAAATTTGCGGGATTTTGCGGGACATCTACTTAATTCGCGGGATTTTGCGGGACATTTAAGGGATTTGCGTGATTGTGCTAATAGGCCATTTTTTTTATCAAATTCGCGGGATTTCGCGGGACCATTCAGGGACAAACACCCTTATTGCGGGACAGTTAACAGGGGTACCACCAAAAACTTCATAGAGGGACAGATTTTTTAGACAAAGTGCCCTAAATTTGCGAGATTTCGCGGGACATCCACCTAAATTTGCAGGATGTCCCGGGACATTCAAGGGATTTGCGTGATTGGGACTAATGTAAAAGCGTGTAAAAGTACTTAAATCAAACTTTCAGATACTGATTAATCAAATATAATGCACCGTTACATTGTAACTTAAATTAGACGGTGAACACCGCCTCTAATGCGTTGGATTGTCGTAAGGACTTGCATTAGACATGATCCTCAGAGACCCAGAGGGTGAATGAATGCACCTAAACTTAAATAAACGTTAACACAATTTCACAAAATACGCATAGGAATATTATTATACTTCATTGTAATTTATCAAAAACAAAAACCATGCTTCAGGTGTGAGTACCGTAATCTAACACGAAATTCAAAAATTCGGAACAATACTTTGCACTTCTGGCGTCGTGACCAACTATGAAAAGCTTACCCCCATAATGTTATATATTAAAATGTACCTATTCATATACTGTAGGCACGGGCTTTCAATTGAACCCCCCCACAACCAACGAAAATATGGCCATGACGATAGAGGAAGAAAAGAGCCTTAAAATATGCTTTTTATTTGAAGCTTCTAGCTCAATTTTGAAGGATGTTACATACATTTTTGTAAATTCAAAACAAATCTTACACGTTTTCTCATAATCTATTATGTTATATATTCATATTTTTCGTTTTTTGGGTTCCCGTTTTTTTGACCGGGTACCGGGTACCAAGTTTGAACCCAGCATGGAGGATTTACTACCCGGTACCCGTGTTTTTCTACAAACCCTTTCTAGATATCAGCGTCCATTTATTGTAACTCGCATTTGCTAATATTTGCTCAGTTCTGAGATGAAGGCCACACGGGTAGTAAAAAGGCCAACGTTGGAACTATTTGTGACCTACATCCCTATTTTCGTAATTAAAATGAGGGTTGAACCTTTCCCCTTTATTTTGATACCAAACAACAGCATGCTAGGTACTTAAAATTAGGTAAACTTTACTCCTCAAAAGTGCAAAAACTTAGCTTCTTATAAAAGATAAGATAATCACAATATAGGGGATTGCAACAATTTCGGAAATTCGCGGAGGTCAAAGCCACATTTGCGGGACTTCGCGGGACATTGCGGGACACGCGAATTAGCCTAATTTTGATCAAATTCGCGGGATAATCCCGCCATTCGCGGGACACTTGACAGCTCTGTCTATCTATATTGCGGGAAATGCTTTCCTGGCCTGTCTACCCAACCAAATTCACACAAATGATAAATAAATTTCTTTGCTTCAACTATAAAGTATTTAATCTTACCTTAGGCACGTAAAACGCTTTGTAATTGAAGAAATATAAGCATGCCACTTGAATTTTAAAATTTTTCATTTTGCCATACCAAGGTTAATCTGAGTCTAGATGTAAAACTATATCAAACGAAATCATAAGTATTTGTTAAATGAAGATTCAGTTGAAAGGGAAGCAGTGTCGTTAAGAAGGGAAGTTATTTGGAAAAGTTATTGTTTCAAAATGAGAAAAGTAATAAGTATGAGAGAACAGCTTTGGAATCGATCTCTGTGTAATAAATAATAATGATTCCGTTTCGATACATGTTTTACATTTAGACTACCGGAAACAACATTCAGCAACATGGCGGACGATAATGAAAATATAATTCAATTGATTATATTTCGTCAATTATCAAGCGTTTTACATGTCTAAGGTAAGATTTAACACTTTGATGTTGGAGCTAAATAATTACTCGATAATTTGTGTGACTTTGGTTAGTATGGTAACTATGGTTACCAAGACAGGCCAGAAAAGTGTTTACCGCAATTTGTTAGCAATTATATCTACGACCGTATATGCTAAGAAAATGATAAAAAATAAATATCCAAATAAGAACAAGGAATATCGAAGAACAGCATACAACGGTCGGATTTATATGACTATATTAATGGCGGATCTGTTGAGTTTGAGGTTCTTTCTGAAAAGATATTTTGAAATATCTTAATCCAGACAAGCAACGCTTCAACTTAAATATAATCATGGGCTTTCACAATAAATTTCTAGTTGAAAGCCCATGATATAATTAATGTTCTTATAAATATTTACAAGAATTATTAAAAAGAAGTTCTAGGTGCGTGTGACACTTTTTCTAGATTACATACGAAATCAATGAAGCGAGTAAGTGAAAATAAGGTAATGATATGATACTCCCCAGATATCTAGTTCTAGTCATATAAATCCGACCATTGTATGCTCTTCTTCGATGTTCCTTGTTCTTATTTGGATATTTATTTTTTATCATTTTCTTAGCATACACGGTCCTAGATATATATAAAAGCTAACAAATTGCGGGAAACGCTTTCCTGGCCTAAATAACCATACCAACCAAAGTCAAACAAATTATTGATTTATTATTTTGCTCCAACATCATTAGTGTTAAATCTTACCTTAGACATGTAAAACGCTTGATAATTGACGATATATAATCAATTGAAGTATATTTTCATTATCGCCTGCCATGTTGCTAAATGTTGTTTCCGGTAGTCTAAATGTTAACATGTATCAAAATGGAATCATAATTATTTATTACACAGAGATTCAAAAGCTGTTCTTTCATACTACATGCACTCACTTTTCTCATTTCTGAAACAATAACTTTTCCACGTTCCTTCCCTTCTTAATGACACTGCTTTTCTTCTATCTGAATCTTTGTGTAACAAATACTTAGGATTTTGTTTTGATATAGTTTTGCATCTAGACTAACAGATTAACCCGGAAGTGACCTTGATAAGGCAAAATGAAAAAATTTTAAAATTCCAGCAGCATGCTTATATATCTTCAATTACCAAACGTTTTACGTGCCGAAGATAAGATTAAATACTTTATAGTTGAAGCAAAGAAATTAATTTATCACTTGTTTGGGTAGACAGCCCAGGAAAGCATTTCTCACAATATAGAACTGGCTAGTGTGTACGACCATCGTATGCAATAAAAAATAAAAAATAAATATCCAAATAAGAAAAAATAACAACAAATAACAGCATTACTACGGTCGGATTTATTTGACTAATCTAGTTCATGTACTATGTATTAAGAATGAGCTACAATGTACATGTAGTAGTGTAGTGGACATTCCCTACCAGTGACAGGGGATTGACTGAAAACAAAATGCGGTAGGCGGACATGTAAACCTTGATTAATTTGAGTAAAATTGCACCGAGTGACTTGTACCAATCTAGGTCACCACTGGGCACAGGGGCTGTTCATTCTGATAGTCTTGGTAAATTATGAAACACCCAAATACACACTACGCTACTACTGTTCCAGGAACAAGTGGTCTGACAAAGGAAGCTTTAGCCAGACATAATGAGGCCGATCCCGATAACACTGATGATGTGGGAATGTCAGAGATCAGTGATGTGCAGAGTGTTGGGGGTAACACTTTCCAGACATGGGCCACAAACTGGACAGATTGCACCAATAATACTTTCAGTAAGGTGACACGCTATTGGGCATCTAACTCAGCAATGCATAAAGAGGTATGAATTGATAATGATTGTATAGATTCTTCCATTGTTTATTTGGTTACATACTTTGTGGTGCTTTAATGCCACCGGTACTAGATGTACTATATTTCTATACAAAGGCAGAAAGTTTGACAACATCTGAAGCAAAAACTGCCTTATTTTCCTTTACTATATGTTTTTACTGTTTTCCACTTGTTGTTGCATGTGTTATATAACAGTGAAAGGGCTCTAACTAAGTATGTAGTACTTTCATTACAAACTCTTGTTTTTACAGATCCTGGCTGTTCTGGCTGCAGTGACTGAGGTGATCAAGACAAAAGAAGGCAAAGAGACAGAAACTGAATATTTTGGAGCATTGGTATGTATGTCTTATGTACAGAAACATCTTAAGCTTGTAATGTGTGCATACCTCTTTAAAGTGTGATTTACCATGTACTTTGAGTTTTTGTTCTAAGTTATACTTTTAGGAACACCCTGTACTTTGTATTGTAAGTTATACTTTTGAACAGCCTTTCCATAAATTGGTGTTGAAAATAACACATTTAGGAACACCTTGTACTTAATAACTGCTACCTTTTGGAACATCCTGTACATAAGTTAAAAGCTGATGTCAGCTGTCATTCATTTATTCATATTTTTATTTATTTTCAGATGACTGCATTGGAAGGTGTGGACTCAGAAGAAAGTTTGGTTGCCATCACATATCTGCTCAGTCTGTGTATTAAAAGGTACATACAATGTAGTTGCAAACTACATTTGTTATACAATGGTGCATCCTCAAATGTTAATTTACTTATTTCATTTCAAACAACATATTGTGTTGCTTTGTGCACTTTCAGAAAATATGGAAAACACTGGGAAATATCATTTCAACAATTTAATCATTTTAATTAACATTTAGAATAGATTTTCAGCACTTTGACTCGATTTATTTAAATTTTACATTGGGGAATATATTATATTGAATTTACGTTTTATTAAAGTGTCAATATGCTATTATTTTAGATTTTCTAAAATTTATTGTGTTTATTCTATTAAAGGGTCAACGCAACGGTGCTAAAGAAGAAGTTCTCTGATGTTGCAAAGGTTTTGCTGGACATTCTTTCCAAATATAGTGCAACAGATAACCCGTCCCTTCTAAGATCTGTAAGTTACTTCATTATTTTGAGAGTGTTTCAATCATTTTTCGACTTCAGCGTCCTCTTCTTAATTGTAGATAGAAGATCTTAATGAAATTAACAATGCATTAATGACCTAAAAAATGATCAAATGGATATACCTCATTAAATAACTTGTATATTTTTATTTAGTAAATGCCTTGTATATATTGTAATGTACTGGTGTATCTCCTTTCTGGTCCAATTTTTTCAGTCACTTACACATGAGACTAATGTCAGGTATAGTGGTGTTATTATTGGTATTGTTAGATTACTAACATCATTCTGCCTACCTTAGAAGCATTGAAGGTTAAATATCAATGTTCATTTTGTTTAAAGTAAATTTCTTAAAGTGAGCGTTAAACTTTGCTAACACTAAAAAGTTAAACTTAAATGAGTGATATTTTATGCTAATGTGAATGGGAAAAGAAAGTTGAAGGTGAAAAAACATGCCTGTCATTTCATTGATGTTTATTTGTAGACTTTATTGACGCTGGCCTCTCTGTTACGTGTACAAGACCAGCTGGTATGGCAGGATGCTTCTACGACACAGATCTACAGGGGCCTACTTACTTTCACAGTACATAGCAAACCCAAGGTAAGGAAAACAGCTCTCAACAAAGAAATTACCAGGAATTATTTCACATTGCTCAAAGTTTACATAAATCGTCAAAAGTGGAACAAACAGAGGAAATTCTGGAATCATGTTTTTTCCTAGTATATTGTTCAGGCCAAATGTGAAAAATTGCATGATTTGATCTCTAATCAGCCACCTGCATTCTTTTTTCCCACTGTTTGACCTGCTAATAACAATTTATGATACTAGTGGCAAATAGACAGTCATAAAAACCATCAACAGATTATAATGAATAGCTTTGTATATGTTGATTCTAATGTAGGTGCGTAAAGCAGCCCACCAGGCAGTCTGTGCCATTTTAAAGGGTAGCGTTTTCATGACGCAAAACGATCCTCCTCCGAGTCATCCAGCAGCTAGCTCCACGGCAAAGTTTGCAATTCAACAACTAGAGACCTCTGGTGGTAAGAAATATTTTCAAATATAAAAGTAAGAAAATGTCCGTCAAATCTTTACTCTGGTCTTCTGGCCATGATATTGGATTTAAATAAATTGATACATGTGCTTCCTATTTTACAGGAGGTGCTGATGCCACAACAAGTCTCCACATCTTAGGTTTACTGAAGGATGTCCTCTCAACATTTCCGCATCACAGTCTCAAAGCTGTCTGTGAGGCTATTCTACGATTAATGACCCTCAGCAATGTGGTAAGGAATATTTATCAATTTATGTATTAATTTCATAGCTTAATTTCATGACTTATGTTTCACTTAAAAACAGAAATGTTGTCTAATTCTGTCTGATCTTGCATTTAAAATCAGGCTTTCCGGAGAGCTCCTTAGAGTTAATAAATTATGGACTCCATAACTTCCCTGAAATATAAAAATCAACATTTTTTAGGCCCACCCAGCTAAACTGCAATTTGTATTATTTCTTGGCCCACCCTGTATAAAAACATGTACCTGTGTAATTAGTATTTTCTATTTCAGTTGACTACATCAGTGTCTCTGCAGGCTTTACATGGCATGTTCTCCTCCAGACCAAAGTCAACATGCCTCTCTGCTGACCTCAATGCACAGATATATTATAATTAGTATATTCTGTTTCAGTTGACTACATCAGTGTCTCTGCAGGCTTTACATGGCATGTTCTCCTCCAGACCAAAGTCAACCTGCCTCCCTGCTGACCTCAATGCACAGATCATTATGGTAAGACTATTCACTTTTTGTCATGATCACAAGTGGTGACAAATTGTTACTGTTCCTAAGTTTTTTTTGGATGGCATTCGGCATTGGCATCTGTGACATCTTGAATTTTATATTGCATGTCACCCTTGAAGATAAGCAATACATCTTGAGTATTATCCTGTATTTTTATGGTAGAGTTGACTTTACCCTGCGTGCAGAGTCTAGTTATAAACTACCCTCTGCCTAGTATAGACTATATTACATTTGTGCCTGAGACAGCCCAGGTAATAAATCATTTCAAATCTACCACACTGACCCTTTCCCAACCAATCAGCGAAGTAAAAAGGAACGCGTGCTACATACGTGCTCATTAACTATGCGGTGATGTCCTAGGAAATGACCATATAGAAAGTCGTCTGTATTTCACCGACGAACTCTGATTGGCTCGGTGAGATCAGAGATTTATTGTAAAAGGAAAGAGGAAGCTCTTTTTTAAGAAGTGAAGTCGAATGAATGCAAAGGGTAAATTGACTTGTATGTAACCATGATAAAAGCAGAGCATTACTCCATATTTTTGAGTTAAAACACTGTATCTTTAAGCTTGCGAGGACCAAAAACAGTCCCAGTCAGTGGAGGGTGGAACTCGTCATATTTTCATGTAGTGTTCAATTCTGGTTTACAGTTAACTAAAGTTCTAAAGATTCCATAGAGGGCTGTGCAGTAGTGTTGGTCAACGTTGAGTGCCTGGGATCTTTTCATTGCATAAATATGACCATTAGACCACCCTCATGTTCCTTCATTTTAGTGGACTGAAGTTTTAGTTTACTTAAATTTATTGTAGGCATTATATGACTACCAACCTAAAGAGAATGATGGGCAGTTGATGACAGCCTGGCTCACAGTCATGGAGAAAGCACATTGCAATCTGGCCAGGTAAGAGAATAACTTTGTAAAATAAATATCTTGAAAGGAAAGCACATTTTAGTGTTAATATTTCTTGGTCCCATCCTTTGACATTGTCCCATCCTTTGACATTTCTTTGACTAATAAGTTAAAGGAACTTACATCACAATGATGTCACTTAGTGCAACACTTTCCTAATACATGTATGCTAAAACATTCAAGTGGCACACAAGATGTTACATTTTATTATTGAAATAGTATGTCCTTTGTTCAGTCTCCACAATGGTGTTAGAATATGATAAGGTATTTAGTGGAAAAGGGGCGCGAGTTGTTGGGGGAGTTTTTCATGCATTTCGCTGATGTTTTTCATCTTAAAAACAGGAATACACTTTAAAATGTTTTATTGACTAAAAGATTGCACCATACCATGCTTTCATTTATATCGCAACCTAATAAGGTGTATATTACTGATTAAGCTTCCTGTTATCTCAAAATCTGCTTGGAACCCCACCATTGGATTAACATGGGAAATTCCTACAAGAGAATATTCTTGGGATTAAAGAATTGGTGCAGTTAACACAATTTGAGAAATTATTGGCATACATGAAACCTATTTATAACAGCATTTATATTATTCCAAAGCATCAAGCACAATGATTCCCAGCCCTCTGAAGTTTAAAAAATAAAAATACGTGGGTGTTAATCAATGGATAATCCTTGAAAATTAGAACTTTTTTTGGGGATCATACGGAGCAATTTTATAGTCAATAATATGTTTTACAGTGTATTGTTGTTTTTTAGATGAAAAACAAGCAAAATGCATGAAAAAACCCCCTCGATTCGTTTTACAAACAACTCGCAGTCCTTTGATGTGAAACTTATTTAATTTCTAAAGGTCATTTTTGAAGGATTTTTTTGTCCGATAAGATCAGTAACTTTTTTCAAATAATTTTTTGTTGTCACACGCATCTATTTATTTAACGAATGATTTTCACCAATGGATAGTGTACATACTAATCTATGTTACAATTGAAAACAGTAAGATCAGTTGGAGAATAAAGTGAAATCAACTTACAAGTGCAGAAAAGTGATTCAGAAAAAACACATTTTACAATTCTAGTTCTCATTGAAACCAATGGTACAGAAATATTTAAAGCATGATACAAGTTGTAAACACTTCTTTTTATCTAATATAGGACGTTATATTGTTTTATTTTGAAATCTAATATATACATAAAAGTGAAATTTAATTGTTACTTAAGTATTTTTACCTATGGTTTGTAGTGTTGTATTATACTAATATAATCAAAAAAAGGATTGGTATCGATATGGAGAACTGAATTAAACAATGTTTTTCTCTTAACCCAATTATTGAAAACATTCTGTAAAAAAACAAAGTCCTTTATGTAATGTTGACTGATTGACAACAATTTAATGCGAAAATGATTTATATATATTTTATATTACTGTTTTTGTTAACATTTTTTGTTTTTTAGTGCAATTGTTTTTTGTCCCTTTTTACCATTTCTTGAGAATGAAATACAATATCTTTCCGAAGCTTGTTTGAACAAAATAGCATATACAACATTTTCTTAGACTTCCCAATATCATAGTTGTACAAAGGAAATTTTGGTTGATTTAACAAAAAGTATTCAAAAAATTAAAACAAAAACCCCGAAATAGATAAAAACTAAGATAAACCTTTAATTTCATTTACAGGATACTTTTTTTAAATCAAGCAAACTTTCCTTTGTATAATTACAATATTGAGATACATAAACAAGTTGTGTTTATGTCATTTTGTTCCAATGAGGTTCGGATAGATGTGTTTTCTAAAACAATATAGAGAAAACTATTTATGTCTATTTAAGATTATATTGTTACCATTCAAAAGATGACCATTAAATTGACAATGTGTAAAATTTTCAGAATTTTTTGATGACTAGTTTAAGAGAAACGTGTGTTCAAAAAGTTCGCCAATACCCATCCTTTACCACTAAAAACGTTTGCCGCTAAAATGGCAGGAAATCCAAAGGACCGATAACTTTTTTCGTTTCAAATTACTTTTAAAGTCCTGACAAATTATATTAAGATGGCTGAACAATATTTTCAAAATTTGCCTGGGGCCTTTAAAATGTTTATTTTTGGAAATCAGCAGGTGTCTTTCTGTCTCATATGTTATACACCTGCCATATTCAAATGAAAATGCTGAAGAAACTAGAAGTCCACAATAAGCAATCTAATTTTTAACATAAAATTTTCAATGTTATAATCAAAGGATCAATTATACATGTACATGTAGTTGTACAAAGCATCACATAAACCTTGTCATCAACATTCCAGGAAAACTGCCTTTGACAGTGCAATTGTCTTGTTTTCTGGCAGCCATTTTAAAAGTTTTTAGATAAATCTTGTCATTTCAACAAAACCACTGATTGGATTTTCCTTATAGAAATTTAATTTAGAACTTATTTACTGCCTACTTATGTGATTTCGCTCACATTTTGTCCCTGTTATTAGTTAATGATAAACACAGCTGTCTCAAGGTCAAATGTAATAGCTTAAAACTTAGATAAAGAGTGAAGGAGAAACGGTTATTTGATAAATATAAACATAGTTTATTTCATTACTGTAACAGTCACAAATGTTTTGTCTTCTTCATGGTTAACCATAACATTGGGGATGATGTAACAGTACAGTTTTTTTTACCAGAAATGTTGTACTTAATAGTAAGGATCATTGGATTATGTTCAATTGTTAGTATGGTACATTGTGACAATGTTGCTGTTAAGCCAAGTGATATAACTGTTAACATTGGGGATGATGTGACTCTGCCATGCAAACTTGCTGAGGGAGTTATGCATGAGTATGTCTCTTGGTATGAATACATTACAAAGGAAAATGGATTTCAAATATTCAAATCTAATCGCCCAGATGAAGTTAAGAATCCAAGCAAGTTCGCAGTTGATACCACTGATGCGAAATATGACTTAAAAATACAGGATGTGTCCTTAAAGGATGCTGGGAAATATAGCTGTAAAACGTTTCAGGACAGACAACGATACCCAGCTTATGTGACTGTTTATGAACCACCTTCCTGTGACCATAACAGTGGTAATAATATTATTGAAGGGCAAAGCAAAACATTGACATGTGATATGAAGTATTCCGGTTATGCTAAACCAATATTAAAATGGTTGCGAAATGGCAAAGAAATTGAGGTAAAAACCAGTGTCAAGGAACATTTTGCAAGTGCGAATGCCACATTTGTTGTTTCCCATGCTGATAATGGTGCAACGTTTACGTGCAATGTAAACAGTGCTGACCAACCTGATTTTGTTGGAGATCAATGTACAATAACACTTAAATGGGAAAGTGTCACTCATAAACAGCAGCCTGACATAAAACATGGATCTAGCCACTCTTCAGCAGATATTGTTGTCAGAAGTGAAATCCTTATTCTAATTTCTGAACTGGCTTCAATCTATGGCTTAAGACTATATTGGAATATTACCAAGTCTACTTTTTCATAGTGCATTTTTGTAGTACTATTGGACTCTTAGTAATAAAAATGATTTTTTTTGTTTTTTATTCATTTTTTTACTCCCTCAGTAAGAATGACAATATACAACAGTATATAAAGTCATAACAGACGCACAAATTTTATTTTTCTATGTTATATAAAAATTTAAGTGTTTGTTCTCAATGTCTGTTACAGGAATAAAACATATGCTTTTAAAACTGTCTCTTTGTTGATACAGATACTTGTAAGAGAGATTGTAGCCAATCAGTAAGGGATAAACTAGAACTCCAAAGCCCCCTGCAATAATTCATTTGAATTTAAAATTGAGATGTAAATAAATGATTAACTTTATTTTAATTTTTAACTTCATGTCTTTCATGCTTGATCTTAATTGGGATAATTGTCAAATATTCAAACCTAAGCTTATTAGGAACTTTGAATGTCACTAGTTTAATAGATAAAAATCGTGGCATTATCATCGTTGTTCTAGAATAAACATGGGCTTTCAAGAGATCTTGAAAGCCCATGGAATAATTATTACTAAAGTAATATCTGTTCTTTTGCTTGCGAGCCGAGTCACAAATAATCGTTCAGTAGGTCAAAGTTCAAGGCAATCACCTGTGTTTAGGTTACACAGTATCCAAATGTACCACTGCTATATTAGCAAAGGTCAGAATCTAGTGGAGACGAGGGTGTAAAGGTTGTGTTGAGTATGCAACACTTCGATTTCAGAAAATTGCTATTGTATTCATACTAGAGTCAAAAAGTCTAAATCCAAACAGGGGGTAATTCTGAATGGGTTGCAAACAATGGCAAGCAAATCATTGAGTTGAATGATAGTACCTCTACTACCTCTATATAATATTTAGAATGTGAAGGATACCATATAATATAATATAATATAATATAATATTTAGAGGTTATGTCACTATGACGTGAAATATGCCTGAGTTCTCCCAATATAGGCCGACCTTGGGAGGCTCTATATTTGGGCAAGAACGAAGGCATATTTCACGTCATAGTGACATAACTGATGTATTACATGCCTTTGTTCCCATGGTTACTTTGTATCAATGACGTGACGTCATGATATTATCATGGTTATTAAAGAAATCTAATATCAAAACGAGGTAAGCGGGCTATATCGGGGTAATCGGGCAATATCGGTGGATATAGCTCGCTAACTTTCCCATTGACTTCCATACAAATGCTTCGCTAGGTATGTAATACAATATAATATATACCAACAATCTAACAATAAAATAATTAATTAGGGTGGAATTAGGTGTTCTGAATTACCCCCATGCTAGTGTTTGGAATTACCCCCACAAATCCTATGTCTTTAAATAAATAGATGTCACTTATAAATCAATTAAATTTGGGGTTCTTGATATCCAGGGGTGACAGGATCCAGTATCATTACTTCAGGGTACCATATAATGATATACCATCAATCTAACAATTAAAACAATTAAGTTTAAGTTAAGCGTTTGGAATAACCCCAATGCTAGTGTTCGGAATTACCCCCCCCCCCAATAACTCCTGTTTGGAATTACCCCCCATAAATACCTTAAAGTTAAGGTTGTATAACCCAGATTTTTTGACAATTTATCATAATTTTTTTCTGCAAATGCATTCTACAGCGTGTAATACACATAATATATATAAAATTATACTAAAGATGTGCAGTGCAGTCGAGCTAACTATCTTACATGTACAATTTTATGGGGTGTTCGGAAATAAACGTATTGACTCTATTGCTCAGCAATCTTTATCGTAATATGAGCATGAAATATTCAAAATTTGGAATCTTTTGACATAATGTGTTGTTTATACTATATATTGTGTATTGAGATTTGGTACTCTATGAAGTTGCTACTTTCTAGTTTCTAACTACTATTTTTCAGACTAGATGAGAAGTTATGTATCAGCCATGTACCCCGTGTGGTAGGAGTTGCCATGACAACCCTATTAGCAGGCAACCCCAATGTCATCCAGCAAGCAACAATACTTATAAAGGTAATATTAGATAATTAATCTGATCTAACACAGGATTTGATGGCGACTCCAAGGGGTAGCAAGTCATATCATTTACACTCAATTAAGTATGAACTTTTACTTCACAATTTTTGGAGAAAATGAAATAAATTGTTGGTGCTGGTATATCTAGCAATATGGCCCAGTGGAGTATAACGCTCTGCAGGGAGCATTAGTTATTGTGGTTACAAAGCAAAAATTAACATGTTCAATGAAGCAAGCTATTCTTCCAAGTGTGACCACTATCAAGCCAAGATTCACTGTTCCTGAGCTATACTACCTTGATAAAATGTATGTTTTAATCTGTTATGGCTCTTTATGAAGATAACTTTGTGTAATTATTCATTTATAGGTTGTTATCGAACAATGTCTTGGTCCAGTCGCCACTAAACTGGAGTCTATTCTACAGGCCTCACCAGCCAGTAATGGTACAGCAACATATAAACTGTTCAAGGTCCTGGAAAAGGGACTAAGCTACCAGTATCATGCAGTATGGGCCCAAGTGTTTGAGATCTTACAATGCTTCTTTAAAGTCCTTGGAAAGCCATGTGCACCCATGTTAAACAAGGTAATTTTAAATTGAACCTATTTTAAAGAAGGTATCTAACTTAGCCCATGTTAAGCAAGGTATTGAACTGAACCCATGTTAAAAAAAGTATTTTTAAATTTAACCTATTTTAAACAAGGTATTTTGTTGAGTCCAGGTTAAGAATTTATTTCACTAAAACCATGTTAAACAGGGTATTTAACTGTATCCATGTTGAAAAAGGTATTAAACTGAACCCATTAATAATGTTTTTTCTGAACCCATAAATAATGTATTTATTTGAACCCATAAATAATGTATTTATCTGAACCCATAAGTAATGTATTTATTCATGAACCTGTGTTAGATAAGGTATCTAGATAAATCCAAGTTAAACAAGTTCAGCTGTACTCATTCTAAATAAGGTATTAAACTACCAATGTTAAAAAGGTACCCAATGTTAGATAAGGTATTTAAATGTACCAATGTTAAAAAGGTATTTAACTGTACCCAATGTTAGATAAGGTATTTAAATGTACCAAATGTTTAATAAGTTATTTAACTGTACCCAATGTTAAATAAGATATTCAACTGTACCCAATGTTAAATGAAGGCATTTAACTGAATCCAATGTTAAATAAGATATTTAACTGTACTCAATGTTAAATAAGGTATTTAACTGTAACCAATGATAAATAAGGTATTTAACTGAATCCAATGTTAAATAAGGTAGTTAACTGAATCCAGTGTTAAATAAGGTATTTAACTGTATCCAGTATTAAATAAGGTATTTAAATGTACCCAATGTTAAATAAGGTATTTAATTGTAACCAATGATAAATAAGGTATTTAACTGAATCCAATGTTAAATGAGGTATTTAACTGTATCCAGTGTTAAATAAGGTATTTAACTGTATCCAGTATTAAATAAGGTATTTAACTGAATCCAATGTTAAAAAGGTATTTAACTATACCCATGTTAAAAAGCTATTTAACTGTACCCATGTTAAAAAGCTATTTAACTGTACCCATGTTAAAAAGCTATTTAAGTGTACCCAATGTTAAATGAGATATTTAAGTGTACCCAATGTTAAATAAGGTATTTAACTGTACCAAATGTTAAATAAGGTATTGAACTGCACCCAATGTTAAATAAGGTATTTAACTGAATCCTTGTTATTAAAGGCATTTGTTCTTGCAGTGTCTTCTATCCATGGCAGACTTACGAGATAGCTTTCAGTTCGCACACACTAAGGCCTTGGACAAAACATTTGGCTTAGCTGTACAGTCCATGGGGCCAAGGGCTGTACTCCAAGCTGTACCTCTACAGATTACAGGCGATGAGTAAGTTAATTCCTACAGTTTACCTTATTTTGCCAACACTAAGGGGAGGCATCAAAAGTTTGATGTCGGATCGAAAGCTAAATAAATCTAGTTCTGAGTTTTACCCCCCCCCCCAAAAAAAAACAACAACTTAAACCCATGAAAGTTAATCGCAGACTTCTGGCTTGAGAATTTGAAAAATTATTTCTAAAATGATCGAATTTGTGTTAATTCCTTTAACAACTATTTATAGAATAGTATCCATTGGAATGATCTTGACGAAGAAAACATCAGGTAAAATCTTTATTTTTAAACCATTCCAAGGCATTTCGAGTCAAAATTGCAAAAAATTGAAATGTTGAAATTTGTCAGATAGCAAACTGAAATGGCTTTGAATCCCCCCCCCCCTTACTAGATTTATTTAATTTTTGATCCGACATTGATCTGTTGATGCCTTCCCTAAGTAGTTATTATTATTACATACTATTATGACATGTTGTTATGGCAACTGTTTATAGTGACCAACATCACTCAGTGTGGGTGTCAGAGATTGACATATCAATTTTGTAATTACAATTTTGTTATTACAATTTTGTAATTGTAATATCTAACTTTTCTTCATATGAATACAATGACATGTAGAACACAGTATAGTGAAATCATCATCTTTACTCAGTTCATACTGCATCCCTTTACAAGACTTGACTTCTACATGAATAGAATATAGCCTATATCCATTCGGAATATGAATATGAAGTCATGGCATCATGCTCATTAAATGCCGCAAGTTGTGTGTTATTTTCATTATTAGACATCATGCCATGATCAGTAAATGACATGTCATGTACAGCAAATATTATGCCCTTAGCAAATGTTCTGTTCATTCTCAATAAATCTGTTAAAGTTAGAGTCATTTTAGTGAGAAATCAAACAATATAGTGTGAATGGTATATTTAAGCAAATGTCATGTCATTCTTAGTTAATGTCAAAAATGTAGAGTAAATGGTCAAACCAAATAAAGTTAATGGTCAAACAATTTAGAGTGAATTGCCAAACAATATGGAGTTAATGGTCGAACAATGTGGAGTTAAAGATAAACGATGTTGAGTGAATGGTCAAGCATTGTAGAGTGAATGGTCAAACATTGTAGAGTGAATGGTCAAACATTGTAGAGTGAATGGTCACACAATATAGAGTGAATGGTCAAACATTGTAGAGTGAATGGTCAAACAATATAGAGTGAATGGTCAAGCATTGTAGAGTGAATGGTAAAAACAAATAGAGTTAATGGTCAAACAATGTAGAGTGAATGGTCAAACAATGTAGAGTGAATGGTCAAATAATGTAAAGTGAATGGTCAAACAATGTAGAGTGAATGGTCAAACATTGTAGAGTGAATGGTCAAACAATATAGAGTGAATGGTCAAACAATGTAGAGTGAATGGTCAAACAATGTAGAGTGAATGGTCAAATAATGTAAAGTGAATGGTCCAAATAGAGTGAATGGTCAAACAATGTAGAGTGAATGGTCAAACAATGTAGATTTAATGGTCTAACAATATAGAGTGAATGGTCAAACAATGTACAGTGAATGGTCAAACATTGTAGAGTGAATGGTCAAACAATGTAGAGTGAATGGTCAAACAATGTAGAGTGAATGGTCAAACAATGTAGAGTGAATGGTCAAACAATGTAGAGTGAATGGTCAAACAATGTAGAGTGAATGGTCAAACAATGTAGAGTGAATGGTCAAATAATGTAAAGTGAATGGTCCAAATAGAGTGAATGGTCAAACAATGTAGAGTGAATGGTCAAACAATGTAGATTTAATGGTCTAACAATATAGAGTGAATGGTCAAACAATGTACAGTGAATGGTCAAACATTGTAGAGTGAATGGTCAAACAATGTAGAGTGAATGGTCAAACAATGTAGAGTGAATGGTCAAACAATGTAGAGTGAATGGTCAAACATTGTAGAGTGAATGGTCAAACAATATAGAGTGAATGGTCAAGCATTGTAGAGTGAATGGTCAAACATTGAAGAGTGAATGGTCAAACATTGTAGAGTGAATGGTCAAACATTGTAGAGTGAATGGTCAAACAATATAGAGTGAATGGTCAAGCATTGTAGAGTGAATGGTCAAGCATTGTAGAGTGAATGGTAAAAACAAATAGAGTTAATGGTCAAACAATGTAGAGTGAATGGTCAAACAATGTAGAGTGAATGGTCAAATAATGAAAAGTGAATGGTCAAACAATGTAGAGTGAATGGTCAAACATTGTAGAGTGAATGGTCAAACAATATAGAGTGAATGGTCAAACAATGTCGAGTGAATGGTCAAACAATGTCGAGTGAATGGTCAAGCATTGTAGAGTGAATGGTAAAACCAAATAGAGTGAATGGTCACACAATGTAGAGTGAATGGTCAAGCTTTGTAGAGTGAATGGTCGAACCAAATTAAGTGAATGGTCAAACAATGTAGAGTGAATGGTCAAACAATGTAGAGTTAATGGTCTAACAATATAGAGTGAATGGTCAAACAATGTACAGTGAATGGTCAAACATTGTAGAGTGAATAGTCAAACAATATAGAGTGAATGGTCAAGCATTATAGAGTGAATGGTAAAACCAAATAGAGTGAATGGTCACACAATGTAGAGTGAATGGTCAAACATTGTAGAGTGAATGGTCAAACAATATAGAGTGAATAGTCAAGCATTGTAGAGTGAATGGTAAAACCAAATAGAGTTAATGGTCAAACAATGTAGAGTGAATGGTCAAACAATGTAGAGTGAATGGTCAAATAATGTAAAGTGAATGGTCCAAATAGAGTGAATGGTCAAACAATGTAGAGTGAATGGTCAAACAATGTAGATTTAATGGTCTAACAATATAGAGTGAATGGCCAAACAATGTACAGTGAATGGTCAAACATTGTAGAGTGAATGGTCAAACAATGTAGAGTGAATGGTCAAACAATGTAGAGTGAATGGTCAAACAATGTAGAGTGAATGGTCAAACAATGTAGAGTGAATGGTCAAACAATGTAGAGTGAATGGTCAAACAATGTAGAGTGAATGGTCAAATAATGTAGAGTGAATGTCAAACCAAATAGAGTGAATGGTCAAACATTGTAGAGTGAATGTCAAACCAAATAGAGTGAATGGCAAAAACCAAATAGAATGAAATGTCAAACCATTTTTTTCAGAGATGACTATGAGTTTCCCAGGAGTTGGATCATTCCTGTACTGAGGAACTACATAGAGAACACAGAACTAGCATATTTTGTTTCCTACTTTCTGCCGCTAGCAGCTAAACTAAGATCTAAATGTAAGTAGACAAGAAACAAATATTCTTGAATAAAATGTGTTTGTATTTGTATATTTATTCAACCACCAATTTGGTGACAATACTTTCTTTTTTACAACATATTTACATTAGAAAGGACAGAGTAATAAAAAGTATTATTTACACCATGCTACATTTATCTCTTGACTTAAATTAATTTAGTTCCTTCAATTTCACATTTCTATAGTTATACATATTGCATATCATTTTGCAGCTATGGAACTTAATAGTAAAATGTTCCCTAGTGTGATCGATTTGCCGTACTGTTTATTATTAAGTCCAGTAATGACCCTGGCAACCTAACATATCTCATTATTAAAGATGTTTCAAGTTACCATTATCATGATATGATAATCATACCTATTGTGTACATTGTATGTTTATCTGATAAATGTGTAGGTTTACTTTGGTAAAGGGTTTTCTGTTATCTTCATAATCAATAGAACAATATAATAATACCCAACTAGAGAAGCAATGCATGATTCAAAGGGCGATCCATATGTTCTGATAAAAATGCTCTCATTTTTTTTTTCATTGCAGTTATTTTATTAAGATAAGGAGAACATTTATGCATAATGTGTACAAGTATCGTTTATTTTGAAAACAGTTCCTGTCTACAGCATAGCATAAGTATGACTGTATTTTGGGTACCCAGGTCAGCATTTATGCACCATATATTTACCAGTTACTCGTCATCAGTGCTGTTAATTGATGAATCACTGCCTCTCATGTTCAAAGTAATTGCCCCCAACATCAGCATATTTTTGATGTCTTTGGACCCACTGTCTATAGACATCTCTAAAGAATATGTGGAATGTCCCAATACTGCCATTCCATGTTGGGATGTCATGGTATGCACAAATCAAGATTTGCAAAGCAACATACAACATACTATGTTTGCTGTAATTGGCTCCCTTGTACAGCTTTTAGACTTATTTACAGGCGCCAATCATGGCAAATACGATAGCAATGATACTAAACTTTTTTTCCGCATGCTTTAAAATGGTTTAAATAACTAATTTGTATATTTTATATGTTATGATTTAACTGACCTGCCTACCATTAATACAGGCTACCATGGCAACCTTATCTCAAAATCAATTTAAGAGATAGTTATATACGTGCAAGACAATTAGCCTTGAAATATAAAAGACATAAATATTAGAAACTTTCCAGAAAAATCGAGGTATGACCCAGTTTAACGAAAAAATAGAAAAATATCGAAATTCTAAACTGGGCGATAATTGCAAACTTCCACTAAAATGATAAAATGGCAGATTGTGTCATTCGATGCATCCTCCTGATAAATATCTATTCTTTTGGTTTACTTCCATACCATACTCCATTAATATTCTCTTAAAATTGTCGAAAATGAATCGAGAAAATGTTCCTTTTAAAGTGTTTTGTTTCAATATCGGACCAGAAAATCTTTTACACACATTTTCTGCGCACCTTGAAAGGTCTTGAACTTTGGTGTTTCTCTCTAACATTCCTTCTTATTCTCAAGTCTTTTGCACAACTTTTACATAGAAATGATGATCTGTCAGTAAATTAAAACCAGGAGACAGAGATATGGAAAAATCACAAAATGAGAGCATTATTATCAGAATATATATATCGCCCCTTGTATTGAACATGATGATCCAATTTATATATACATGAATGATCACGAAATTCATTTATCTAAGACATGTACGTCAATATTACGATACATTTAGTGTTGGGAAATTGAAGTAAAGGTAATGACTCAAACAGCTTATTAGTAGAATTACACTGCACCATACAAAACTTATCTTGCAAATATTTGATTCATGTTGTCTAGCGGCTGAATTAGCCAAACAGAACAAGATGGTCGAGGCGAAGACGTATGACGCTCTACAGCAACAGATATGGAGCCTGCTTCCCTCCTTTTGTACCAGACCCACGGATATAGTCAAAGTAAGTTGACGTTTTCTTTTATACTGTAATAGACATTATCCTACACTTAGTGTACTAAATGTATAATAACATTAAAAAATAAATTTGATATTTATTGGCAAAATGAATATCCGGAGGATATCGTAATGATATACTCCGGGCGGAGGATATTGGACGATATACTCCGGAAAACCCAATATGTGGAGGATATTGTGACGATATACTCCGCTTGTTGATTTCCCGCCAAATTGACTCTATTTGGCATGAAATTCATTTTGCAATGATATTATACATTTAGTACACTCCTTGTAAGTGTAGGATAATAAAAACATCCTATGATTTTTTCAGAATATCATTTTAATCTACTCGGTGATATTGATATATGTACTCGTTCGCTTTGCTCTCTGGTGCAGATATCAATATCACCTCGTAGATAAAAATGATATTCCTCAAAATCATAGGATATCCTATAAGAGATGATCGCAGAGGTTTTGTCTTTACACAGTGTACACATCTCGCCTGCTTAGAGGCAAAGGGTCTATGTACATTTTTCCTGATTTAGAAAAAATGCATAAACAAACTTTGCATCCTCCGAACGCAGGGTTCCAGAATCATACACAAAGAAAGAAGGAACTTTGTGTTTGATTCTGGAACCCTGCGTTCGGAGGATGAAACTTTTGAACCTAATATGAATCAGTACATACACCTTTTAAAGAAACAAAATAACTTTTTTTATTAAAATCATATAATTATTGGTACACTGTGTAAATATAATGTTTCCACTTCATTTGTGAAAAAATCTCATTTTTCTTCAAATATTGCACATAGCTCCTTCTGCCTTCTGGTTATTAATGTATAAATCTTTACCAGAGACATTAAATGTCTCTGTCTTTATGAATGTTGACCCAAGCTGCCCATTGGGGGTAGTAATGGGTGACACTCAGATATAATGTATACTGCGTCTCATAAGTCGGCACCGGCTGGTGATGTTACAAAATGTTGTTTTTTATGTATTTTATATGTATATTGTAATATCAGTGACACAAAAATAAACTATTTTAAACTAAAAAAACTAAACCTCTAAACAGACACCATATTCTGTTCATATAAGACATTTTACAAAAAGAAGTGCCCAGGTTAATCCTCACAAGACCATCTTATTTAAGGAAAAAACGAGATTCTATGCTTAATGCATTCTATGCATTATATGACCAAAATTTTCATTCTGTTCATTATTAAGACTGAAATTGCGCAGAGGTCTTAAGTAATGGCCAGAATAAAATATGAGGTCATATATTTGCTATACATCATAGAATCGGGGTCTTTGTTGAATTCTAATATGATAAACAAACAAGAAAAACAACTGTTTGCATTTATGGAATTTAGCAGTCATACATGTATGTACTTTATTATAGACCAGTTAATCAATTGCAGTAATTGTGCTGTCACTTATCATATTAGAATATCAATTTAGAACTGTAACACATTCGTCATCCTACAATAAGTATTACTCAAGATACAATGTATAGCAATTAGTGGCAAGATTTTCAATTATCATTCATTAGCAAATCACATGTTCTACTGTATGTCTAATTAGCAAACAAAATATTGAAGAAGACGTCTGTTTTGCCAATCAGATTTTTAGCTTGTATGGATGAGCAATTGTTATCACCCGGTTGTCTTGTTTATTATTGCAGTATTTATTCTGATGGACAGTTAACTTACCTTCTACCATAATTGAGGGAGTGATTAAAAAACATTGCAATATTTCTTAATCACAGTAGATTATAGATAGTAAAGAGGATGTCTTTTACTTGCTGGTAAACAGAGAGGTAGTTTATGACTTAGTTTATGACGTACTGTTAATCAGTTAAAATTGATACTTACGTACCGATTATTTATTGTATTGCAGTCATTTAGTAGTATAGCCAAGGTGCTAGGGACGGCACTCACGGACAGACAAGACATCAATATGGACGTTATGGCATCAATCCGCAAGCTCATCCTTCTGAACAAGCATAATGGTAAATATGGACATGTTTTTATATTTCATTACACACAGTTTTTGTCAGACTTCGAAAAAATGTTACGTTGTCATCATCTTGTTAAAAATTTATGTTGATTTCCGATGAGAATATTCAATGTGGCGTTTTGAGAGATCATTTATTTGGTATACATTTTGAATAAAATATGATAAATATTGAGTTTTGTTGATTTGATATACATTCTTTTCCGTTTCCATTTTTCTTTTCAAAATAATTACCACATTATTCAGGACATTTTAGAAATGATTCAGTATTTGGGATACAAAATAAATAAATCACCATGGGTAGAATCTTGGATCAGTGATGCCAGAGGATAATTAGTTGTACATGTTTTATATTTGTGAATAAAAAAATAGGATAATTATCAATTTGCTTTTATAATTTTGGCTACTAATTGTCAGTACTTTTGTCAGTTTAGTAATTTGAACCTACGGAATCACTCACATGTCTGTCTTTTTGGTAACAATTATTGCACAAATAAAAACTGTCCTATTTTATGGAAGTCCATTTGGTAATTTATATATATATTACATATACTGCAGCTTTAATTTAGTATTTTAAATGAGATGATATATGTAGCAATTGATGTTGAGAATTATCAGTATGAGTGAGTTTCAGCTTCTCAATTTGTGTATTATTTACAGATGCATGTGCAGAAGAAATTGGACGATTTGCTAAGAATTTTCTTCCTATATTGTTCAACATGTACACTACTAACACAGAGGTTGAAAAGGATCCTAAAAGAATGGCTGCCCGTGAAACCATCAAAGTTTATCTGAGTGTCACAAAAATTGAGGTAATAAAATATGATTTTTTCTAAGAATCTGTCAGAATGATACATTAATGTGAAAGGATGTGTCCGGGTTTATGCCCTTTTGGTCCCTCAGTCAAATGTATGTGAAATATGGTTTTTATTACTGTCCTAGTTATATTTGATAAGTGTATTTACTTTTTCACGAGTTTTGATGCATAATTAACCCCCTGCTGAGAGTCAAAATAAGTATCTTAACAAAAAGAAAATAGTCATTATCATAGAAAAAAACACCAATGGCAACATGTATGACATACAAAGAAGAAATAACTTAAGACCCATGAAGAATTAAAAAGAAAATCAAATTTTTTAAATATATTTAAGGATTAAATTTTTTTTCAAATTTTTGAATTTCCCGCCAGTTTACTTTGAAGGGGGAAAAACAAGATGGTTGCCATTTGATGTAAGAAATATCAGAAAAAAAGTTGCTTCACTTTTAGTTTTCACAATGAACACAGTTTTCCGGTTTAGGTTTTTTGACTGATTCTGACTCTTCACCACCAGGGTCATGTATAGAGATTATAAAATTGAAACCAAAATGTTGTGCTCAGCATGAATTTGACTGAAATATGTGTAACATCACCAACACAATTGAAGTCTCAAAACTGGATGCTCAGTAACTTTGAGTGACTATAATCCCTTGATTACCCAGATAAACACCAATTCACTTATCCAGAAATACCATTCAATGTCTATACAAAGAAAGTAACCAATGTTTTGGAAGATATGTTTCAAACCTTTTGCATAAATAATTCATTTCATATTTGCCATTGATTTTTTTCAATTCTGACAAAGTGATATGCACTGTCTTTGATGCCAATATTCTTCATCAATTGTGATACAAATTGATATTCTTGTAATCTCAGAAGAAGGATAAGATATTGAAGTTTAATAATATGTGTGATTGAGTTGGTTTTTCAGACATTATAATTTTCAATATTTTCTAAGTCGATACTCAGACTCATTCCCAGACTCATCCTTTGATGAGAACCTATCCCATTAAAAACCATATTATGTCAGAACACCTAGTGATCAAAAATCCTTCTTGTAAAACAGGATGTATATGGAACAGCTCTGTAAGTGGAACACCTCATGAATACGTTTAATGACCTTAATGTAGCTGCTATACCTTTTTATGTCCCCACCACATAGTGTGGGGCCATATTGTCGTCCTAGGCGCGTCCGTCCGTCCGTCCGTCCGTCCGTCCGTCCGTCTGTCTGTCTGTCTGGTTGTCTGTCTGTCCGTCCGTACGTCCGGCAGTTTTCTCCAAAACCGCTACAGGTATCACCTTCTAATTTTCAGGAATAACTTATGAGTGCCTATAGATGTGGATGAAAAAAATTTAACTCGAAACCTACTTCCTGTCGGCCATTTTGAAGTCAAATGCTAAAATCCTTGTCTGCAAACTTTAAGAAAAACTGCTTCACAGTTGCTTTTAAAACTTTAACATCTTGTTCAGCTCACTTCATTCTAGATCTGATTAGGTTTTGGACCTGCTAGCTCAGTCATGTCAGCCATTTTGAATGTCTTAAGAAAAGTTAGCGCGCGATAATACTTTGTATCATATTGAATGGTGTTTTTGAGTTTTCATACTTTAACTATTTAGTAGCTTTATAAATAATTTCAGATGTACTTTGCTGTAAAAGCCTACTTTATTGTTAACAGTAGTTATATGTGATAATTTTGTAAAAAGAAATCAGCAAAAACTCATAAGGACTTTTTTATTGTCGGCCATTTTGGATTTTTCGGTCCTAAAATCTTGTCTGTGAAGTCTTGTCTGCGCGTTTTCAGGTGAACCGTTTGGTGGATCAATTTCAAATTTTCAGGGATGATTCTTAGTATAAAAATCTAGATCTCATTAGTTTTTTGGCATTCTGGGTAAATGTCAAGGCAGCCATTTTGGATTTTCCGTCCTAAAATCTTGTCTGTAAAGTCTTGTCTACTCGTTTTCAGGTGAACTGTTTGGTAGATCAATTTCAAATTTTCAGGAATGATTCTTAGTATGAAAATCTAGAACTGATTAGTTTTTTTACATTCTGGGTAAATGTTAAGGCAGCCATTTTGGATTTTCCGTCTTAAAATCTTGCCTGTAAAGTCTTGTCTACGCGTTTTTAGGTGAACGGTTTGATAGATCAATTTCAAATTTTCAGGGATGATTCTTTGTATGAAAATCTACATCTGATTACTTTTTTTGCATTCTGCGTAAATGTTAAGGCAGCCATTTTGGATTTTCTGTCCTAAAATCTTGTCTGTAAAGTCTTGTCTACCCGTTTTCAGGTGAACCGTTTGGTAGATCAATTTCATATTTTCAGGGATGATTCTTAGTATGAAAATCTACAAACAGATTAGTTTTTTGACATTCTTGGTAAATGTCAAGGCAGCCATTTTGGATTTTCCATCCTGAAATCTTGTCTGTAAAGTCTTGTTTACATGTTTTCTGGTTAACTGTGTGACAGATCAATTTCAAATGTTCAGGGGTGGTTCTTAGTATGAAAATCTAGAACTGATTAGTTTTTTTGCATTCTGGGTAAATGTCAAGGCAGCCATTTTGGATTTTCCGTCTTAAAATCTTGCCTGTAAAGTCTTGTCTACGCGTTTTTAGGTGAACGGTTTGATAGATCAATTTCAAATTTTCAGGGATGATTCTTTGTATGAAAATCTACATCTGATTACTTTTTTTGCATTCTGCGTAAATGTTAAGGCAGCCATTTTGGATTTTCTGTCCTAAAATCTTGTCTGTAAAGTCTTGTTTACATGTTTTCTGGTTAACTGTGTGACGGATCAATTTCAAATTTTCAGGGGTGGTTCTTAGTATGAAAATCTAGAACTGACTAAATTTTTTGCATTCTGGGTAAATTTTAAGGTGGCCACTTTGGATTTTCCGTCCTCAAATTGTGTTGGTAAAGTCTTGTCTACTCATTTTCAGGATAACCATTTCACGGGATCACCACTTGGTGGGGACATTTTGTACACATTTGTGTTCTTGTTTTAATATGTACAGGCAGAACAGAAATCATTTCACCAACAGAACTATGAATACATTGATCATTTAGTTCTCCACATGTCATATGAAAACTAAAGAACACTTTACAGAGGTTTTCTTAAGCAAAAAACACTATATTTGATAATGGAGGTAGTTCTTTAATTGAAGGAATTTGTTGTATTTTCAGCTTATCTCAACCTTTTTTGGTAAATTGTACGAAAAACTGAATGATCAGGGGAGTCCTTCACATAAAATGTAAGTACGACATTATCAGATTCATACTGTCCCTAGATTTTGGCTCATTTGGCGAGCCTGGGAAACTGCAGACTCATCTGTCTTTTTGCGTGTCAACAATTTTCAGACAAATAAGTAACATGTATCTTGTCTGAAGTAATTCTCATATCAATTTTGCGAGGTCCCATACTGATGATTAACACCATTTGTCATGGTACTACTTATGCCTCATTTTGTTTTCCTTTTTAGCTCACATGGTGAGCTTTTGCAATCATTTTGTTAACAAAACATCACAATTTTACTAACTTTCCATGTAAGCCAATCAAATGGCCCCATTTTTGAGATGTACATATCATTATCATTAATTTTAGAAATGTGAAATCCGTTTTGTGCCAAATGAAAACGATGTGATTTTGAAGAATATTTGATGCTTAATCAATATCAATCTTTAAAATATTTGTTTAAACATGACATTTTTTGCAGGCACGCAATAATGGATCTTGCGATCTCAATGATCCCATACGTCTCCATAGATAATATTGAGCAAATTCACGAGTGGGTCAGCGAGAATGTTAGCTCCAAAGACAAATCCGTGCAGAAAAAATGTTACCGAATATTGGAAGAAATCTCTGTGTCACCGTCTCTGTCATGTCAAAATCATGTCTCTGTGAATCTGAATTCGTTCAAGGATGTCTTATTAAAGTCGCTATCATCATCTAACGCATCATCAAAAGCAGTAAGTATTTCATCCCTCTTACTGACTCTCTTGTAAAGGCTGATATCCTCTGCTTAAGATAGTTCTGCACTTTCAAAAAATGGACAAATTGATTGAGAAATGTTATTTCATCATAATTTTAACAAAATATTTGGATTTTGAACCATGTATTCTATAATAATGTGTAAATATCCACATAGAGATTAAATGTTGTTAATTGTATGAAAATCATGTTGAAAGAACTTGAAAAAATCCATCATGTAGACAACCATAATCAGTCCCCCATTACACGGGGACTATCCAGGCCCCACTGACATTTCGAGCAATGAGCTCATGTTAGAAGCGGGCCTTGAGAGATATGATAAAATTGAAATATGATATACTTTCTATGAAACTTTAGTAAGTGAAACTCAGTACAACTTTATTTCATAGTACAATGGCTATTTCAATTGCAAGGCAACGGCATTCTTCAACTATAACTGTATTTTATTATTATATCTCTTAGGGCCTGGCTTCTAACATGAGCCTGGATAGTCACTGAGCATTAGTAGTTACTATTTCAAACGTTCAACATATGATTATAAATTTTGTTCAGTCATAGAAGTCTCCACCCATCTTAGGTTATGTCATAAACATTTATTTGATACAACTTACAACAAAGAGTTTTAGGATCTGACAGTTGCTTTTATTTAATTCCAGCCAAGACTAAGATGTGTGACTCATGTATTCGAGAAACTCCACGACAAAGAAACTGAATTTCTAACTGCATTTGTACCAGAGGTGAGAAACTAAAGTTGTAGATATTAGTGTCTCTGAATTTTAGATGGAAGCAAGTGGAATTTACATTTTTTCAACTTAAACAATTCTTTCATGGCGACAAATGTAAGTAAATGTCTTAAATAATGATCTCATAAACTTAGAATGATCAAAGTGATCTTATAAACTCTTTGTGATCTTATAAACCCTTTGTGATTTTATATCATAAACTCTTAACGATCTTACAAATTTTAATTGATATTTTAAACTCCAAATTATTTTATTTTGAGGTGTTTGTATACAAAAGATTTATTGTACATGTATATTCATTTTATATCATCCTTTTCATTTCTCTTAATTTTTAATTTTAATTGTACATAATGCTAATAGTGTTCAACATATATCTAGGCTATTCTTGGAACCAAGGAGGTTGCGGAGAAAGCGCGACAAGCTGCCTATAGTCTTCTAACAGAAATGTGCAATGCAAACATCAGATGGGGCAGAGATCCACATGGTCAGTTTCCAAGTTACAGATATTTGTCTTTTTCTAATTTTGAAATTTCTGCAACAGTCTTCCTGACCAACTTTACGCTATTGTCATTGGATAGGACAAATAATTTGCTCAATTTTCATTTTAATCATGGTCAATTTCAAAATGTATTTTATTTTCATTATTTGTGCCAAGATTTTCAAATGTGTCAATTGCTATTTGATACCTAATTTTAATCACATTTATTCTCGAGATGAATTGTCAATTGTAGCTCACTTTTCAACAAAACTTCAACTGTTAATGTTATACAGTATGTTGTAGATTCTGTGGCTGAGTTCTTGCAATTGTTGCTTTAAAACCTCTGTCGATAGCATTCCCATTTTAAATTATTTTTGTTCGACACCAATACAGAAAACCCCCTTATGAATCCTGGTTCAAAAGCTTGCCTATTTTCAAAATGGCCGCCATTTTTATCTTGCAAAATTCACTTTGGACCATTTGGTAGCTTTATAAATAACTTCAGTTGTCCTGCATTGTAAAAAGCCATGTCACTGTAAAGAGTAGTTGTATGAAATAATTTTGTTTCAAAAATGTTAATGTTATATGTTGTAGATTCCGTGGCTGAGTTCTTGCAATTGTTGCTGGCTGGTCTTGCAGGATCTCCACACATGATGGCATGCACCACACTTGCAGTGGCTCATATTGTACACCATTTTAAAGGTATCATCATTTTTTGATTTGTTATGTCACCAACAGAATTGGTGGCATATTGTTAGAGTCTCCATCTTTTTGTGGATTGTGTTCGATATTTGGTGGTTAGTGTTTAGCATTCGGCAGTTGGGTGTTCAGTGTTTGACATCTGTTACAAATTGCAGGTGGTGACATTTTGCATGTTAATGACTTGATTCTTTTTTTGTACAATATTTAGAATAAAAAATGTAAGACTTAATGAGTGAAAATACACTTACTTTCTAGACTCCACTTTTCTTTTTTGGCAATGGAAAAACTGGTTTCATATTGGGCAACGGACTGAATGCCAATATGTTATAACTGTGGCACAATCGTATGTTCGTGTGTTCGTGTGCCTCAGTAGTTAACCCAGCTACTCTGAGGAAAAAAGCTGAATTTAATTGCAAAAACATGTTTTTCAGACAACATGGGAGCTGAAGTACTAGGGCTCCTGATAGACAACATGTGTGTGTTACTGATGTCTAAAGCCAGGGAGGTAGTTGAGGCATCTCTTGCCCTCAGCAAAGTACTTTTAACCACATTCACTGATGTTCAACTGTCTCCACATCTCACCAAAATGGTAAGCATAAATGATTATCAGCAAAAATAATTTTAATTACAAATAATGATCATGAACATTTTTCTTAGCATCTGTGTTATCAACAGGTCTAAGTTGATAATGTAGTAAACCATCGCTAAAATTGATAGTGTATTAAATGATGAATAACTATTTATTTAGGTTGAAAGTGTTGTAAAGATGAAGGAAGACAGTAAACATCACTTCAGGTTCAAGGCTAAACAGATCTTCACAAAACTCATCAAAAAGTTTGGGTAAGTACAGTAGATAGTTTTTATGTTACCACCACCAAGTGATGACATATTGTTCGAGTCTCCAACCTTTTTGTGGTTGGTGTTTGGCGGTTGGTGTTCAGTGTTTGGTGTTTGTAACAGATGGCAAGTGGTGACATCTTGCATGTTATGCCTTGTTGGACATACTTCTCAACAAGGTGTACATTTATTTTTGTGTGTTGAGGAGTGAGAAAGGTATAGAGAAACAAGTAATTTAAGTATGAGTTTTAAAGTAGATTGAATTCATATCATGATTTATATATACATGTAGTTAATTTTTTTTTTGTGTGACAATTTGAAAGGTCAACATTTACACGTCATCGGGCCAAAGTACATTTTTTGTCAGATTACTGTAGGACTTTATTACTAACAATGTTATTTTACATATAATTTCCCTCTGTTTAGGTTTGCCACCATACAGAAACTAGTCCCTGATAGCCATCAGAAGCTACTGACAAACATACGCAAGACAATAGAGCGTAATAAACGACAGAAAAATGCTGAGAAAATTGCTGATGAAGAGAATGATGTTGTTAAACCTAAAACAGACAGGTATAATGTACATGTATTTATGTCAAATGATTTCTTCTCTTGTCTGGTTAATGAAAATAACATAATTAACAATGATTAATTAGAAAAATAATGATAAAAAAAATACTGTGCTAATGGTAATCTGTTTATCTCAAATAATTTCTTCTCTTGTCTAATTTCAAACTATACTATAGTAACTAATTGTCTTTTAAAGCTGGATCTATGGGATATTGTTCATCATTTGTGTTACTCCCTAGATCTGCTTGTTGTGAAGCAAACATAACAATTCGTGTTGCGTGTAAATATTATTATTTTCCATTTATTTAACTTCACAAGTTGGGTATTAATAGAACTGTCATTTATGACAGACATTCTTGTTCTAGTTCACATCGTTATCCCATTGAACAAAGTTTTAATGCTTTAACTGAAAACATAGTGGAACGATTTTCTTAAAATTATATGTGAATACTCAGAAGAATATTACCCTATCTAATTTGAATAATATGCAGACATTTCCAAAAATGGCAGCCATGGCTGTTCAAAGGGATTTGCTACCCTTTCGCGTTTCTTTTATCTAGTTAGCCTTTTGAGAATATGAGAATGCTTAGATTCTGGAGAGAATGCTATATTTCATATGAGACTTTTCTTCTAGTATTGATGACCTCCTCAGGCAAACCGATTCCATTTTATATGAGACTTTTCTTCTAGTATTGATGACCTCCTCAGGCAAACCGATTCCATTTTATATGAGACTTTTCTTCTAGTATTGATGACCTCCTCAGGCAAACCGATTCCATTTTATATGAGACTTTTCTTCTAGTATTGATGACCTCCTCCGGGATACTGACTCTATTTCATATGAGACTTTTCTTCTAGTATTGATGACCTCCTCCGGCATACCGATTCCATTTTATATGGGATTTTTCTTCTAGTATTGATGACCTCCTCCGGCATACCGATTCAATTTTATATGAGACTTTTCTTCTAGTATTGATGACCTCCTCCGGCATACCGATTCCATTTTATATGAGACTTTTCTTCTAGTATTGATGACCTCCTTCGGCATACCGATTCCATTTTATATGAGACTTTTCTTCCAGTATTGATGACCTTCTCCGGGATACCGACTCAGAACTTGAGGAAGAGGATGACAAGGCTTACAGGGACAAATCCAAGAAAATTCACAAGAAGGAATTACGAGAGCGAGTGGAGAAATCACGAGCTTGGTTACTTGAGGGCAGTGAGTCCGAACCCATGGACTTCTTAGACCCATCTGTCTCGAAGAAAGTTGTCGGTAAGCAAACATATATACACTTGATGAAAAGTGCTGTACTGTTGTTTGAAATGTAGTTATATTTTTATTGTCGCCTAATTTGACTATATGCAACATTTGATCGTTTTTTTCAGTCAGTTGAATATCTCAATCAATGGGCCTTGTGCAGTTCCATCTGATTTAGCATTTCTCTCACAATGTTGTTCTCATCACAATTCGCTATTTAGTGTTTCATTTACATTGTCTGTGACACATATTCAGTGATCTGTAATGTTTCTTTTATGATATGGCTTAAAATTTGTTAAAATCTGTCTTCCAGGTTCGATACCGACTGTACCTCGAAAGGAAGCCAAAAAGGAGCAATTCAAGATGGCCTCTGATGGGAGGATGATTATTACAGAGGGAAAAGATGAAGAGGAAATACCAAAATTAAAAAGTAAATTTTTACTTTATATTATACAAGTATATACACATATGCATTATTCAAAATCAAAATTGTGCTGTACTTGTTTCAATCTCAAGCCAAGCCAACTCCAGTAAAATAAAGAAACCATAAAAACTAAAGCCAACTCCAGTACCCCATTAGTATATCCAGCTTGTTGGCTAATTTTTCTATCCATAATTTGGCCATTTTAAAATTTCTAAAAGGAGTACTAAAAGAGAAAAATCATCAATTTGAATACAGCTGATTTTAACTAAAATCTCTATGGAAATTGGTTGCCATTGTTGATTAATAATCTTGTATGATATTTAGGACCAAAAGCATCCAAGATGGATGACATTGATGAACTTATCGCTGAAATGGATGGAGCACTCAGCAGAAAAAGGAAAATTGATGACGATGATAGTGATACTGAAAAACCTAGCACTAAATACAAAGGTAGGGATATTCTTCTATCATCAATGTTTAAGTATATTTGAGCAGGCCATTTGAAATATAAATTCTCAATTCCACGGTAATCTCCAATATTTAGAGAGATAAATGTGATTCCAAATAAAGTCAACAGATAACCCACATTGAATTCCATATTGGTACAGATTTTTACTTATTTTTCTGCCATTGGGTTAACAAGTGTAAAAGGGCTAGGGCAGAGAGAATCTGGAGGGATGAATATGCTCCTTAATGAGCCAAGTCTCAATGGTCAATCAAAAGTTCTTCTGAAAAGTGCTTCACTTTAATGCGGAGGTGTTCCACATCAGTGATATATTAGTGATGTCGTTACACTGATATCCAAAAACTGAATCGGAAGTATTTACCATAATTGTGTATTTCCAGCTGGTGGCTCGGGTATACATCGCCCTCTAAAGACAAAAGTTCACACTAAACCAGGAGAAGATTATAAGGCAAAGGTAGGTCTAAAGAGAATAAGATCATTTTTATGTCACTACCATAAGTTGTAGATGTACATGTAGTCTCCAACTTTTGGACAGTGTTTGACAGTTGATATTCGGTGGTCAGTATCTGTAACAAATGGCAGGTGGTTACATTTTGTGATTAATGTCTTGTACCATAACTATTTCTTCAATTGTTTGATCAAAGATTGGGGAATTTGGTCAAAAGCCTTCACCACAAATTAAAATTGAATTAAAACGAATTGTTGCCCAACCCACTTAAAAGAAAGGTTATTTAAAAATATATGTTCGTTTATTTCAGAAAGCAGGTGGAGATATAAAGAAGAAAGGGAAACCTGACCCCTTTGCATATGTTCCCCTTGAGTTTACTAATCTCAATAGAAGGTATGGAAGAATTAAAGGAAATAGATTGATTATTTGAAATTATGTATGACACATCTAATTTTATGAAGTTTTTTTTATTTACAAATTGGGTCATGTATTTTACAATATCCAAAATACTATGTTAAAGGGTCTTATATATTATATTATATTATCTTTTGCAAATGAGAGTATACAAGTCTGTTACAAAATGAAGTTGTATTTTGTCTTCCAGAAAGCGAGCCAAGTCAGCCGGCCAGTTCAAGAGTTTTGTGAGGGGAGCAAAGAAGGGAGCGGCAAAAGGTCAAAAGTCACATAGTAAAGTCAAGAGGAAGTGAAACAAATTATGAAAATGTTATAAGAGAATTAAATATATCCGGATATAATGTACAATACATGTGAACCGCCAGGAGTTTCAGCTAGATGGTTTCTCGAGTGGACTAAGAGGGTGTTTCTGTTCTATATGAAACATGGAAGCTGCTCCTTAAGGAGACAACTCTTTTAGGAGACTAGGTTGCTGCTCCTCAAAAGAGACTTATGAATTTGTTGATCCAATGGCATCATTGACTGACAGAAAAAGGAAATAAGACAAGATAACTGAGTTGTTTTGTTTAGCAGCAAATAGATTTCTTATAAAAATGATTCTTAAGAAAATACCCGCATACTTTTTCCTCATTGGACCTTATATTCTGTTTTCAAATTAAGACATTTTGACACAGATGATTGGTCAATCCAGTAAAAAACGCTCCAATTGGTTATAATATCTTTCAGGGGAGAAATAGGATTAACCTTTTGCAAATTTCCAAAAACATCTTGGACTTTTATTTACAAACATTTCTGCCTGCAAATTATCACATGAATCTAATATACCTGTTTCCTTTTTTCACCTCAAGGTGTCAAGATTTCTAGGAATGGTCTATTGAATAATGGTTATGTTCTTAAGTTGATTATCTAAATGACTTTATGTATACAAATTGGATATTTATTATATATTGTTCATTAAATTGTTAATGAATCTTTGTCTTGGTGATATTTTTATTTTTTTTATGAAGATCATCAAATTCACAACTCAGTCATTTAAAAATGATACAAGTATGGCATTTTATTTACAAAACATTACAAATGTACATTATTTACATGTAAATAATATGGAATGAATATTATGGTTAAATTTCAGTACAAAATATATAAAATAAAGAATAAGTTACACAATTCTTGTCATAATTTTTATATCATTTCAACAGCATACATGTAATACTTAATTATGCCTCTTATGCTTTCTTATACTTGGAATATTGTTGCAAATTAAAGTGCATATCACAGTCGTTAAACAAGCAAGGCACTGTCATCAATTTTCCTCCATTTTTAGGACAATTTGTAGAAGCCAACTTTGATTTCCATACTCTAAAAGAACAATGCACTCTCGACAATATTGTAAGACAAAAAATAGTTGAAAATTAATCGGATAATTTTTAATTGGTCAAACTGAATGTACTCCTGTATACAAGCCAAAATATCCATTGGGATTTTGTCAATTTTATAACTGAGCTGCATTATAAATAAGTTCAATTTTGAGTACTTTTTCCAGGCTGGACACTTGACTATAAATGCTGAAGCCCACAGCTTCATACCTCTATGCACATTAGTAACATAATTAATCCCCAATTGCTTCATTTTCCTGACCTGAGGTTATATCTTTTATAATGTTATTTCAGACCTCGATATAGAACAAATGCTAATGCCATTTCTCCTTAAGATTAAATGAATAAACTCTGATTTTCGAACATTTCACTCCTAAGTGTTAACTTCCTGCCTCTTTACTTCATTCCATGCAAATTACTCTCTTCTACAATATTTCACATTCCAAAATGTGACAACCTAGCTAGCTCTTCTCAGAAAATGGCATGTAATTGTGACTTCAAATCACCATTCAATGGAATAGATAAATCAATGGAGGCCACATACTCCCATAGTCCTCAGCATCAATCAACAAGAGTTCTTGCATCTGATTGGTCTATATGGCTGACCAGGCTTGAGAGACTACATTAGATTATTATATGGATTGATGGGTCATAGGTCCTTTCTTATTTTGATGTTCCCCAAAGCAAGTGTCTTTGTGGCCGCATACCTCCATAGTTCTAGTGGTGTCTCCGTATGTGTTGCCAAAGTTGAATCTTCTCTCTGAAAATACCAAATATACAATACAATACAATAAAATGCAATACAATAAAATACAATCATGAATAACACCATTAACGTTTCAATCAATTATATACAAGACAATCTGATTTGCTTTAAAATTAGCATTGGTTTGTTTGGTATTTGTGTTTTTTCCTTATTTTTCATCATTAACAACTTTGGCATCACAGAAATTGACTCACTTGGCGTGACTCAGGCATATATCATATAGCCAGGTCCTGTTTCTCAATAATATTTTTTTTAAATTTAAATGACAATATTTTTGAAAAATGGACCCCAGTTGATTGTTCAACGACACTGGTTCTATGTAGGGTCAATGTTAGCATGTTACAAAATATATAAAATATGTGTGATCTACTTACGTGGAACATATCCTGTGTATTTAGGGATCATACCGTCATTCAAGTAAAGCCTTCTACTGTACATAGACTGGGGGTTGGCAATGGATGGAGAACTGAAAAATTCAATTTGTAAAGGTTATTGTATTGAAAGTGAAACAATATGTATACAGTGTACTATTGTATAACCAAGATAACCTTTCATATATGGGTACTTACTAAAAAGCCTGGAGAGGATATTTTGAATTTTTAAAGCATCCAGGCGGTAATTTTGGCAAATATGGTAATTAGTTGTATGGTATTATTTTTTCTTTCCCAAATAAGGACTTACTTGTTAATATTAATTGGTTGTGACTTCCATGCTTTGTGCTGAGCGGTTTCATCATAGAATGATTCTAGTCCATTTTTGGTCATATTATGGTACCTGCAACCAAGGCCCAGTTCTGTTGTGTAGATTCTGGGTACGAAACCTTGATATCCTGGGATGGGAGCCTCTGTCTGCCCACGTTTGTCCTCTGAAACAATTAATGTAACTTTGAAGTTGAAAGATATTAGAAATATGGATTTTTAATTTCAAATCAATTTGTTGTATTCACGATTTTATTAGGAGTAAGGATGTAGAAATGACATTTATGGCTTTCAAGGAATTGAGGGGTGATGGGAGGCTACTGATGGGACTAGACTATATCCCGATACGGATGTTGCAAAAATGGGTTGTGACATCTTTGAATTCCAGCTGTGTAGTTCTTCTAAAATTTTCAGGGGGACGAATTCTAGAAATGGTTGGAAAGTAATGATGTCTGAGTTTTGTTCAGAAATATACCAATGTCTAACTCACCGATTAAAGTTGGCTGCAGGGGGTGGGTATCTCTATATGTTCTCAAATTATCACGTACAGCTGGGTCTCTGCTGATTGGCTGAAGCTTGGGGAAGCCCTTTACTGTGTGTTTGAGTGATTGAGTTTTATCCATGTGGTTATTTTTAGTTGAGGAGAACTGGTCTATACACCAATCACAGTCTTCTTTGTATGTGTTACCAAATTTGAATGGCATACGTGGAATATAACCTGAAATAAATTAATACAAAATATAACATAACACTAACAAAATGCCAAACAGTCAAAAAGTGATAAACATAAATGAAGAGTGATTTTGTAAACTGTCCAAGAATAGAATACACAATTTCAAAATAATGCAGACCTTGAAGCATGAATGCTCAAGTCTTGTGCCATCATACTTAGACTTCACTGTACAATAAAACCTGTATATATGAGCACCTCTCTAATCTGACCACCTCACAATGTGAACACTTTTTGGTCCTATTTTTAATCTCCTATAGATTACTATATAAAAATTGAAATGTGAACACCTGCCAATTTGAACAATTTTGGCCAGTCTTAAAGATGTTCAGATAAAACAGATTTTACTGTATAGATATATCTATGTGAAACATACCTGTATAACCTGGTACCATTTGTTCTGTGTATTTGTTGTCTCCCGTGGAGCTTGGCAGGGGGTTAACATTGGCAATTCTGGGACGAGGTTCGATTGGATCCTGGGGTTGGACGTGGATTGTCTTCTGGGCCAATAGGTGAGTGTCTTTTCCATATGTCTTTCCGACTCTGTACTTAATCTGAGGGCAATAGCCGCGATACCTGAAGTGAATAATACAAACATTTAAAAATGATATTTGTTTACCCTGTGAAAGCTATTTGGATTTTGATATAATAGCCATAAGTTTCAAAATCTAACATGGCTCTCGAAGTGAGTAAATATTTGTAACATGTGATACATGGTTACATTTTAGTGATCACATCAAAATTGGGCATTGCAATAGGAAAAAACAGAAGATTTATGGATCATTCAAATATAGTGTTTACCATCATGGCAAGATTATTTAGAGAATTGGATTTTAATAATTGATATTACTTTGGCATAAATAGCGTGAGATTACATTTGAACTGAATAAGAAAACAACTAAATTAACAGCACTGTAAATTGAAATTGCTCATTTTAGAAGGGGAGTAGAATTTCATAAAATCTGCTATTTGATTAAAAATCCAAACAGAGATTATTAAGTTAAATCCTTATATAAGCCCATGGACAATTGATGGTTTAGGTACATATCCAGAGGTTAACTTCATTAGACAATAGGAATTATCCAGATGTGAAATCAGTATTAAATTATTACACCTTGTAAGTGCTTTATTAGGTGACTTACTATTAGATTGATGAGCTTATAGGTTGAATCAGATCAATACACCTAGTCTAGTTACAAGTATCTACTAATTAATACAGATTACTTTAAATCACTGTCGTGTAAAGGTTTCAATGCAAATTAAAGGTTTCCATTGTAATATACAGTACATGTATCACATTACGTTTTTCTGATTGATTCAGATGTTGGGTGTGGTTACCAACTAGGCCTACCAAAAATATAAAATGTGAAATTGGCTGAATGTACCTAATTTGTATCTTAATTACAGATGAAACTTGTCTTCAAAATTATGAATCTAATCTGGCATTCTGGCAGTAACAACGAGAGTGTAACCAGGATGTCACACATGTATGATTCATGTTCATGTTGGAACCTTATTATTATATTGTGTACCTAGGATTTCTTGAAAATCCTACCCTCGATACAATGTGACTGAAAACCTACATAACATGTCATGTTTGAAATTTCTTCAACCAATGCATGAATAGTCAGATGTAGATCAAGATAAATAGAAATTCACATCAAAAGCTGCATTGATTTGAAATCTGTGATTATTCGATATTCAAGCATACATGTATGTATGATCAACCTGCGGAAAGCCTGTAATGACATATTACCATTGACATGAAATCTTGAAGCTAAAAGTATTATTCAACACAAGATAAACAACACCATAACAAATCGAAATGACTTTCTCATGATCTATGACATGTTATACATTCATTTTATGGGAGTCTAGCCCACATTTACAGTCTGGTAGCTGTACAATCTTCTACTCACCCAGGAACATGAGTTCCATCTGGTAAACCAGCAAAATCTCTCCTCTGGTTAAGACTAGGGCCTCCTCCAAATGTTATGGTCGTCATGATTAAAATCCGTCGACTTTGACACGATTTAGAAGTAAAATACTTGAGGAAAGTGCTGCTACTGTGTGTTGTTTGGTAAACTTTACACTTCTAGTCCACGCGCTTGTTCGTTGCCAGGTCGTTGCTACAGCAAGACTCCAAGCACTTGTTCTGTCATCGACCAATAGGATTATCAGAAGTTGTTGACATTACTGACATCACTAATGCGCATGCGTGATTGAAAGAGCATTCATTATTTTTGTTTGAGCTATGAAATAATCTGATGTTTGCTTCAGATATACTAATGAATAAAGTTATTTAGCTATTGATTAGTTAATGTCAACATATATTTTTAAGATATGAGAACATACCGTCATTAATGAATTATAAGTATTTATTTATTTTCATTTATTATCACTAATTTGAAAATATCCTACAGAATACTCTTTAGTGCCATTTTCCCTGGAAAATAATATTGGAAAAAATGGAAAATCCTTAGATTTCTTAAAAATTCTGCATCATTCGGTGCTGAGACGAAACTATAAGGTATGGGGAATCGTTCCTCTACTGAGGTGACCGCCGGTGTAAAAGACCAAGCGGCAGGCGGGGACAAGTTTAAACTTTACAGTTTAGTAAACACAACAGGTAAGAATATTTAATTTTTTTTACATAAAAGCAAATCCACACCCCGGATCCACACATTCAATCAGTAATGAAATGCAATGATTATAAATGAATGTAGGGGCTCAAGGTGATCTCAGTATATCATACATGTATTCATAATTCATATGTATGTACCATATTTTGTGCTTTATAGGTGAAGGCAGTTTAGTGGAAAATGCCAAAATATGTATCCAGAAACATGACTTTACAGAGCTGGATGAGCTCATTCGTACAGAAGTGGGCCCATATTTATACAATAATGGACAAGGTATTTTCCGCTGTGACGGAGCATGCTATTTTTCATAAAAACACTAAGAGTACTTCACAATTTATTTTTTAACTCATATGTTTCATTACATCAAAGAAAATTACTTACTCCATGCAATGAATATATCATTTGCGGGTAACCTTCAACTCTGTCCAATTCCACCAAATCACCAAGTCCAATAACGTTAGGATTAAAAGCTATTGAATACAGCGCCAGAGTATCAAACTCTAAAATGTACCATTTCTTTTTTAACTTTTTAATGGCAAGATATAGTGACACGATGCACGATGATTGCATTAATGAGATATTGATGTATTGGGTAGTTTTAATTTTTTTTTATAAAAAATAATGTTTGCATTTTTTGTCCGATGTGATATTATTTTTTATAAAAGAATTAAGGTACCCAATACATCAACATCTCATTAATACCTTCACAGTGATGCTGAAAACATATGTTAATATTATTGTGTCACTATATCGTGCCATTAAAAAGTTAAACAAGAAATGGTACATTTTGGAGTATGATACTCCGGCGCCATTTTCAATAGCTTTTCCTCCCAGCGTTATTGGACTTCAAACTGAGTTGAAGGTTACCCGCAAATTATATATCCATTGCATGGAGTAAGTAATTTTCTTTGTTATAACGAAACATATTAGTTAAACGTAAATTGTGTGGTTTTCTTAGTGTTTTTATGAAAAATAACATGCTCCGTCACAGCGGACAAATCTTTTGATACCAGCCTGTGAATATAAATGGAATTGAATTGAAATAAAAATATGAATGAAGCGTCACGCTGAGACAAACTGATGAAATGCACAAATTCATCACGTGACAACAATCTTAATTTTCATTTTATAACTGAAATCATGGGCAATGTGGAACACTATATCCTTAGGAACCAGAGGTGTTCCACTTACACATGCTTTCTTGTACAATTCCTTTTCATTATTCTTCAGGTAAGATGATCCCCATCCAGGAACTTGTGATCAGAAGGAACAAGGAGAGAGGGAACAAAATAAAGGGTAGCATAAAGGAAAATATGGAAACTACGGATACTGACTCTGATGACATTGAGAAAATGAAAAATGGTAAGTGAACCACGTCATTGTTTAAAATCAGCCACAAAACATTCTATGTAATTCCTATTTTAATCCCCTAGTCTGAACTAAAACAAAGACTCAGTTCTGTATTTTCAGATCATTATCATTCTTCTAAATCTTAGTAGCTTTTTATTTCTTCATATTCCCAATTCAACTAAATGCTATGGAATATACATAATTAAAATCTTGTCTTTATTAAATATATTGAAATTTAAAAATCACCTGGATAAATCAGAGGATAGTGTGACTGGCCTATGGTATGGTAATCTTTTGATCTTGCAGGTCAAGAGATGAAGTTTGTATGTTGGGACTTGGATAAAAGAGGTGCTGTTGGCGAACAATGTCTCCACACATGTATCTTGGTTGCCTCGGCAACACATACTGTTTTGGCCAAGCGCCTCTTAACCGTCTATCCCAAGCTTATATATGATATATACACTAGCGAGGAATATTATGGTAAGTAAAACAAATGTTGTAGTGAATCTTACTTCATCATTATATTTAAACACTCATATCCAGTATCCAAATTACTTCTGAAAATTTTTCTCTATGCTTTTTTTTATTTATTTTATATTCCTATATTGTATATTTTCCTGTATGAATTGTATGCATGGAAGTCATTAATCAATGTTAAATCTGGACATCCTGTATATACATGGAATTCATGAATTAGAAATCTTAAATCTCTTATATCTGAACACCCTGTATATAATGTGATATATGGAATCCACAAATTGTAGAAATCTTATATTTGGACACCCTGTACATGTGGAACTAAAATTCATAAAAATCTTTTATCTGGAAACCCTGTTTTTGTGGAACTATTAATTATAAACTTCTTGTAGCCTCAGAGATGTCGTATACTACAACACAAGTTGAGCTAGCAATATTTGTTTCTAACAAATCTATTTGATAAAATACAATCAGTACCATATCAGTGGATACATAGAGTTACACTTATTATTGGACCATATCAATTCTCCTCCATTCTCCACGGAATAAGTTATTAAGTCTGGAATTATTGATCAATAAGCCAACAGTAATTAGGAAAATCTATGAACCATACATTGTGATTCTTTTAATTGCTATAGCAACAGAACTATTTGAATGTCCTTATTAGCAATTACGAACACAATAAACTTAAAGTAAAATGCTGTACAAGGGTGACATTTATTATTTTATTTCAAGTGAAATCTTTATTGTCTTTGCTGTCTGTAGTTGCTTATTTAATGTTCTGTTAGTTTGACTAACTAAATTAAATTATCATTTGTGTGGTTATTAAGGTAGTTCTTAAAGGAATATTCCTTGCCAGACCCTTTCTCTCTTGATATGGTAGCTATAATATATATATAGTTTCCATATTTAGCAAAACATGGGGAAATGTTTTGATATGGTCAATATTGATCATTTAAAAATCTAGTGCTTATTTCCAGTGAGCTGCCATCTATTAAGATTTCTTGCGGGAAGTGATGTCATCAACTCTCAACTTCTATAACCTTGCCCATAACAGTATAGGAAAGTAGCACAAAATCACTTCTAGACAAGTGATCATTACTTTCTGTGCAGAAATATTTTCAGGGCTTGTCAACTTAGAATAAAAGAAGAGATTTTCAGAAGGATTAAATAAGATACAAAGTTGAAAAAGAATATTTAGCTGGTTTTGTTATTCTTAATAGCTCCTCACCTAATGCTATATGCAAAGTTGAGAGTCGATGACATCACTTCCTGTGTGAAATTTTAAAAGATGGCAGCTTACTTGAATTGAGCATCACATTTCTAAGTGATCAAATTTGACCATATCAAAACATTTTTGCGTGTTTTGCTAAACATGGCAAGCATGTATATGGTTATAGCTACCATATGAGGAGAGAGATGGTTTGGCAAGGAATATTCCTTTAACTTTCACAATAAAGTTGAAAAGATTTTGGGAGATGTCATTCAAATTCCATGGCCCTTCCTTGACCCTTCCATTTCATCATAATATTTTGATTTTGAATGATGTATTCTAGCATAATGTGTAAATATCCACTTAAAAATGAAATAAATATTACCCGTTTCATGAATCATCCATAATTGTTTTCATGAAAATAACATAAAAACCCTCATCATGCTTATCTACCTTATATTAATCTAATCTAGTTCACTATTCATGGACTTTGAACCATCTTGGCATGTTCCCTCGACTTTGCATTCTTATCAAATATTTTTCTAACAAGATTTAGAATTTCGATTTCTAAAATTGATTTTAGGAGAGAATGCGCTCCATATGGCAATTGTAAATGAAGACCCTGCAATGTGCAAGTACTTGTTGGATAATGGAGCGGATTATCATCAGATTTGCTGCGGCAACTTCTTTTGTCCTGATGACCAGAAGTCCTCTAGGGTTGATAATCTAGACCATGAATGGGTAGATTTGTGTGTAAAGACAAATTATGAAGGGTAAGTAGTGATTGGGATATTTAGTTTTAAATCAGGGGATGATAGTCAATATCATTACATAGCAACATAACTTTTTTATATTTATGAAAGAATTTATGTTCTTGTCGGGCATTTGTAAACAATGTACATGTAGGTATGTAGTCAAAGTGAAATGTTTAAATGTTCAATTGATTTTTTGTCTCAAAATTAAACTGAAGTATCAAGATATATTTGTTATGTAGATGATGATGATATATTTATTTGCATTTGTAGATATACCTACTGGGGTGACTATCCACTAGGATTTGCAGCTTGTCTCGGCCAGGAAGAATGTGTCCGTCTGTTAATCGCAAAGGGGTCTGATCCAAACAAACAGGACGCTAATCTGAATACGGTTTTACATATTTTGGTTGTGCATGACAAGAAGGTACATATCTCAATTGTCTAAATGAATAATTAAATAGGAAATTCAAAATAAAAGTGGCACCCGAAATAAAATAAAAGTGGCACACAAAAATATATTGTAAAATGATGGAACAATATTTTCTAAAAAATTAGCAAATATGACCTACAAATGCAATTACTTTATTTTCTGTAAAACAGATCCAAAACAGTTAACATTTGGATCTGTCCGTGTTGAATACTGTATGTTCTAAATCACAAATTGTTGTTGATCAATAATTTCATGTAAAATGATTGGTTTACATTTTTAAAATCTACATCTACAGCTATGAGGCTACAGGGCGGGGTGTAACCACCAAAATACAACCCACTCATTTTGGAATAACTCTGCTAATGTAGTTCACTTATGCTAAGAATACTCACACTTAATGTGAATGGAGGGTATGAATGTTTTTATTTAATTTATGATTTGCAATTTTATTAGGTCACCCTGTATTTATAATATAAACTAGGAGAAGATGGCCCACCCTGTATTTGTTGTTGCTGCTGTTTATTTATTTATATTGTTATAACTTACAGAATGACAGCCCTCTGGAAGACGAAACTAGACATGAGATTTTAGGGGTAACCATTGTTATTTGACTGACCTAACTTATTTATGTGTGGGATATTTTTACCATGAAGGGTGTAGTTCAACCATGCATAGTGTATTGCAACCATGAAGGGTGTAGTTCAGCCATGCATAGTGTATTGCAACCATGAAGGGTGTAGTTCAGCCATGCATAGTGTATTGCAACCACAAAGGGTGTGTTTCAGCCATGCATAGTGTATTGCAACCATGAAGGGTGTAGTTCAGCCTTGCACAGTGTATTGCAACCATGAAGGGTGTATTTCAGCTATGCATAGTGTATTGCAACCATGAAGGGTGTAGTTCAACCTTGCACAGTGTATTGCAACCATGAAGGGTGTATTTCAGCCATGCATAGTGTATTGCAACCATGAAGGGTGTAGTTCAGCCTTGCACAGTGTATTGCAATCATGAAGGGTGTATTTCAGCCATGCATAGTGTATTGCAACCATGAAGGGTGTAGTTCAGCCTTGCACAGTGTATTGCAACCATGAAGGGTGTATTTCAGCCATGCATAGTGTATTGCAACCATGAAGGGTGTATTTCAGCCATGCATAGTGTATTGCAACCATGAAGGGTGTATTTCAGCCATGCATAGTGTATTGCAACCATGAAGGGTGTATTTCAGCCATGCATAGTGTATTGCAACCATGAAGGGTGCATTTCAGCCATGCATAGTGTATTGCAACCATGAAGGGTGTAGTTCAGCCTTGCACAGTGTATTGCAACCATGAAGGGTGTATTTCAGCTATGCATAGTGTATTGCAACCATGAAGGGTGTAGTTCAGCCTTGCACAGTGTATTGCAACCATGAAGGGTGTATTTCAGCCATGCATAGTGTATTGCAACCATGAAGGGTGTATTTCAGCCATGCATAGTGTATTGCAACCATAAAGGGTGTATTTCAGCCATGCATAGTGTATTGCGACCATGAAGGGTGTAGTTCAGCCTTGCACAGTGTATTGAAACCATGAAGGGTGTAGTTCAGCCATGCATAGTGTATTGCAACCATGAAGGGTGTAGTTCAGCCTTGTACAGTGTATTGCAACCATGAAGGGTGTATTTCAGCCATGCATAGTGTATTGCAACCATGAAGGGTGTAGTTCAGCCATGCATAGTGTATTGCAACCATGAAGGGTGTAGTTCAGCCATGCATAGTGTATTGCAACCATGAAGGGTGTATTTCAACCATGCATAGTGTATTGCAACCATGAAGGGTGTAGTTCAGTCATGCATAGTGTATTGCAACCATGAAGGGTGTAGTTCAGCCATGCACAGTGTATTGCAACCATGAAGGGTGTAGTTCAGCCTTGCACAGTGTATTGCAACCATGACGGGTGTATTTCAGCTATGCATAGTGTATTGCAACCATGAAGGGTGTAGTTCAGCCATGCATAGTGTATTGCAACCATGAAGGGTGTAGTTCAGCCATGCATAGTGTATTGCAACCATGAAGGGTGTAGTTTAGCCATGCGTAGTGTATTGCAACCATGAAGGGTGTAGTTCAGCCATGCATAGTGTATTGCAACCATGAAGGTTGTAATTTTGCCATACATGTGTATTGCAACCATGAAGGGTGTAATTTAGCCATACATGTGTATTGCAATCATGAAGGGTGTAATTTAGCCATACATGTGTATTGCAACCATGAAGGGTGTAATTTAGCCATACATGTGTATTGCAATCATGAAGGGTGTAATTTAGCCATACATGTGTATTGCAACCATGGACGGTTTAATTCAACCTTGCAGGGTGTTTTTAACAATGCACATTATATTTAATTATACCAGTATTTAATCATAATTAATAACCCGGTTTCTTTATAGGAATACTAAACTGCAGGTGTGATTTGATGCTAACAAAATGATTTATATTTAACAGCTTGAGCTTGAAACACTCTAACCTAATAACATTGTAATATCTCACAAGTCATTGGTATTCTGATTTTCAAATGTTTGAATTTCCTGCCATTTCAGCAACCAACGTTGAAATAAAACTATATTTGTGGCCTAACTAGGTATAGACTTGTCAGTTAAACAAAAAAACACACATCAAAAACAGCTTTTTGACCACCCACCCACTATAATGTAATTACCAATTTGTGTGGAGTGGAGGATGGAACCATTTTACTCACAAAATACATATTTTTGATATTAATTGACCTAGATGGAAAAAAGGAAGCCAAACTCCCCAAAGGTTTGTTGATGGCAATTTGTGTAGTTGTCATGGTAGCAGAAAATGGATTGAAACTGTTGTAAACACATTTATTAAATTATTACACACATGTTTGTTTTTGGACGTTTTTTAATCCCACATAGACTGGTTGAGAATTATATCACATATTGTTTGTACAATATAGTGTGGAAAGAATATTTTATATGTTAGTGATGCACTATACAGAATTGTATGTGTGCGATGAAACCAGGAAATACAACAAAAATTATAGTGAATTTTGTAAATTTAAAATTGTGTAACTTTAGTCATGTAACCGTGTGGAGGAATAATCTGCAAAAGGGACATAAAAAGTGAATATGAGAAATATGTTATTCTCTTATTTTTTATTCAATTTTTCAACATACCTGTGTCATGCAATTAAAATGAAAAGTACCTGATGTATTTTCATGTATAATTTTAATATCCCTAATGCAGATTACGAACATTACATAGAGGTGGGTTGAGTGACGTATTGCTCAAGTAACTGTTTTAATCGCACCTTTGGGTGCTATATTGTGATCAGATTGCAGGGCAGATGGGTGAGTGAGTGGGTGGGCATCCTAATAAATCTTGATTTTAATATTTTTACCCTCATGGGTCTTGTCAAGCTTGGGAGGATCCCTGGACCAGAGACATATATAATGTGTCAATAAATGGGAACTTATCTGTGTCTGATTAGTTGATTTTATTAACATTTTTAAATGCCTCCTCCTGTATAATGAATTTCATAAATGTTGATTCTTGAATATCAACATATTTCAACATCCTTTATAAATGAAATCATAGTTTTTTGGACAGCAGGCAGGGATCTTCCCAGAAAATAACTGTTTTGACCTTGGCCCATGAGTCGAAAAATCAGGATCTGACTCTGCATGGACAACTGCACACACCCAGGCCTGTAGCCAGCTTTTGCCACCAAGGGGGATTCGCTTCACAGTAAATTCCAGGGTGGGGGTTCAATTTGACAACTTTGACCTAAAATCACTTTAAAAGTGCTCAGAATGGTGAAAAACTGTATGATTTTAAAATGATTTTGGGCCAGGCTGCCCGAACACCCCAACCCTCCCCCTGGCTACGGGCCTAACACCCCATCTCCAGAATTAGATAACTAACATATACTGTGCTATAACCATGTAGGATTCAGCCGCAGATGTTGAGATGAATTGTATCGTAAGTTGTCATGCATGTAGACTAGAATCACAATCATAGGATATGGCGAGGGGGAGTTGTGTATGATTCAGAAAAATCAATAGACCTTTTGGATAACCCTGCCACCTTTACTGCACAAGAGAAATCAGAATACGTCTGGATTCATTATGTCATAACTTTGAAGCAGTTTAGACGAACAATACTGTATTCTAAAGGGTTAGCAAAATAAGCGATTAGTTATATCTTTATCACAATGCAACCTAAAACCAATGACATGATCAATCTTGCAAATATAAACCTGTTATCTTAGTGTAGCAAAACATGATAGGGTTTATTGAAAAGGTCTGTCTTCACTCCTCAGGGTTTTAGGCCTTTTTGAAAATTAATTTCTAGGGTATATGGTCATTTGAGAGCTTCATTATAAATGAAATAATACAAGTTAATGAATAAAAGTTAATGTTATAATACATGCATAGGCTGATAGGTCATTAACTTTTATAGTTTGAGTTTTTTCTGATTTTCAGAAACTGTGCACAAAAAGGCCTATAACTCTAATAATTCACTTAATTCAAGGTCATCTCAAAAACTAGTCATTTTTGCTATCCGAGTATCCCAGATTATGATTGTGAATATTCTATCCACGTAGCTCTAGTTTTTATGTTCCCTAACATTAGTATTGTGATTTTAGCTTAATGTTGTGAGGTGATGTAAAGTCATTCAGGTGAGACAATGCTCTAAGGCATTTGATTGTTTCTCCTAAAGGAGTCATTTGATTGTGACTGCTCCTGAAGGAGAAATCTGCTTTACTGCTCCCTTTATATATTCATAAGCCTATTTTATACTTCAAATATTTAAGATTTTGATTCATTTTTACACCATTTAGGTATATTCTGAAAATATTTCTTTAATTGATCATTTATTTAAGTTTTGATAGTTTGACATCATTTTCACTCACAGCCATTTTGCATGCATGTTTTTCTATTCAGTTAAATGTATAGTCCCACTTATACTTATTTCCCCACGTATTATCCTACATATAGTCACATGTATAGTCTCACATACATCCCAAATTAAGTCCCACTTATAGTCCCACATACACATATAATCCCACATAGAGGGTAATGTCATGTTTGTGTTATACCCTGAGTTTTATATGATTTACATTCCTCTGGATATATATGATATCCCAAACCTTTCATTACATAGCTGGACCTCATTTTGATTCCTCTCGCCGTTTGCTTCCTCTCCTTCCCTTGCTCCTGTATTTTTATGTCACCGCCAAAAAGTGGTGATGTATCGGTATGGTCTCTGTTTTTTTTGTGACGACAGTTGGCGATTGGTGCTTGGCAATCGGCGGTTGGCGTCTAACAAATGGTGGTGATATTTTGCATGTGAATGCCTTGTAATTAGCATGTGATAGCATCTTTATTGCATGGATGTATTTACTTTGAATAACATATTGTTTATTTACCTTATCTTGACTTTTTGATTTTTGATAACTTATTACTTTGGATAAGTAAAATTTGACTATATTTTTTAATAAATAAGAAAATATTAAATTATGTTAAAACTATTCTGCTCCAATTCTGATATAAACTAATCTAATAATTTGATCCAAATGGTTAATGAAATAATATTTTGTGGAAACGTATTCCATTATAACTCCTACATCATTACACTTAAGAAATATTCAAGCATAGCTAGCTGACATTTTGATTGTGGGGAATATATCTCTACACATATTCATAGGACATACAATCACAAAGGTTTAAAATACCCTATTGTTGAAATTAACCCTTTGTTTACCATTATAGGAGATGTTTGACCTTTTGCATAGTCTTGGGGCAAAGATGCACATTAAAAACAGGCAAGGGTTAACCCCACTCACTCTTGCAGCAAAACTAGGACGTAAAGAGGTATGAGGCATGAATTACAGAATTCCTAACCGAAGCTATAAATGAAGCACTGTCAGGCCCGTAGCCAGGGGGGGGGGGGGGTCAGGGGAATTTGATCGACCCCCTGGTAAAAAATACTTCCAAAATCATGCAGTTTTATATCATTCTGGGCACTCTTTAAGTGATTTTGGGCCAAAGTTGTCAAATGTGAACCTTGAAAAGTGACCCTGCCTTGGCAAAATCTGGCTATGGGACTGACAGTGTATGATCATTACTAAAACAATTATCAGGAATTGCATTTCCATATTACTTCATCAGGGGTATAGCCATGATCAAAGATTTGGTGAGGCAAATATAAATATAGGTGAGGCAAAGGAAGTCTGTAACAAACATCGGGCTTCATTTCAACAGTTTTTGTTGATAAAAACAACTGAATGAATAATATGCATTCTATTTTAGATGTATGAACACATACTGGAGATAGAACGTGAAGTATATTGGATCTATGGTGACGTGACGTGCGCTGCTTATCCACTTGAGGATATCGATACAATATCTGCCTCCGGGGAGATTAATATGAATTCTGCCATGGCTCGTATTGTTTATGGGGAAGAACCATCACATCTGGATATGATAGATGGCATTGTTGAGCATCTGCTTCAAGAGAAGTGGAAAACATTTGCACGATACAGGTATATGTTGCTATGGCGCTAACACAAGTGTTGACATATTGTTATTGTCTTCAACTTTTTTGTTGATGGTGTTCAGTATTTGGTGGGTGGTGTTTGGCAGTCATCATTCACCATCTGCAACAAATGGCAGGGGGTGACATCTTGTGTGTCACATAATACCTTATATTGCTCATAAATATTTGTCATAAATTCAAGCTCATGGACTGTAAAATGACATATGAGTTAATTTTGAAGAATTTGGTTAATTGACATTTTGACTTTGAAAGGTACGGGAGTAATGCTTTAAATCAACCATTTTTTCAATGTATCCCACACATCTTGATTATTATGTAGAGAAAGTATTGAATCAATCAAAATTTTCATTTATATTTAGTTTTGAAGTCTGTAGAATTTCACAATCATCAGTCAAAATTGAAGGAAATAAAGTCAAATTTGATCGTAATTTTATTTATTTATTTCAGATTCATCCGCAGATTTCTTATGTTTGGATTCTACTTCATCATCTTCACGTGTGCATTCTTTTTACGTCCCGGCACGGACACCCAGCCGTCGTATAAGATGGTAAATCAAACAGATGAGAACGATACTGTTACAACGCGTAATGTCACAGTGAAAGACCCATGTTACTTGCTTTTGATTCGTTCCAATGATGATTATGTGAGTGTCCAAGTGTAATACATATTTTCTACCCTTCATTAAAGCTTAACTTCATTCACTCACTCTTTAAATGAGAGATGATTATTTATATTTTCTAATCTATATTGCAGGCCCGCCTAGTCTTGGAGTGTATGACTGTACTGGGAGCAAGTATTTATCTGTTTCTGGCCCTGAAGGAAGTTCACCACCAGGGGGTTAAGATATTCTTCATGACTCTTGTAAGTATATATTGGAGGAAGTACATCTCATTAGGGAGTGAATTTAGTCATAGAGTCTCCTTGGAAAAAAAACTCTAGCCTTACAAGGGAATTTCCTTCATCCATTCCATTCTGATTCTATTGTGTTTCTGAGGGAGTACTTCAGGACCTTAATGTCCTTAGTTAACAAATTTAGCACACACTCCCCTGCAGGAGAGACTCAACATTATCCCAAGGGATGATCATAAGTTTAGCAATAGGCCTACATACTCCTCAAAAAGAGAACCTTCCTGTTTCTTAACTAATGCTTTCACTTCAAAAAGGTTTTCCAAGCTAATTCTCAAAGAACTATGTAAAGTTTACTTAACATTTCTGCCTTCAGAGCATGACATCATAAATTTAGCCAATATACCATAGTTTCCAAGGTTCACCAAAAGGAGTCAGGATTTGTTTGAAAAATCTATAATTTGGCGCTTGGGGCCTATTGGCATCTATTTAATTTGATGGTTTTTCAAGTGTTCCAGACATCCTCCCATCCAACCAATTCAAGATACTCATTGTTAGTCTTGTTGATGAACAATTTCTTCAATATCTCTTGTTTATATAAATTTCTTCAGTATTTTTTATTGTTTATATAAATTAAAACAGCCCAGCCATCTTGGTATCTTTCGAATCTGACGAATACAGTATACAGTACATGCACTATAAGTTATTGAATGATTTGAAGTGCAATATAGGATATATTCTGCTAGAGAAATTCCGTATTGGAACGAGACGAAGTCGAGTGCCAATACAGAATATCGAGACAGAATATATCCTGTATTGCACTTCAAATCATTCAATAACGTTTTTATTGTGTGATCCTCTGTATTGCTACTGAGATTGTCTCTTCCGTACCAATATTTTCTGTATTGCGACGGAGATGATCAATGGGGACAATCTCAGTAGCAATACAGATTGGTACAGCACAAGAACTGACCAATCAGAGGGCTTCATTTTACAGATCATACGATAAATGTTTGTATTACAGCGGAGCGCCCCTGTAAAGACAATGTTCTTGATGGCATGTATATTTGTCACAATGATGGTCCCAGGACGTGCCTTCTGCCAGTCGACCTATGAAGACGTCATGGGAGTATTGGCGATCCTGTGCACTGCACCATATTTTCTGTTCTTCTGCAGGTATAAATATATTAATAATTTTTTTTTTTTTTATAAGTTTTATTTTAATACCTGTATTATTTAGATTTACATTGTCTAGATGTTTCAATAAAATGGCTTATCTCTATGTACATGAAAGTCAAAAGCACCAAATCCCATTGAAAGTCAAAATATATAAATATATTAATAAGTTTTATTTTAATACCTGTATTATTTAGATTTACATTGTCTAGATGTTTCAATAAAATGGCTTATCTCTATGTATATGAAAGTCAAAAGCACCAAATCCCATTGACTTTCATGTTAATTCACCCTCTGTGTAAAGGAACGACTCTCTAGTCTTTTCAAGGAACAGTATTTGCCAGTTTTGAGTGTTCCATACACACAGGTTTTACTGTCCATTGTATCTTCAAAATGCCATGTCTATACTCAACGTGCCCTTTATTTCACATGCTCTTGAATTCACACTTAAAACACCCAGATGCGAATATAGTGGAAATTAGGGCACCTTGAAAATTTGGGCTTTTACAGTCTCTATTAATGACATCCACTGTTACTCTGATATTTGCAGGGGTTTCAAGATTGTTGGGCCATTTGTTATCATGATCTATAAGATGATCCTGACAGACTTGCTGAGGTTCATCACCATCTACTGTGTCTTCCTCATTGGATTCTCACAGTGTGAGTTTAAGTTTTTTTGCTTACTATCCCCACACCATAGGGGAGGAAAAATGATAAATAAATGGAGAACTGTCTTTCTATGGAACAAGTTTTTGGTACAGTTGCCTCATCAAAGAAGTGGCTTTCAATGATCATTTTGGGAATTTTTACAATTTGTTCCACAACAGTGGCTGCCTCTTGTTATTTATCGTCTATAGAGAAGAGAGAGTGTAAAATATCGAAAGCATGTTAAAAAATAATGCCAATATTTCCTTCACAATTTGGTTTTCTGAAATAAAGTCAGAACTTTTGGATTTTTTTGAAAATAGGCACTCACTCACTCATCAATTTTATTGAAAGGAAATTCTGATTGATTGAATTTCTTTCAGCAATGTATATCTTATTCTGTGGAAATGTGCGAATTTCTTTCAGCAATGTATATCTTATTCCGGGGAAAGGATGGTACAGCTTTCAGTGCGCCAGAGGAGGCTATCATGGGAATGTTTGTGATGTCACTTGGAGAGTTTGGCGATACATACAGCACATTCAGTCATACTTGTCATCCTGTTATGACTAAGGTAAGCAGTGTGATATCATCCTATTGTTACTAAGGTAATCCATGTGATATCCTCGTATTACGACTCATGTAATCTATGTGATATCATCATATTATATGGCTATGGTAATCTATGTCATATCATCATATTGTTACTAAGGTAATCCATGTGATATCGTCCTATTACACATGTGGTCGCCGGGTTGGCCTAGTGGTTAAGGCATTGGTCTGAAAAGCAGGAAGTCTGGCGTCAGGCTGAAAAAGTAGAGGTCGGGTTCAAACCCAGGTCACAGCACTTCTTGTGATTTGTCTTTGACCTATGACTGCTGACCTATACCGGCGATTACTAGATTGCTGCTAACTCGATAAAAGGCTGGCGCTGGCTAGAATTGTCTATGGTTCTAGCCAGGATAAAGATACCAGTTCTTCAACTCGACAATGGGAAGAACTGCTCTACCTTAGTGACTAATATGTCATGATATGACATCTCAAGAGTCAATTAAAGATATATATATATATACAACTCATGTAATCAGTGATATCATCATTATATGGCTTTGGTAATCTATGTGATATCATCATATTGTTACTAGAGTAATCCAAGTGATATCATTTTATGATTGTTGTGATATTCAAAAATCAATAAAGACAATTTACAAATGTAAATCTAAATTATTTCATTTCAGATAATATTTGTTGTATACATGGTCCTGGTGACCCTTTTGCTGATCAATATGTTGATTGCCATGATGGGCAACACTTACCAACTCATATCAGAGACCAAGAATGAATATCTTAGACAGGTAAGAGGTCTTCTTGAAGGTTTTACACTACAAATTGTTAATTGGCAGAATACAGGGTGATCCAGATGTAAAGTCAAAAATGATTTTATTAAAGCCTCACTATGCGTATTTTCAACATTTTTGGCAAAATAAAGACTTACTCTTGAATTTCATAATATTTCCAATGGATTGACAAGTACTTTATCTTTCATAAGAAATTAAAAATAGCTCAAACGGGGCCCATGAAAGCTTACAATCAATTATTTAAATATCTTTGATCTGTCAACTTTTTATATATCAAGATTTTACCAATGTCAATGAAGGATGGCGAAGTTGTTTGTAGTCCATGATTCATTCATTTTTATAGAAGTCGCCATCTTTTAAATCAAGAGTTTAAAAGCATGAACTTTGTCCAAAATGTGCATGCACTTCTAAAAATCTCTGAACTTCAAATGCTCTTTTCTACGTGAGTTTTTTTTCGGTTCAATATTAATGCAAATCAAGCTTTGTATCATATTTGATTGAGGGTGTAAATAACATGTCTCAATCATTATTTTATCTTTTATCCTTCTAAATTAAGCATATTGGGCCTTTAATGTTAGAGAGCTTTTAATATAAGTTATTTGGAATACATATACGCAAACTAGGTATAACACTGGGGAAAAACGAAGATAGGGTGCTTCCATCCTTCAAATCACAACAAAATATTCGGCAAGTATGTAGTTCGTGAGTTCCGGTTTCAAAATATGATTACAACTTAGAAATTAATTCTGCCATTGCGGGGATATTCACAAATCAATTCCCTCAATCAGGAAATGAGGAAACTTTTACTAATGAAATGTATTTACTGGTTTTATCGAGAAACTTTCCTCCCCAGTGATGTTTGCGTCATTTAAAAGTTCAGGTTGCAGTACAAATTTGGCTGAAAGCTTTTCAATGTTTGGGGAACATCTGTATCAAGTTTCACAAAGACTGATCCAGTAGTATTGAAAAAGCAACATCTTTAATGTAACTTAAATTCTAAATGCTCAAAACTATTTCTTCGTTATCTTGTCCCGAATCTTTTTTCTTTTAGAGACAATTAGTATGATATTGAGATATAACTTGAATATATTTTATTTCAGTGGGCCAAGATCATTTTAGTTATTGAACAGACTGTAACAACAGAGCAGAGGATTCTCCAACAGAAGAAATATTCCCACCCTATGGCTGATGGGCGACGTGCGCTTGTCATACGCTGGCACCAAACGGTATGTTGTCTCGTTGTGTTGTATAAGCATCTCATGAAGGCTATTTGAAGAGAAACAGGAATAAACACATCTATACATGGCCTTCAAGGGAAGTCTCAAGTTGTCTCACCATTCTTTCTTTCTCGAAGTCTCTCATGGACAAAGAGGCATTTGCCTCACCAAAATTTTACAGATATGCATTTTGACACACTTCTCTAAAACTGTTGAAATGGAGCCCAATGGTATTGATTTACTTCATGTTTACCTCACCTTCATAATCTTGCCTCACTTTTATAATCTTGCCTCACCTTTTTTTAATTTTGCCTCACCTTTATAATCTTGTCTCACCTTTTTTAATTTTGCCTCACCTTTTTAATCGTGCTCACCTTTTTAATCTTGCCTCACCTTTTTAATCTTGCCTCACCTTTTTAATCGTGCTCACCTTTTTAATCTTGCCTCACCTATTTTTGATCATGGCTATGCCACTCAGACTTATATATCTGATATCACGATTTTCAGTGTAAGTAAAATGTTAAAAATTCATTTGATTTTGGGGAGGGTTTTTTGATATCATTTATATTCCCTGGTGTTATTCACCTGGAGATAACAATATCATCATATAAAATACTATATTATCATTATATTCCATGAAATAAAAAGAGAATGATAAAAAATGTAAAAAAATAAAAGGAAGATTTTCTCCTACATAACAGTTAGATATTTTTGTGTCATATTTTTACATGGTACTCCATGAATCTTATGAATTTTTGATCAATCTTGTTTAAATTTATATCGAAAGTCAATGTCAACTAACTTTGTACTCAGTATCCTGAAGGCAATAAATAAAAGTTTACAAAAGTAACTTTTTTTAATTTTTATATTTTCAGGAGAAAGAGAAAGAAGATCTGAAGAGACTTCGTAAAGAACAAATTCAACAACAGAGGGCGCTGGTTGAGAAAAAACGTGAACTTAATAAACCAAATAGTCGCCCAGTTAGTCATAAAAATCAAAAGCTTGACTAATAAGGAACCATTAGTCAACTTATCAGTCATGAATCAGCAAAGCCATCAAAGGCTAACTCTTAAATACAAGCAACCAATAATTGACTTTTAAGTCAAGAATCTCAAATGATATCAGTTGGCAATTCAAGCTTGTAGTTGTGAATCTTAATGTCAGCTAATACAAATAGTCTTTAGTCCATGTACATATCCCGAACAGATTAAGTACATGTATAGGGGGTGCAATTTAGCCCATATTTTGCCAAGCATGCATAATTTCACACCAAAATTCCCTGATTGCAAGCTTAGGTCTTGTATGATAGAGCATTTTGCATATCATACTTCCCAACTGAGTTTGTTTAAAATATATTGGAAAAATGTGACCAAACATTTTACTGAAAAGTGATAAATGTTAATAACAGGGAAGTCAGTCAATATTCCCTACACAGTATTGTTACCATAGATACCATTACATGTTTTCCATGACTTGGTGTTTGTGGTTGCTATGGTTTTAACCATAGTGAAGTGATCATAACTAGACTTCCTTGATTTGAACATGACATTTTATCTGGGAATTAATTTATTTAACTATGATATGACTGACTTCAAAAACATAAAACCCATGATTAAACATTCCCAGAATGTCCCATGTACGCAGAGTGGATTGATATACCTGATAAATTGAAACATAATTGTACCAACTTTATTTTAGAACTTTAAGAATATTTTTAAACTTGTCATGTTATCTAGTCAGTATGTCTTGCCTATAACCGCAGCTGAAAAAAATAGTTCAAGATATATGTAGTATATTATCGCATTGAAATGTATTGCAAATCAAGTACAGTATACATGTTGTAGTACTGTAGTACAGTGTTCAAGTAACAGTAAAGGAATGTACAGCGTCATGGAAATTATGTTCTTTTTTGAAATCATCTTTGTTATATAGTTTTTCTGATCAGCCAATTTCTTGATACAGCTGATGGTTTGACACATTTGATGATTAGGCATATCTGATGGTTTGACAAATTTCATGATTTGGCATATCTGATGGAATGACAAATTTCATGATTTGGCATATCTGATGGTGAGACACATTTGATGATTTGGCATATCTGACGGTGAGACACAGTGTATGATTTGGCATATCTGATGGCTTGACACATTTTATGATTTGGCATATCTGATGGTATGACACATTTCATGATTTGATATGTCTGATGGTATGACACATTTCATTATTTGGCATATCTGATGGTTATACACATTTCATGGTTTGGCATATCTGATGGTGAGACATATTTCATGATTTGGCATATCTGATGGTGAGATATATTCGATCGAGTGTATGACACATCTTAATATTTGACACATTTGAATGTTTAACATTATCTGATTTTTCATTGAAAAATTGTTTCATATAATTTGTGCTAGATGTTTAAAAATGGCTGCTGGTTGGCCATTTTTAATGCAATGTTAAAATGTAAAATAAACCTAAACATAGATGGCACCAGATGTACACAAAGAGGCAAAATTGAAATTGTGAGGCATCTTTGAGTAAACCAGGAAATGAGAGGTCATTTTTGGTTTTATTGAAAAAACATGACTGAATTCATATTTTACTGTGAAAGCTTAGCAAGGCAGTTGCTCTACCAGACACATGTCTGACTACACCCATGCTCCTTTGGAGTTAGTTGGGCATCCAAAAATTGTGACCAAAAATCCACATTTTTAGGTGTTCACTTTAGACTAATGTAATCATGTTATGATACTATATGTCAATAAAAGTTATATATAGAGACGTTCCCATTGATGAATAGTGAATATTATGAAAGTGAACTGCTTCTCTAAAAACGTCCGTCCAAAGCTTTTGATGGTTATAATGAATTATTAAAGTAATCTGATCTCTAAAAACTTCCGTCCAAAGATTTCAGTGATTATGCATTCCATTTTATTTTTGTATAATTAGTTATGATAGATTATGTGCATAATGCATAGGCTACAGGATTGGTCAGAAAAAACACGTTTGAAAAAGTAAGCTAGGTATATGTATACATTTAGTTAGTATGTAGTCTATTGATTGATTCTAGGAATATAAGGTGTATAGAAAAGGGTGATTAAATTTACTATGAAATCAGTTTAATCGTTTCTTATGTTGTGAGAAATTGATGATGTTTTCATTTTGTTTTTCACGGACTGGAGTCATCATTCTTTCAAAACGCTGAGTCATTAAAAGTCTATGGTTAAAATTTGATATCTACCGAACCCAAGTTTCGCCAGAACGATCACTCCAATCTGTGTTATTTTTGGAAAATATTGTTCCTTATATTAGAAGAATATTCACATAACAGTAATACATTATACCTGTGGCTTTATTTCAATTTCTTTCATTTTGTGTGTCCTGAATCCTGATTTTCATCTAAACAAATGCTTAAGTTTTTTTTGAGAAAATTATATTTGATTATCAGAATAAATAAAAATAATCTGAAGAAATTAGTACTTTCTGTTTTGATTTATAGTTGATTTCCTAGAAAAATTAACTACATGTACTTGTACCATCGGGAAAACCATAGTCTAAACGGCGATAGAAATAAATAGGTCTTATGAAGACATTGCAACAAACGTTTTACATTCAGACATAGTTGTTCCCGATTTTGCACGATGGGGAAGTATAGCTGAGCCGATTGTTGCCATAATTTACTGATGAATGAATAGCGAGTTTATCGGAAATTGTGAAGAAACCCTGTAAGATACGAAAATAAGTTTCGAGAACACATGCATGGTCCAGTAAGAATTCTTTCTTTCGCGCGGGACTAGAATCCGGTACTGAGACAATCAGTTAGTCCTGATGTAACATTGTACTTGTAATTGTTCAATTTACAAACAAAATGTCAAGTTTTGCGTAACAAATATAAGCAATGTACCTCAGATTTATTGTTAAAGTTTCGAACTCGAGGGATCTTTTTGAAAATTACAGGTTTTGTTCAGATCAACCTGAGACTAACATAAAATCATCGAACGCTCCAATATGACCTTATATTCAAAACCCCATGCCTTATGATAGGCACAATTAGAATCATCTGAACGTAGACATTTAAAATAATGTTTTTCAAGAACTGAATACATGCCAATCGTAAGCAACCTTTTACTCATTTTGTTCTTTTCAATTAAGTTAAAATGATTAAAACGAAAGGCTTACAAACACTTAGTTTCCTAACCTGCCAACCCATCGTTTTTAATGGAATCTATAATTGTTTGCTGAAATTCAACGTAGCCTAGATCTATATCTAATGAAAGGACGATTCTCGGTTTGGAGAACAGTCTCCTGGGCTAATAATTTTTTTCATGAAAAATATAGAAATATTACCCAAATTAAACTATGAATATTCAAAAGCGGATATTTAAATCTACAAGATCACCCTATGCAGACAGAGCCTGTGGGAAATATTGGGTGCGGCGCAAATGAGCGGAGGGTGCGGAGCTAACGGTCATTTTGAATTTAAAATTGGGATATTTCTGAAACTAAGCCGTTTTGGGACTTCAAAATATCAAATATCAAAATATCAAAACACCAAATATCAATAAAATTGTGAAAATAGTAGTGCAATTCATTTTATAGCGACGCAGTATGCCACATTTCCCAGACCTATATATTTTGAGACTATCCTTTTAATACTGATTCTCCAGCATTCATAAAAAATGGTGTTCAAGATACACTACCCATGCAAATTATTTTTGCATCTTGGAAGCCAGGCAGTATCTGTGTGATTTTATAAAAATTCGGAAATGTTCTTCAGATATGAGCCCCTCTAAATATTGGGTGCGGAGCTACGTTTATGGAGCTGCTCCGCACCCAATATTTAGAGGGGGCTCATATCTGAAAAAATTTCCGAATTTTTATAAAATCACACAGATACTGCCTGGCTTCCAAGATGCAAAAATAATTTGTATAGATAGTGCACCTTGAACACCATTTTTTATGAATGCTGGGGACTCAGTATTAAAAGGATAATTTTAAAATATATAGGTCTGGGAAAGGTTTAAGGCACACTGCGTCGCTATAGAATGAATTGCGCTACTATTTTCACAATTGTATTGATATTTGGTGTCAAATACACATATCTTGGTATATTTGAAGTCCCAAAACGGCTTAGTTTCAGAAATATCCCAAATTTAAATTCAAAAATAACCGTTAGCTCCGCACCCTCTGCTCATTTGCTCCGCACCCAATATTTCCCACAGGCTCTGTCTGCATAGGGTGAAGATGTAAAAATAACAAATAGCTCTGAAGCAGGGATAAAGCTCAATTAGACCGATTCAATAAAATAAAGTCTCGATTTGGGGAAGGAAGTTCATCAGTGTACTGCCGAATATTTTTTTGCAAAAAATCTAGAAATATTACCCAAATCAAATTATGACTATTCAAAAGAAGACATTCAAATCTATATTTTGTAAAAAAATCAAATTTGTCCGAAGCAGGGATAATGCTCATTTAGATTGATGAACTTCGTTCTCCAAACCGAGAATCGTCCTTACGTATTTTTCTTATTTCGGCCTTTTTAGCCCATTTATTTCATTTACATTGTACACTATACATATATTAATATATTAAAGTAGAAAAGCCTGTGCCGATAAGAAAAAGAAATAAAGGTAGATGTCACATGGTAAAAAATTACGTATTTTAATAAAAAATTGTTTCCCGATATACTGATTACTAAACACGATGTAATGTTACATACGTTCTCTTGTCAGGATAAAAGTGAATTAAGCACACACTTGGAAAGCTATTTTTGTCATATTTAATGTAGTTTTTACCAAATTGACGTTTATCAAATGAGAAATCAAACATTGCGTGTTAATCTTTTAAATGATCGACAATGTTAAGTGTTTTTTGTTATTTTCATACTGAACATAATGTAATGTAATGGGCATTTTCCCATGAAAGTGATTAATCAGAATGGAAATTGGTCTTCTAACAACTGAGACGTAAACCCTCAATATATAATATGCCATAATAATTCAAAGCAGATATCGGGCAAATAGATAATATTTTTTGATCGATGAAAGTATCTGTTCTAAAACCAGAAGTGTGTTATCAGACATCCGTGCATAACTGATTCAATATATCAAATTCTTTCGCATTCAATTTAAATGCTTAACTTAACTATATAATTATTACTATGCTTTCTATCAGAAATGTCTGACTTCCAAGCTTCATAAAAGAACATTGACACCGTGTTCGGATTCCTGACCGTGTTACTTTCGGTTTTCAATTGTTAAACCACCAAACCAAACTTTAAATGAACCTTCGTGCAAATTTCGAACAGATGGTTATAATGCTCTCATTAAGGTGCCTGTTTAACTGACATTTCATTATGATGCCATACCTGGATTACAGAAATACAAATATCTATCACAGGCTGGTATCGAAAAAATTGTCCGCTGTGACGGAGCGTGCTATTTTGCATAGAAACATTAGGAAATCCACACAATTTATTTTTTTACTCATATGTTTTGCTATATCAAAGAAAATTACTGACTCCATGCAATGAATATATCATTTGCGGGTAACTTTAACTTCTGTTTGAAGTCCAACAACGCTAAGAGTAAAAGCTATTGAAAACGGCGTCGGAGTATCATACTCCAAAATGTACCATTTCTTTTATTTCTTTTTAATGGTACAATATAGCGACACGATAATATTTACATATGTTTTCAGCATAACTCTGAAGGTATTAATGAGATCTTTATGTATTGGGTATTTTTAATTTTTTCAATAAAAATAATGTTTAAATTTTTTGACCGCTGTGACGGAGCAGTTTCAAATCTGAAATACGTTAAGAATTTAGATTTATAATATATCTCTTTATAACTACACGT